TGAACAAAGTTGACATACATACTCTAATCTACGTTGAATAAGGCTGAGTTCGAGAACACTTCTATAGCTGGTAGCCACAATTGTAATTTTAGGTTTAGGTCCAAACGCGCTTACAAGTTTGATCATCAACATGAAAAGATTTATAAGTTTATCTCCAGAATATTTGTGGGTTCACCTGCGGGTCTAATCACTGGTCAGTGCAGACATGGTCATAGGCGTAGGCATACCGATCGGCAGGTCTACTCACGAGCCTAGCTGTAGGCAATTTTGACCTAGGCCTTCTAGATCCTTACTATATCTATACCTGACATGGAGATTTTGGGTGATCCTTAGGTCGACCGATTTGGCCTTGTATTAAAACGACTCGGAAAGCGATTAGTTCTCGGTCTATAGGTCGAATCTAGATCTATCCGCAACATCGGTTATAAGCTTATAAGCTAGTATCCCTATAAGGTAGCTTAGGCATGAATAGTTGCCCGCCCACTAGATTGGTTTTGTTTTGTCTCCAAGTTTATAGAATGGCTGTGAACGAACCAATATTAAAAGAAACGTTACTAGGATAGGTCAACTTGAAAGTATATTTGGAGTACGTAAACTTGTAGACACACTTCTAAATAGCCCTGCACGAGTACATAGGCTGTAAAGTTAAAATAGGTATGGCGATAACTAAGTCCTTAAGTCGGTCCAATAGTTAACCGTTGAGCCATTATATAATTATGCATAATCAAGCTCATAATCAAGTCCGGGTAAACCTATAGTCAAGCATGAGACCGATAAGTCAAACTACAACCAGGTCTTTGTGCAAAGTGTGGACCGCGTCTGCAATACGAGACTAGTCTTTGTGTAGGATTTATGCTTGTAGATCCCCTTCCGTACAAATAGGCCTAAGCTCGTAAGTAGGCCCAGGCCTGCATTAATATTAAAGGCTCTTAGATCTATAGATAATATATATATATATAGGTATATATCAAATTGTAAAAGCGAAATGAAAAAGATACTGATCATCACCTCAGCAAATCCTTAAATACTCATATCGTATTGTCTCTTTACTAGGGATTCAACGTCGCCGTTGAAGAAAGGCATCCCTTTCGGTTATATATGTATATTGTATTATATCATTACAATAACTAAAATTTAAAATTCGGCTCTTCTTAACGTGTACGTAATTGTAAAATTATATTCTTGCATCCGATATTTCGAAGAAGTTTGCATGTAGTTAACCATGAATTGAGTTTCGAGATGGGGTTGTGCCGTGCAAGTCGCCGGCTCTTCCGTAATTGGTGTGTGAACGACAGGCTTTGACAAAGCGTCCCCCAGATAAAAAATATTCATTTCGAAAAAAAAAAAAAAAAAAAAGGTGGCTTGAGTACAAAGGCTTTATTCATCGACTATCTGATTCATTGTAGTGCGCTAGTACAACTTAGACTTGCAATCAAAGTGTTAAAGAAGGCAATGGCAGCCGTTGGTTTTTGAAAAAAAAAAAAAAAAAAAAAAAAAATTTGGTGGCAGGATGCCACGCGACGACGGTTTTCAGGTCTCCGCGGCCTTTGACGCAGCGTGATTGGTCTTGTCAACTGACCGGAATTCGGGTGTCATTTTTAGGCCGAAGGCCTAGGAGACTAGCCGAAGGCCTGAATCAAACGTATTCCCTAATACTCAAATTTAAAGAGGTCAAGCCGGAGCCATTGATACCACGAAAACTGCCAAATACGCAAATTCGACGAAGAAAAATCCGTTACGTTACACCTATTTGCGGAGTGATCGAGCCTGCCCAATGAAAATTTCGATATCCCGAAGCCGCGTACTGCCCCAAACTGGGTGTGATATACTTGTCGATCCCGGATATGGTTCCGACTGGCTTTTTTGTGATTTTCCGATGGTACGCCGGCTGGTAGATACACCACGGTCTGACAACCGAAGGTAGTTAGCTGGTGTTTGAATTTTAGCCCATGAAGCGGCCCACAACTGCACATTTGTCCTCGTGAATGATACGCCCGTTAACAAGGACCTTGCAATATCGGAAGCCCTCAAGGGATCTAGAATCACAATTTGCTCAGGGAGGCAAATGATTAGATATGTAGCCCTGCTCGAGAGTTTTTGGATTCGATTTGGTATGTGGCTCGGAGCCTTGTGGATCCCACGTCCAATATATCCGGACGTGATATCCAAGGGGTAGTAGATTTCAAAGAAGCGACAATACGGGGTACGCATTCGTGGATTCAAGACAGGAGCCTGCCATGCTAACAATGGGGCGGCGCTCCTCAAAGTCGAGGCTTTCTTCGCGGTCAAGATGGGAAATCAATACTGTTAGAAGTGGTCACAGAGCCCTAAGATTTTGTATTGTTCGGTAAAAGTATCCAGAGACAGGCGGTTCATTCGTGATGAGGCTTTGGTTCAACGTTTCAATATGCGTACGTACTAGTACTGCATTCGAATATTCCCTGGCTTAGTAGAGACATCAGTCGTTAGAATTGTTGTGCAAGAAGCTACAATTGGGGATATTGTAACAAAACGACTGTACTATTTCAGTTTGGTAAGAAAGTCCGTGAATTAAAGTCGTCATCAATCAATTGATTCGTGTTCAGCTTCGGAGTTTGAGAATATACCAGTGTGGGATGTTGTGATATGATAGTTTTTGAGACCCGTTTTGCATATGCACCCTTCCTAGTTATAGTCCAAAATATATGTCGTCAGTAACTCATTTGTTGGAAATGGTCTTCTGCATACCCGCACGAGATAGGAAATGAGGGAGATCATATAATTCCAAATTACTGCTTGAGCCGGACTTAAAAAAGAGAATACAAGCTGCATATGTATACGTAAAAATGACCTTCTCGTCAGGTGTAGCCCTGGTGGCGAGAGAGGCTGGTGACCTGCATGCCTCATGCACTGAGGCGGGGTGTGTGCAATGTTGGAGTTTTGCGAGTGGCCTGATTTCGGCTTTTGAGATTTGGGCTGTGAGAGATCTAGATTTTACTCCCCCTCCACTAACCGACAAGGTCTAGGATCTATGAATTCGGTCCTGCGCGCGCATGCGACGATAACGGTATTCTTTGCGATGGTAGCTAACAATTAGGCCCAGCTCCAATTATTTCCAGCATATCCTGCGGGTACATTCTATTATCTGGTGTCGTTTTTCTCTTAATGCTAGCATTCGGAGTTCCTTCAACTATAAATGGCTACTTTAATACATTAAATATGTATGCATGCGGAAAACTTCTCCAATGGTTCGATTCTGAGTCGATACCACCGACAACCCATCTTCATCTTCGCTTCGGACTCACACGAAACGCTCGACTTTGACAGCCGTCAAACGATTCTTCGGGTTTGGCAACCGAATAAGAAGCTAAGCAATACGCGCAATGGGAAACTCGCATTCTGCACACCAGAGCGCAGCGTTTTTTGCAGATTCCAATAGGTTTTTGTGGGCCTCACATGGCTAAGTTCTAATTTAGAACCGCCATGGGCTTCCCTTTTTTTTCTTCCCTGTCGACATACCGTGGCGTTCCAGACTCGAGTCGCAGAGCTAGCACTAGTTGGTTAGTGGCTCGACGGGTCTAGAACAACAGCAGTGTTCGTTCAGGGTTTTCGATGCAGCTGGACCCTTTCTACCGGATCCGCACTATTCGCCTAGCTTGTCGACGACCCCTGGCGGCATTCTTGTTTATGCACTCAAACACGAAGGGAGGAGGGAAAAAAAAGAATGCACAGACAGCTACCTAGCTAGGGAACCGTTGCAAAAGTCTAATCCACCGGGAATTGTTCCAATATCACAACGTTGACTTTGGCGAGTCGTGCGCGCCCGCATCTATATGCTCTAAAGGTAGTTAGATAAGCTCTGTAAAGACCCTGCACTTGCTCCATGCGTCCATGCTAAGTATCCACAGGCTGGAAATCCATCCGTTGAATATCGATGTACCGTCGCACGGAATTTCCCTAATGTCAAGAGCCTTTTTTTCCCCATTCGCGAAGCAAAGTACTGCAAAATACTCTCAGGTGATGCTGTTTCTTATATTTTCGGCCACAATTGATTGGTTTCTTTTCTTCTTTTTTATTTTCACGCAAGAGAAATTAAAAATTAACATCCTACCTCCCCTGTTCGCCTAACACCGTACTGGCCAGATGCATTTACGATTTGAGACCTCGAACCCGTGAATTCGGCGCTACCGAGCAACTTGCATATGTTTGGGTCAACCACAGGAACCCTATAGGCCTTCCCCCACCCCCCTCCCGACTGCGCAAAATGCATAACTGCGCAGCACCCCCTTCGTTCAACTTGACATACTACATTGGCTACCGAGCTGGACACAGAAGCAATAATGATATCTATGCTGTCATTAAAGGAAAAATCCCTTGCATTCAATTCGTGGCGCAGAGCAGTATCAAGTTGACCCTCTTTCATAAGCCCACAGTCAATATAAGATCTATAATTCAATCAGATCTGGACACCCTTGATATACCCCAATATCGATTGCATTGGCTCCTGTCGATCTTTTCAAAGCACCCACTCTTTCAAAAACAAAAATCTTTATCCATAACATCGATTATATCGACGATCATTTCCTGATAGAGGGTTTACCACATGGACCCCACGTACCCGTCATCGAGTTCGAATTCGAATTCCAGTTCTATGAATTCGTTACGGCCGTTGTTACCTCGTGCCGAAGGGGCGCATGGACCGAGTCCATCTGACCTCTCCACTGGCAAGAGAAGAAAAGCGAGCAATGCATGCACAGAGTGCAGGTCACATAAAACAAAGGTACGATACGCCTCAATAAACTACAAAAATAAAAAAAATTAAATTAAGATAGAGCTTTTACAAAAGCACCTCCTGTTGTAGAACAGTGCTGATGATCCGCGGGGTTGGAATTTAGTGTGACCAAGGCATTCCTGCATGTTCCGCGTGCCGCAGAAGAGGCACGGGCGAATGCATCTACATCCCTGGGAACGATGGCAGACGACGGGATCCCGTCGAACGGCTTCGGAAGGATAATGAAATGATGAAGATGGTACTGCAAGCTATAAAAAGCTCGTCGCCGGACGAAGCCAGCAATATTGTGGATTATCTTCGTTCAGATTACTCGCTGGAGTATTTGGTATCAATAATTCAAAGCCGTGGGGGAGGAGAATTTTCTGATGGGCCATCGTCATCGTTCGCGTCGCCTTCAAACTCTGCGTCCGCTGAGGTGGACAGTCCTCCTAGGAGATCTGTGGGACCGCATGCGCATAGCCCTGAGCGGAATCATTCAGCACAATCCTATGATCACCATATGGAACTGCCGCCGATAACAAACCATCATGATCATCGAAGGTACGGGCCGGCACAAGAAGCAAAGCTACCAGTGTTCGAAGCTTCGCATGGGTCTATGCCGCATCCATTGGACGATGAATATCGTCGGTTTCCGCCGACTCTCTAAGATTTGGGGTAAGGGCGGTGTGTCGAATTACACCTATTGGGCATGCGATTTTCCCTCCTAGACAACTGGCACCTCAGCTGGGCTGAAAAGAAAACTAGCAGTTGACAGGCGGAGAGAGAACAGCGAGGGGTTTAACGCAGGGGTGCGGCTAGTATCGTTCGTATATGGCGTTGGTGGTTTATGGTGCATCAGTGGTAGCAAGAGCGAGATGGATCGCGACCACTCCAATTACACCTGTCTTTTGTAACGATCAATATGATGGGCGAGTCTTCGGAAGCTGGTTTCCGCTGACATACGTGCCAAGGTTCTTCATGAGCCGGTTTGAGAGCAAACGGCTGGACTCGGAACATTTCCGGGACGCAATTGTGTTTTTTCCCTTCAAGATACCACTCCATACAATTTGTTATTATTGCCTAAGCATAACGTTGATTCTAACGTGGTTATGAATTCTGAGATCTGTTATTCTCTTGTCAAATCTCCTCATTTTTTCCTCTTCTTTATTCAGTACCAGTCTTGAGGGCAAGCTAGTAAATCATATCTAGATCGGACATAGTCCTGAGGATTACATTTATAGTTGAAAGATTAATTCGAAATTTGCCAACTGCTAGAATTAATATGCTAATATTATGAAAATATTTCCTCTACTGTTTAAATATTATTGATAGTGTAATCACTGTCCAAATAATCTACTACTGGTTTCAGCTGTTGTCGCTAAAATGTATTTTGTATCTCTGCATATATATATTTAACTAGGCTTCCTAGTCAATCACAAAACGTGTGGCATTTTATATCTCTTTCCTCAATACCTTCGAATGACAACTTGGGGCTGATATATGGTATTAGTCTATTCTATTTTCGGATATTCAACTTTGGAATTTTATCTAATGACCAACCGTTTTCCTCGCGTACATATGACTAGAGTATGTGCTCTGGGTGCAGCTTGTGGGCCTAAAACTGAAGTTCTAGCAAGTCTAGCCTCGGAGGTGAATCCCTCAATCGTCTGGTGTCATGATCATTCGGAAACTAGCCTGCGCCGACATGGTAGCTTGATTCAAATACAATCTTACAATATATAGACTATAACGTTATAGATGCAGCTAGTACCAATATATACACATTTTGAGATCTGCGAGTTTCTAAAATAGCAAACACACTAGTTTGAGATCTCGAAAATCGATTTCTTCCGCAACTAGCGTGATGTACTCGATCCTCGCTTTAATTCGTGAAGGAACCCTCCCAATTGGTTTAGTATTTTTCTAAATCTCAAATGAGGAATTTAGAGTGCTCCATCCGGACTTCAAATCCGAACTGGGGGAGGCAAATCTTGCTCAAAAGGTTGTTGAGAAGTACAGATTAGAGTGTGGCGCTTTGGAGGCGTCGCCTGTCTGGAGCGCTCCATTTACCATTAAACTTTGGGGGTACTCGAAAAGCTTCAAAGCCACACGTGTATGTTCAGCTGGACTCGCGTGTTCCTTGGAGGAGGTTCCGCATTCATTCAAGGTTAGTCCGAAGGAGGAATATCAATTTCCCGACGGATAGCACGAGTCGTCGAATGGCTTCATCACATACACCAATCGCCAGGCACTCAGCTAAGCCCACGATCCTTAGTGTTGGTTCCCATTCCACAATTACTGCAAGTTCAAGCCACCTTCGACGTGCAAGTGCAAGGTATGTAAGTACACACATATATTGCATGTAGGCCGCAAGACCATCGGATTTACGGCACTACTTAGCTTTAATTCAAGTGGGTGTTAGGGAGTCCTAGGAGCTCAGAGTCGCCCATCTGCAAGCCATTGAGGCTGATCAGTGGGACAAGAATTAATCTAGCTCAGGCTGACTAGTTAATAGCGACTTACTCCGTACTTGCTGTAGCTATAGTGTGGAAATTTAACGGATCAATCTCGATATCAAGCATGGGTGCATGAAGCGAAGATGTATACGACGCACACGCACCAGGGTTCGGACGATAACTTTGCGGTTTCTATCTCCGACGTCAAGCTACTCGATGCGCTTGCTGTGGACCCAAAGCCGTCTTTCTTAGTCCAATCCCGGCCAAGACCTCCCTGCAGGCCATGGCCTGTAAGCTGGCACAATGATGCTGTTCGTACCAGACTTCGGCTGGGTCGAAGGACATCCAACGCACATTCTCCAACATCAGGAGCAACCTGGAACGACGGCGACAACACACCGTCAGACACAGATAACCCTCCTGTCACGACGGCTCTGCTGTCTAATTACGATCATGACTTTCAAATCTGGATAATTGACCGTCTAACATATTCCGGGGCCCATCGCCATGTCCCTGGTGGTGCGTACTATACCTGCACTAAAGGAATTCTGTGGACGACGACAACATTGGAAGTCGGCAATATCCAGTACCTACAGTTCACAGGAATTCCTCTATCGTGGAGGTTGCCCACAGAACTTGAACAGGGCAAAGCCGAACGATCCATGAGTGAGATTTCCGCCCAGACACTCAATGACAATGATATCAATGTCTCGGGCTACTCACCGACAACAGAGTTTAGAATCCCTAAATGGCGTCGGAAGAGCTCATTCAAGCCCCGTGATTCGATTTCTGAGGCCAAAAAAGACCTTCGCGGGGAAAGGTGGTCGATACCGTCGAATCCAATTGAAATCCTAGGGAAGGCCGAGCTGGAGCGTAAGCTTTCAGAAGTTACCCGATCAAACACGAGCAGTAGTCTCGATCTGAGTGATCCGGATTCGAAAAACTTCAAACACATCCACCCGGGACCCAAGGCCACTGATGCATTTAGTATTAATATGAACTCACTCAAGATCGATGGTGCGAACTCGTTAAAACTGTCACCTGATTATTTTGAGCGAACGGATGGTGCGGCGTGCCGTATTTTTTGTTATTTGGGGTAGGATCTAGCTAACATGGAATGTAATTAGGCATTGTTGATTGGACTCGGGCCGAGTCGAGCGAGTTGTTACCCGAGTTTCTCAAAATGATGCGCGATTTCGATTGGGGTAGCACATCTGTCGGTCCCATTGAGGAGTGGCCTCAATATCTAAGGACATCGATTGTCTTGATGTGTAACAGCTGCTTTCCTTCGACAATGTACTACGGACCTGATTACCTCTTCATCTACAACGAAGCATTTAGTCGAATGATGTCTAGCCTTCATCCTTGGAGCCTAGGAAAACCTTGTTGTGAAGTCTGGGGTGGAATTTTCGATGATCTCCTAGTTGAACGTTTCACTAATGTTATGCAGGGAAGACCTCAATACCAGGAAGATCACGAGGTTTTTCTCGTCCGACAAGGGTTCACTGAACAAGCATACTTTTCATGGGCTTTGAGTCCGATTGTTGGTGACAAGGGTGAATGCGTGGGTATCTTCAGTATTTCGGCGGATCTAACTGCGCGAGTTCTTGCGGCCAGAAGCTTCCAAATGTTTGGGGAAATTGGAACTCGAACGAGTGGCATAACTGCATCGAAGGAATTTTGGCAAAACTTCCTTGGGGGGATGCAGACTAATGAGACGGATGCACCTTTCGCCCTCGTTTACTCTAGGGTTGACGGAAGCGGTGATGGATCAAGCTGTTCCGGGGTCCACAGCCGGAAACCTACTTACGATTTTACCCTCGAATACGAGGGATCCTATAATATACCAGAAGGACATAATTGTATGCCTCCTCAGATCGATTTGAGCGAATCAGACGAAGGTTTTGCTTCAGCTTTCAGAGAGGCCTGTGAGCACGAGTTCCTGTATCTCAAAAACAGTGAACTAGTTCCCCCACATCTTCTTGACGGCTTAAGATCGACCTTCGACGACCCTATTGATTCGGTTGCAATCTGTCCGATCTACTCGCACAGTCTTGCGGACGAAATCTCGGGTTTCCTTGTCTTAGGCCTGAACACAAGACGAGTCTTCAATGATGATTACAAATTATTTGTCCAGCTCCTAATCCGGCAGTTATCAAGCTCTCTTTCCGCAAGTTTTTTTTTCGAAACCGAAGTTCGGCGCAGCGAGAATCTTGCACGAATCGCTGCTATGGAAAAAATAATTTTGTCCAACCAACTTGCAGCAAAAACTATGGAAGCCCGGGCAAGCGAATTTAGGTTCAAACGACTCACAGAAGTTGCACCCGTTGGAATATATATGTGCGACCAAAAGGGCAAGGTTACCTTTGTGAATGACGCATGGTTCGAAATAACACAGGTTCCACGAGACTTTGATGTGGAAAATTGGATACAATACGTTCATCAAGATGACCGCGATATAGTGCTTGCTGGCCTAGCCGATATTACAGAGGCGAGTGAACTTGTGGCCCAGACTTTCCGATGGATCACACCGTATACTACGAAAGATGGACAAATCACGGAAAGATGGACGTTGGGCCTAAGCCAACCCGAGTTTGCGGAGGATGGGAGTCACATTGGTTATCTTGGTGTCTCAACGAATATTTCGGAGCAGAAGTTACGAGAGAAGACCCAGAAAAAACGGCTAGAAGAAGCAAGGGAGTTGAAACGGCAGCAAGATGTTAGTATGGCTATTGTTGCATTTTGGGACATTTCGTGCATTGCATGTTGCATCTTGATGCTAACAGCTGTGATACAGAATTTTGTCGACATTGCGAGCCATGAAATGAGTAAGCTCCTAAATATTGAGCTCAGGTCGTTGTAGATCATAGAGCTGACCCGGTTGTGTTTCTAGGGAACCCCCTCTCTGCAGCCCTCCAATTGAGCGACCAGATTGTCAGCTCCCTGTCTGATTGCCGGAAGTACTATAAAAACAAAGATTATGATCTACAGCTTGAAGAGGAGATCACTGCTGCTATTGATGCAGCACAAACCATTCTTCTGTGTGCCAGTCACCAGAAGAGAGTAGTAGATGATATTCTGACGCTATCAAAACTAGATTCTGCACGCTTGATTATCACACCTGTCGATGTACAACCTGTTGCCGTTGTAAATGAAGCCATCAAAATGTTTGAACAAGAGTGTCATCTCAATGACATCCATATGGACTTGGAGGTATGTTGATAAGTGCGCCGCACTGCCATTATTCAATTATTCTGCAGGAATAATATCGCTTATTTAGACGCACGTTTTTAGGTCGATGATGCCTACCGTAACCTATCTGTGGACTGGGTGAAGCTAGACCCGACAAGGCTACTCCAGCTTCTCATAAATCTCTTGACAAATGCTCTAAAATTTATCCGATCGGAAACTGAAAAAAAGATAATTATCACATTAAGCGCGTCACTAGACAAGCCATTAGACCCAGAGGGACTGATGGTTTTCCCGTCTGTGCGAAAAACGAGCGAGCCTAGTGAAGCATCCCCACCCAGTGTGAACGAAACAGAATGCCCCGAGGATTCTTTATTTTTATCATTCGAAGTTAAAGATACTGGAAAAGGGTATGTAATTCGCCTCAATAATTAGGTATGGTATAGTAGCTGCTAAATATATTTACAGGCTTACTGAGGAGGAAAAGAGCATGCTATTCCAGAAGTTCAGCCAGGCTTCTCCTCGAACCCATATTCAATACGGCGGCAGTGGCCTTGGGCTTTTCATATCGCGCGAGCTAGTACAACTACAGTCCGGGGAAATCGGGGTTCTATCGGAGGCCGGTAATGGCTGTGCATTCTGTTTCTATATCAAAGTTACAAGAGGGGAACCTCAATGTACAGAGCTTCCCGTATATGCTAGAACAATAGTTCCCGGAAATCAAAATAAAAGGAACCTTGGGGGATTGTCACCACCACTGGGGGATGCATCTCCTCGACCTGTAAGCCCGGGGATCATGACGGGGGCGACAACCCCCATAAATTCAAGGGCACCTGATTTTAGGAGGCTAGAAGGGTGTAAGGTACTGGTCGTCGAAGATGTAAGCTTCTTCCCTTTCCATGTCTTTCCATTTCCGTTCTTTCCACTCTGCGATTTGAATGTCATTTACTCACCCCGAAAATTCCTCTACATGCAGAATCTGGTCAACCAAAATGTCATCCGGAAGCAACTTCAGAAACTTGGGTGTGAGACATATGTAGCAAATCATGGTCTAGAAGCTCTTGAAAAGGTGATGCAATCAAAGCTCTACATGAAAGCAACAGGTGACGCATATGACCTTACGGTTATCCTCATGGACGTTGAAATGCCGGTAATGGATGGATTGAAGGCTACTGGGGAAATAAGAAAGCTAGAGGCGGAAGGGTCGCTGGTACGCAGGATTCCCATTATCGCAGTGACGGCCAATGCAAGACCGGAACAAATTAAGCAGATGAAAGAAGCGGGGATGAATGATGTTCTCAGCAAACCTTTCAGAATGCCGGAATTGGTGAATAAGTTAGAGGGTGTCCTAGGGAAGGGGTAATTGAATCTAGAATAATGTAGAAGTTTCCGGAGACAATCGAATATTCGATTCTATGTTCGATTAAACCAACGTTGCAACGTTGGTCTTGTTGGAGCTTTGGGCCGTTTTTGGCGCTGAGGCTTGAGGCTTTTTCTTCTATTCCGCTGAAATATATGCTGTAAAAATGGATTTAGGGATATTTTAATAAAGATGTGAGGGGGTTGGCGAGAGGCCTACCAATTTAATTAAAGAATTAGATTGAATTTGAAGAGCTTCAGGCCCTGAAATATGTTCATATTCTTTCGGGTTATATATTTCCAATTCAACTAACCGGCCATGAGTTTTGATCAATTGAATTGAACGTTAACGGAAAATATATCTGCGCCTAATGCATTTTAATATGACCTGCGGTATACAAGCCTCCAATTTAGTTGTATAACGTACATATACATACAATTAATCGATCATATATAACTAGTTCGCTCAAATCTAAGACAAAAATGTATTAAATGTTTCAAAGATATTTCCTACTTAGCTCGTTGAGCGGAAGTGGCGAATCTTGCAAGCCACGCTCGATTCCTCTATCCGGCTCACTCCAACGGTAAAAGAATGTTGGAATTGCCCATTCGAAAGGCACGTTATTCTAGCGTACCATGGGTCTGACTTGTCTTTGGGCGACCTAGTTGCTAGGATTATTGTCTTTGGCTTGTGCGATGCAAATGACGGGAGTTAACCCTCTCTTTGCATATTTTTTTTGGAAAGGTACTCAAGTAAGGTATTCAAAAAAAAAAAAAAAAAAAACCAAGCAGCTAGCTAGGCCTATAGGGCGATCACGATTTTGGACGAAGCTACTTCATTATTCCGAATATTGAAGTCGGATGTTGGTGAATGACGGCACTATTGTGTCGGCTCTATCCGGATAGTATGTTGCGAGAATGTAGGTACTCGGTACTTAAGTAGTTACTTCAATTAGTACGAGGGAGGTAGGTATACGCAAAAGGATGACGGCGATGATAAGGGCGGGTCCAGACTTAAAAAGCCCAGCCCGTTGCAACTGTCCCTATTCAGGTCCACCATCAAGTCTCCATGGGTGGGGGAAAGAAAAGAAAAAAGCACCATATCGCGTCTCAGTCAAATCGGTTAGCTTTGATTCCTTGCATTTGATCTGTGCTACTGCATATACGACGCCCACGATGGCCAGCCCTTGAACCGAGGGCGTCCAGATCGGAAGGCAAACGTTATTAAGGGACCCACAAATTAAGTTACACACTACACGACGCATTCCATCTGGAACTAACTGGGGGTACATATGCACCATCGCTCTTAGGGCCTTCCTGTCGTACAACCTGCCATTGGTGCGAAGGCGTATCGGTGGGTGCAATTTAGCCGAACGGAAAAGCTAGGTGCTATGCCCATTTGCATTTGTTAGATCAATCTCATACTGAGGCTACATATACATAAACATTGTTAAATACTAACCCAACGACATGAGTAATTGAAATTTAAACATATGGCATCTCCATTGCGATGATATCATTGTGGGGGCCTGGTTCAGAGCTGTAATTTTCTGTATGCATGATATATTGATTCCTCCGGAATGGAATATATTGATATCGATGCTCGGCTGCGCTGAGGGCTCGGGTTCGTAGTGGGTCCTGGAATAATTAAGACCCACTTCCTCATAGTGCAGGGATTTTAAGGTCATCCTTGTCTGCCTCGCTCGAGATAGAAGTATCCGAATTGAGACCTCAAAGCAAGGGACATGGGCTCCTCGATATTCAAGAAATTAAGGAATGAACCATATCGGTCCTGCGTCATACATCATCCTTCAATAATTTTCAATGGGCCCTATCCGATTTTTGCGCTTGTCTTCAGGACTACCGTTTTTTGTGCCTTATTTCAAGGGTGTTCTAGTTGTGGGGAACGTTGGTTTTCATAGCTAGTTCCAACATTGTATCCGTCCGATGGTCTATGGCAGGATTTTCTCCCACCATTTTCGGCCGCTCATATCCGAACTCTGGAATCAATCCGATCGCCTCGATTCCTTCTCATCGGGATTTCAGACTCCATGAGATAAGGACTTGAAGAGAGGAACAGAGCAATTGTAGGAGCCCGCCGGAGCTAACGAAATCCGGCGTCTTACCTTGAATTTGGCTTCGCTTAATTTCCAAAAAAGCACGGCCGAAAATACCGCGGGAAGCTACATATTTCACACGATTGGCTCTATTTTGAATCGAAACCTGTGATATGGCTCGGTACTTGCGCATCCTGTTGGGATGGGTCGATATTAGTCGACGTTGTGCAGTTTTGGTACATGTTGCTTTGTACCACGAAAGTACGAAATAAGATAGGCGGGGTGCGGGAAGGCTACATGCTATGTCAATGCAAAGGCTCGACATTGATATGTCCTTGCGAAGCTTCTGATTTGGCTGATTCGGATGTCACCAGCTTCGCTCGTCAGCTGGTTTCTCTGTCCATATGGCATAGATTCCGCCACCTGTGATGTTCTTTTGGTACGGATTACTACCCGACGGGTATTGGTCTCCTTCTCCGAACTTCAAGTACGGAGACTTCAGGGCTAGAATCCATCTGGATTCATGCATCCAATATGATTAGGAGACATCCATGTTTTTGAGCTATCTTTTGAGTTTTCAAAAATCCCACGAGCTTGTGATATATTAATGTCATTTTGTATATGGAGAAGCTGGCACGAACCATGCGTGGCCATGGGCTGACTTAAGCTAAGTATTTGACATACGGCGGGATGGCGGACTGACTTTGAACTTAAGGTTTTAATTGTACTTTTCTCACTAAAGAAAGTAGAGACCTACTAGATACAGGATGGTATTCTGGACCGTAGGCAGTAATTAAGTAAGAAGATAAAAAGAAGAATCCCAGAATCCCAAAAACTTTGTCGACGACTATAGGGGAAAAGAAGAATAATAATAATAACAATCAAAAAAATATAAATAAAAAAAGATCGCGAATGCGAATGCGAAAAACAGAGTAAATTACAGCGGCACATGTTGCACTGGCAGGAGCCTCTAGACCACCCGCCCACAGCTCCAACATCTCGACGCCGATTTCTTTGTGCCTAATGGAGAAAATGCATTTTTAAGCGTCTGTTTATCGTGCCAAGTAAATCGAAAACGAGTGGCCTGCCATGCGCATGCGAGTGAAAAATGATGCCTGAAATATTCTTTTTTTTTTTTTTTTTTTCAAGTGAATGAGAATAGAGCAAACACCAAGACCATAGAAACTTATACATCAAAGAAAAACTCAAGAAGAGAAGGAAGGGAAAGGTTAAAAAAGAGAATGTAAGGATGGAAATACAACTGATTTTGGAGCTTTTGCACACAAGAAAAAATAGAACATTAGCGACATGGCGGCATAAAAGAAGCCTTTAACGAGTGACGATACTTATATCAAAAACGAAACGAACAAAAAAAAAAAAAAAAAAAAAAGAAGAAGGAGGAGGCGGAGAAGAAGAAATGTATCGATCCCTGTATAAAGTGGTATATAATATAAAAGTGACCTATGATATTAAACAATCCTCTGGCGATCCGTTTAAACTCCTAATGATATCCGGACATGAAAAGAAGAAAAGATAGCACACAACCAAAAACAACAAACAAAATGTGAGAAAGGAAAACATGTATGCATCACGGACAAACCTCAGCAAACAACCTCTTCTTCTTCTTCATAGCCACTGTAATTTGTCGCCGGGCTCGTAGCATTGGAGTGTGATTGCGAATTCGGCGGGAGATCATCGTGAGGCAATCGTCCTGATCCAGATTTGGGCTCCGACTCTCGTCTGGCGTTCAACTCCTTCCATTTCTTTTCGCAGGAAGTGCCGGGTATCTTTTCTTTTCTGCCGTACTCCACCATCTTACTGGCAACGATTTCCCAGTAGTGTTTGTCAATCCATTTTTTTGCGTCGTCAAGTAGTTTCTCCTATTGAAAGAAGGAAAAGAATGATGTGGTAGGCGTAGACCGGCCACGTGGGCGACCGGGCGTGGCGCACACGGACAAAATATTGGTTAGCCAGATGCTCTTATAAGCATTTGAGGTTGTCGCACTGGGTAGCACCGTGTGTTTGGGAGGAGGAAATGATGGTTGTTTACATCTTCCGGTGACCATTGCCTGATTCGTTCCTTGATCCTCTTAAGGCGCATTTGCAAAGCTGGAACACGGTGGTTCCCTCGTCCTTCTTCCTTGAAACGTAGTACGATTTCTTTCCAGGGAAGCTGGTCTTCGTCTTTGAGCTTGATAAGGTATCTGTCGTCGTCGGAGAGCTGCCATGGCTGTGTCGCGGATGATTTTCGACGTTTAACTGGTTTGGGCATCGGCATACCGTCTGGAGCCGACCAATGTCCATAGCCTTCCATGATTCCATACTCACGCTTTGGTCTATATCCGTGGGTATGTGCGTGGCCATTAGGCTCACCAAAGGACTCTGTCAACAATCCTTGTGGATGCTGATGATGAGTTGGGACACCGTCAAGGTGGGCGGCGTGAGGTGTGAAGTATGTGTTTCCACCGGCGCCATTGGTGAACGGGGTTGGATGGACTGGCGCCATAGTAGGCAATGTCATAGGGTACATCGTTTGGAGGGTAGGTTCAAACTCGTGCTTTTGGTATGGGCTACCATTGTGTCCAAACATAGCATGTGCATGTGGAGAGGGTTCAAACTCCGTTTTGATATCACTACTTGGTGGTGGTGCGTCTGGAGAGTTTTGTTGAAATGAAATTTGAGGAAGACTGCTGTGAGCTGGGTTAAAGAGCCTCCTTTCGTTGGACTTGAGAATAGGTCCAGAGTGAGTTCGATTCATAGCTGGAGGTGTAAGAGTTGCAGAAGAAGTGCCTGAAAAGCTGGATGGAAGGCTAGTGGATTGGTTTTCTGAAATGGAATTCAGAGAAGGCTCGTTGTATTTAAGTATCTGACTTGGAAATTGCATAGAGCTGTTTCCAACACTGATGCTTGAAGTTCTTGGGCTAGATCCATATAGACTTGGTGATCCTATGGGAGCCGTCGAGTAATGCGACTTCCCGCGGCTGGACAAGCCGGGCGATAGGTTGGAAGATACTACGTTCATTGGTGGGGGCAAAGGGGGTCCCGGGCGATATATGCTGCTCCTACGGTCCGAAGCGGGAGGAGATACGGAATCTCTGGCTCTGTAGGACGGATAAGTACTTCCTTGGTTTGATTCGATGCCGTTGTCTTGATACGTAATGGGGCCCTATTCACGGGAAAACGCAGAAGATTTCAGATTAGCGAATGGATGTTTCGAGTACGATAAGAGACAATTAGTTGCCATGGGCAATGTTATGTTTGAATATGCGTGCAAGCCCCGAAAGAGTGCAAGCCTTGCGTACTGCATGTATGCAGTCACCAGAGCCCTATATTATGCATAGCCTGTAAAAGGTCATAGTCTCGAGACCAGAAGAAGTCATCTGTATAGGTGATATACTATTGAATGCATTCAAACTGATTCCAATTGACACTATAGTGCTATGGTGAACATGACAGTGAAACGACTATCATATCTTAGGCATTGCATGCAAATTTGGTCAAGAAGATGAGGAGTGAAGTTAACTTCTTGATAGAACATGTATGTGGCAACAAGGTATAACAGTTTACCAATGTTCTAGCAGAAGGTGATGGGGATGGAAAAGTTTGTGTAAGTTTTCCAAAGTTGATAGATGTTGAAAAGATTAAGAAGTTGGTAGTAATAAATGATGTAACTTACCATATCACTGTAAGAATTGTGATTGATGGTATACCAGCTGTGCGAACTGTTGTAGTCTGATCCTTCGAAATCCTCGTCTTTGATCGTGGGGACTGGGCTTCTATTTGAGTGCCAGTCGGATGAAGACCAAGGTATATAACAATTGGGCTCGTGCTTTAGATTTGGCGATGGCGAGTGGGATTGTATGCGATGGACGTCGGTGTCAGTCGCCATCTCTACTATTTGCTTCTTCCCAAGCTTTGGAACGTCTCCGTAGGATGTTTTTTTTTGGCACAGCTGCTAGGTTAATTCAGAAGCGTCGAGACAGAACTTGCTTTTTGCCCCTGCAGCGCACTGTGTTTTGTCTTCCCTTGACTAAGGTATAACCGTAAAAAGCGGGTCTATAATGAGAGTCGCTAAGAATGTTTGGAAGAGGGAGGGGCGGTATGTTGGTTCAATCCTCCTTCTGAAAAGACCAGATGTTGTGGAGGTGGAGGTGGACTTTAGACAAATGTTATGTCTGTTGCTCACCCCTCCAACTAACAAGAACCCTCCAAGTGGGATATAATAGAACTGAGAAAAGAAAAAGGTGAAAAGCTGGAAATATGCGGGGCGAAGAAGCTTTGCAAACAATAACGTGGACAGTTGGGAGGGGTTAAATAAGCAACTGTTTCTTCTCTCCGGGCTGGCAAGAGATCTAAAGTCGGCACGCAAGCGCGGTGCCTGAGTTTTGAAAATGTTAAGTTGCGCCGCCGCCGCAACTAAGATCTAAGGAGGAAGTGTACAGGGAGGTAGACGTCGTTTTAGCAGGTGTCTTCTTTTTTTCTTTTCGGATGTTGGATTGTTTCTAGTCAACCGTTTGTAAAAGCGTGAATTCGAATTCAGGTGGAAGCAGATGCAGGTGGGCCCCTCATGCACCCCAGCTGCTGCAAGTCCAAGTCAAGTTTGGGAGGCGGGAAGTAGTAAGAAAGACCAGACTATGTTGTATGTATAATGAAGTGTGTGGGATAGGTATAGAGAGAAGAGGGTCAGATTTCTTTTTTTCTTTCTCGTCCTTTTTTTGTCCCTTGATATTCTTAGAAAAGGAAACGGTTGACCTTTACTATTTTATATTCTCCAACCGTTGTGAACGGTTTGGCTAACTTTTGTTCTAGATATAGCTTCAAGGGACTTTCGGAGACGAGAATGGTCTCCATGGACTAGATTCGTCGAGGCTAGCTAGGCGGACAAGCTATTGACGTCTCTCAGAGGCCAGGACCGGGCTTTTGACAACCACGGTAAGAAACAGGTGAATCCGAAAAGATTTTATGGGGCACAGCTAGCAAGAACATCTGGCGTTTTTCTAAAAAACCCTGTCCGATAATTATAAGGCCTCTGACGCTAAATCTGGGGGGGCTAGCTAGCTAGGTCAGAAGCCTCCAGTTCAGTTGAAATCAATCGGTATGAGGTGTCTCTGCGATCATACATATGTGCAGGGGTGTAAATCGACGAAGACGAGTAATTGCCCGTCTTTTTTTCCCTTCCTATCAAAGAAAACCGGCTGCGATCGCTCTCGGAATGAATAAGATCATGGTGGGGAGCTGTAAAGGAAGTAACCGTGTACGATGCGGTGCTTGTGTCAAAAAAAAAAAAATCCAAACCTACAAGCTTGCTAGTTTCGAAGTCCCCTCCCAGGGCCCGTTGAAAGGATCTGCGGCCATGTCATCCCATTCCTAATAAGAAAAAAAAAGATATGCTAAGGGTAGTGGCCAAAAAGGGTCGGCAATTTCTAGAATCACGGAAGCAAGTCCCATTGATTTGACTGAAAATGGATGGCTTGCATGTTGAACCACACCTTAAGGCTCAGGCTTCCCTTTCCCTGCGTTAGGCTATCAAGTAGACTTCCCATTCCTCTAAGCAGGAAAAGAAAAATGGCACATGGTCTGTTGGACAGACCCCGGAAAATAGGGTAGTCACTTCTTCTGAAACTTGTAAAAGAAGGGATAGGATAAGCCTCGACGATAGATACACCTTGAGGAATCCATATGAATTGGAATTGAGGTGAAAACAGGCGGGTTTCCGCCAGTCAGAGGAATGAAAACCTATGAGAGTAGCAGTACCTGTGATTCCTGGAGAGTGCGCGCGTAACGCATAGTGCTGGCTTAGGTCCAATATTAGCCCCGCATGGTTAACATAGACGCAGGAGAGAGCTCGATACTGCCTGAATGGGTATTAGGAAAGAACTATTCGGCGAGCATGCAAGCTGCTCCGGTTTCGTTTAGCCCCTCCGTTCAAACTGGATCATACCTTTCGTTCGGTTCAGTAAGTCAACTTCGGGACATGTTAGAAAGATGCGGAGCCAATGCACCGTGCAGGGTACCTGCACGGTACTGTGGGTGGGTGGGAGGCATAGTCTGCTAGTAAACGTTCATGGCCCAGTAGTCTGTTGAAGGAAGAACCCGGTCGAAGCCTGTGCACACCGGAAATGCACCAGTGGCCACTTTTTCTCGTCTCCAGGTTTTGAGAGCTGCAAGACATCATCCTTAGAAACACAACATAAGATGTCGACACAAGATTGAAGCGAGTCTGATTTCGCGATTTGAATCGTTTCACGCGACGATAATGTTGTAGAAGTGTCATGCTCGATATCTGTTCTTAAGCGGTATATTTTTCAGTGGAAAAATTATGTGGTTAACAGATATGCCAAGTTTTAGAACATGCACATGGACGCGAAGGATAGAATATCTCCTGTGCCTAGTATTGAACTATTCCAAGCACCCGGCAGGTAAGTACCAGAGCACTTCCGCTGGGAAGTTTGATATGACCAAGGCCAAGTGCAACGGGCTACTGAGGGCCGATGCACTGGCGTTACGCTAGCGATTGTCTACTTCTGTGAAAATGTACTCAGTTGAAATGACTGAACGAGTCTTCGATGTGTATCTTGAATCGAATCGAAGCTCATAAGTTGTTCTTGCTTTTTCCCTTACTGCACCGCGCGAGAGATTGTCTGCATTTTCTAGTGGGTAATTGCTTTTTGGCCGTATGAACGCTGGAAAGAGCATGGGATTCCAATCGGGATGGGATTGAAAGCCAAGACAGTTGTACCGTCGTACAGGCTAGCTTTTTAATACGATTGATTGGAGCTAGCCGAAGATGCCTGATGATAGAAGGGTTGCTGGCCCGCATCTAGACTATCCGACTGCCCCGTCCTTGCGTCAAGGAATTCGGAGCCCCTCTACCAAGGAATAACGGTATGTGGTTAGGGATTGCCAGTGCATGATTGCGGTTCCACACTTTGAAATATAAAATTGAGTTCTGGAATTTTGGTCACCACCGCTTTTGTAAAGTCCAAACACGATCACCAGCCAAACCCAAAGCTTCGATTCCGGCAGACGGAAGGCAGCTTGCACTCGAGAGCTGAAGTTATGTAATATAAACTGTGAGAGTGAATATGGCACACCACCGGGGCTCGCGTTCTTGTACACCGCCGGGGTGGAGGTTTTGGTTTTGGGATCCTGGGGAATATTCATGTACAAATTGCCAAGGCACTAGATAAAGCCTGGACTGTTCAACGTAGTCTAGTCAAATCGATGATACCCCGATTGTCTATATCAATATGAAAAGGAGGAGAATCTCTGGAGGCTTAATAATCCTCCCAAAGACTATGGCTGAGCATGAGAGTCTCCTGGATAGGATAGTTAGTCCTTGCCTAAAGCTTGCCTGAACCTTACCTTTGTGGTGGCTGCCGAGCCTCAACTTAGCATTTGCGATACCCAAGGCAGAGGTGAGCGTCCCCCAGACTATTGCGATACATGTTTATACTAACACCATATATACCTAGTGTGAATTGTGAATTACCGCTCGGGCGGCCTGCATAAGTGATTCCGGGATGATAGGTTGGATAAGTTTCGAGGAATGTACGAGGTACAACACCGGTATACCGTTCACTCCGGTTTGGATATTGTGCGGCGGGCACAAGATGCGGGCACAAGATGCGGGCACAAGATGCGGGAAATCCTGTCAAGAACTCGTTCTTAAAAACGATGGTAGAGCATAATACTGATTGCATCGATAGTGCTAGTGTGGCGACAGGTACTTAACCGTTGAGACGAAATGCAGTGCTTCCAATATTTTTATCTTGCTGGGAGCGGATGTGTTTTATGAACAGGGTGAGTATGCGCAGTGATCCGGATGTTTGGGTACAAGAAACTTGAACGTGTAGCACGGAGTGTCCGCGCGACAGATCGCATTGTTTCCTTTGGTTCAAGTGTTATCTATTCGGCCATCATTATAGGTGCGACCCATCCCAGAATCTTCGGGATTAGATCAACCTATCCTTGGCGCGAGGACGCTACCCATAGGGTGGATTGCATCCAGCCTTGAACTTTTCCTGGCAGCCGCATGTGGAGCAATTTGACCGGCGGGATTAAGAGTCGCCTAGATGTATACATGGACGATGCAGCCTCGAGTGTTAGTACGTTAAAAACCCAATAGACAAAGACATCATAATCATAGCCCTTTTCTTTATAGCGAAAAAAAAATTAAAAATTAAAAATTAAAAAAATTCTCATTAGTACGATGTGGGATATCAGACCTGGGGAATCGCGGTCTAGATTTTCACTTGCGCTGGGAAGAGACAGCTCAGAAGCACCGCAGACGCCACAATACTCAACGTCTGCAAGGATGGTCCTGGGTATGTATTAAAGGAAACCAGGTTAATGTTCAAGTGCCGCCTATACTACACTGAACGAGAAGGCCGGTGCATGTATTAGAGTACGTACATACATATATCTCTGTACATGCGCGTACAAGTACATGTACTAGCATATGAGCATATACACGTATGAATCAATATTCTGTAGCGCTCGTTGGTATCGAAGATTAGAGAAACAAATTAAATTATAGCAAATCAAGGAAGTTGAATGTACACTAGCGTCAGTAGCGTCCGTGACTTGACTGCCAGTTTGGTGTAACATTCTAACAAGTAAAGTATACCAGTATCAAATTGCCTGATCGATGCTGCACGGTCTTTGTGCTTGTAATTAGGTAACGCTGCATCGGCTACTAGCATCGATCTGATTTTCTCACTGTCTCAGAATCTCGTGTCGCTGTGCCGGATATGCTTCTTTGGTGCCGTTGTTTCTGGTCCATGGGGATGTGTGATACTGCGGCTGGCGATTTTCTCAGCCAGCTTCCGTCCGTGTCCGGCATTGCCTTAGATCAAATTTGTGAAGCCTAACTGCGGTTTATGATTGGGTAGTAGCGCCAGTATTAGCCGAATCTTGAACCCTTTAAATTCCCAAGTCTCGGGTACGCCAAAGTCGCAGCAATATCGACAGTATATATATGTGAAGGATTCCGTATTGTGCAATTTGATATTAATTAGCTTCTTCGGCCACAGCGTACCCTGAAAATTACCCCCTCTAATTCTGTGCTAATTGAATATATGGGGATCCATATAAAACGGGACGTTTGCGCTGCTCGGTTGCAAAATTGGGTAGAAAATTCGCCAAGTTGGGAGTAGAAAAGGTCAATCGTGTCGTCGAAGTAGTGCCCGCACCGTTTTAGTGTGTGTGGACTTGGTACTATGAATCAATTCCTCCTTTATGATAATAAAATTTGGCCAAGACAATATGCAATTACATTCAAATGGCAGTAAGGGGTTTCCTTTGCCTTTTATTTGATATTATAGCAAAATGTATCCCAAATATATCAATTTCAAGCATTGTATCGAGTCCGTGTGCAGCCCAAATCATAGCCTGAGGCACGGAGCTCCATTGGGGGTGTTATCTATAGAGTGAGGGGCCTTATTTGTGGAAATTTGTACATCATACAAGTTTTAATACCTTATTCTATATACTGTACAGGTTTTATGCTGGCCTGGTCACAAAATTTTATCACCAATCTCATAAAAGCATCTAGTAGTGTACATACTCTGTATGCCACATGGTATAGTCTATTCTCTATCATTGTGAAACAAAAAACCGACAGGGTCTTGCTAATAATACATTCGCTCGATCCTTCTAATGCAATAATGTGATTACTGGCGCGTCTAGTTTATCTCGCCCCTTTAGGAAATCAAGCTCGAGGATGAATAGGTATCCTAGAAGATCGCCTTCCAGCTGACGAACCAAGGATCCTGCGGCGGAAGCCGATCCACCTATATTGGAAACGAAGTAGATTCTACGTCAGCTATATTCAATTTGAAGGGAAATATAATTTCTATGCCTTCTCCATGGGATAGTTGTGCAGCACGCGCAAGGGATATTGCTCTCTCGATTGCGGCGTGCTGCACGGGATGTTGTTGGTTTAAGCTTACCTGTCGCAATTATGTCATCCACAACAAGAACCTTTTGACCAGGCTTGATGACGTCCTTTTGCATCTCAAACCAATCTTCGCCATATTCCTTCATATATTTCTCACTGACACATTCACCGGGCATCTTCCCCCTCTTACGGACAGGGACAAAGCCAGCTTCGAGCTTGAGGGCCAATGTGGGGCCGAATAAGAACCCGCGGGCATCGAGACCAACAATCACATCCGGCTTCGAGGGGAATGCTTCGATGACTTGGAGGACGAGAGCATCGACGAGCTTAGTATGAACTTCGAATGAAGAAAACAACGGCAGGATATCTTCAAAGATTATCCCTGGCTGTGGAAAATCGGGATATTGCTTCAACGCGCCACGCAGCTCATCGTGAAGCTTGTGTAGTTTCTGTGAGGCTTCGGCGGTTACCATTTTCGGAATTTCTTTTCAGTATTAGCTTGGGAAAGCCAACAGAATTAAAGCTGATGCGAGTTGAAACGGCGAGGGATGACGATATGATTGCGCAGTAATGTTTCTTCCGCCGATGCAATCGAGAATAATTAATAATCCTAGCCTTTTTTTTTTTTTGCGACTTTGTGATTTGCGCCAGGCTTAATAAAAGTAAAGCCAGATGGGATGAATTGATGGAAAGAAGTTTCTCGCAAGACGCTCTTCTTATGCAGCAGTTCTCAGGGAATGTCAATCAGGGATATTAACGTGGAAGACGCTAGCTAGCACGAGCTCGAGGGAGTAGAAGAATCTTCTTTTCGAATTTTCAAGCAAGGGCAAGGAAGGCCAGACAATATTAAACTAGGGATGATGAGCCCAATTCTTGCGCGAATTTCGAGCACGGGATCTCTGACTTGGCTTGGATTGCTTCCTGACTTTTTTCGATTGCGATGAACTAGCGAGCGAGGTTTCAGGTTCCGTCTGTCACTATTGATATCTCTTCCATCCGTAGAGAGCCTAGTCTCTGTGGGTGGCAGCGCTTCTTTCCGATCGGATTGGTAAGGGAAAAATCTTATCAAACGTTAGCATTGCATCTTGCTCTTGGCCAAATTTGGGTGGAGAACTTGTGTTAGGAAAGCAGGTGGAGCACTAGCCACAGCGCCACAAATTGCCCCTCTTTCGCTGGGGGCACTCACCAGCCACAGATATGTTGGATACACGAACGGAAGATAATTTGGTGATATGTGATGTTGTTTGATGATAGAATAGCTGAAGGTATGTAATAGAGAGTGTCAGATTTCATGATCTTGCTACCTGTTCCTCTCTATTATATGCATTATATGCTTTACATTCCGCACAGTGTGCATCGCTGTAGACCCGGCTGTGATTCATCCCACTTGCAATTGTTTGCAGAGAGTGGGCGCCCCGCAGTACTTTGAGAGCAGTCATTCACTCCGAAACAAAAAAAAAGTCGCAGCTGCTGTCACCTCCACCAAACAACAACAACTACCCGCCTCCATCGACAACATCAACATCGGCATTGACGTCAACGAGTAGCCTAGAACGACTTTACTCACGGCTTCCATAGGTCCTACGTCTTCCAGAAACAAATTTCTAAAACCTGTTATACTCTCGGCCCGTTTGAAACGTACACCAACCCTTTGTCCAGGCTGCCCACAATGGCGGAGCTACAAACAGAGGTCCTGCAAAAGCTTGACGCTTCGCCCGATGCCACCCTGACATCTGAGAATGACTTCCCAACTTTACCTTTTACCACATTAAAAGCAGCTCTTGACTCGCTGGGTTCCAAGGAAATGATTACATATGAAACACGGGAAACCGATTACAATGTTTTGACTGCTGAGGGACAGCAGATTCTCGAAACTGGGAGTCATGAGGCGAAGGTCTGGGAGATAGTTCATCGCTTGGGAGAGTTTAGGATCGCCGATCTTGCTGTGGGTTTGGTGTTTTCAGTACCATTGGGAAATCAAGAGTTTTTTTCTGATGGCTTGAATAGAAGCAGGATGCGTTTGCGAGCGATCCTTCTTCTGCCAAAGTTGGCCAGTCTAGAGCTTTCAAAGAAGGCTGGATCAAAAAGCACCCGGAGGACAAGACTAAGATAATATCCGGGGTTAGTAGTCAATGGGTGGAGATTTCCGGGTTATAAGCTAATTACAGCAACAGGCCGACTCTATCAACGATGTCACTAGAAATCTCCTTGAAACCATCTCCCAGTCAGGGTCCCTCTCAGACGCAGTTACAGTGGCAGATCTCAAGAAGCGGAAGTTGATCATCGCCCAGAAGAAGGTCGCTTTCACTATTCATAAGGGAACCAAATTCGCTCTTGAAATATTGAAAGAGTATACCGACCTAGACGCGGATATGTTGACAAGGTTGGGGCAAGCTATCTAGGCCTTTATTTTGGTTGTTGGGTGGCACGAAGCTGACTTCGCACTTATGGTTGTAGTGGCAAATGGCAAGAACTAACCTTCAAGCCGTATAATCTTAAGGCACTAGGAGCACCTGCCATGGCTGGAGCACTCCATCCTTGTAGGTTGCCGTCATATCAACGACCAAATTGCGCATCAGACATGACAGCTAACTCAATTTCCGTTAGTGGGGAAGGTTCGCCACGAATTCCGTCAGATTTTCTTTGAAATGGGCTTCACAGAAATGCCTACAAACCAGTGAGTGTCATATCCCCACCAATGATCTTCTATAACTGCGGGCAAATGATTAACCTTGAAGCATTAATGCCTCAGGTTCGTCGAGTCTGGTTTTTGGAACTTCGACGCGCTTTACGTGCCCCAACAACATCCAGCCCGTGATGTACAGGATACCTTCTTTATCTCAGACCCGGCCAAGGCGGACATGCCTCGAAATGAAAATGGGGAACTTTTAACCGAATATTGGGATAATATCAAGCAAGTCCACGAGACCGGCAAGTTCGGTTCCCTGGGGTATAGGTACCCTTGGCAGGGCGACGAGTCGCTCAAGCTTGTTCTACGAACACATACAACGGCAACATCTGCCGCGATGTTGTACAAGCTCGCCCAGGACCCTCGCCCCGCGCGTTATTTCTCTATCGACAGGGTTTTCAGAAACGAAACAGTAGATGCGACACATTTGGCAGAGTTCCATCAAGTAGAAGGTGTAATTGCTGACTTCGATCTGACTCTTGGAGACCTGATTGGTTTCATGAATGAGTTCTTTGGTAAGATGGGTGTTAAGCAGCTACGCTTCAAGCCGGCATACAATCCTTACACCGAACCCAGTATGGAAATATTTAGCTGGCATGAAGGGCTGGGCAAGTGGGTTGAGATCGGTAACTCCGGTATGTTCAGGCCGGAGATGCTTGAGAGCATGGGGCTGCCAAAGGGTATGAAGGTCCATGGTTGGGGGCTGAGCCTGGAACGGCCAACTATGATCAAGTAAGTGCGCAATTATGAGCTTTGCCGCACAAACATTTGGTTCTAGGATCATCTAGACTAACCGGTTTTTCCGCTTTGTTCAAACAGGTATGGCGTTTCGAACATTAGAGAGTTACTTGGTCACAAGGTCGATCTAAATTTCATTGAAGGTAACCCCGCAGTTAGACTTGACCAGGAAGCTTAAGCCCGGAACCAAGTAACCTGGAAATGAAAGAGATATTTGAAACCTTCGGCCGTGTAGCTAGCATGCAAATAGTTTCTTTTTACATTATTTCGTAATCATAATAGACTAGAGACCTGCATTGCATCCGAAACTGACTTAATTTTCCAACCCATCGTCTCATAGCCCCCCATGCAATATGCTGGAAGATCTTTTCATGTGAGACGAACCCGTGCTGTGATAAGGCATTGCCGCAAGGTGCAGCTTGGAATACCCTGGCGCTGCCGCAGGTTCTGCGAATTACAAGGTTGAACCCCGTGTTTTCTAAGTTCTAAAAAATTGATATATTCTATCTGAATTGTTTAAGCAATTTGATGCGACTACACTATTCAGTATCACCCAACGAGCCGGGTCTGTGATCAGGCTGATGCCTATCTATCGTACGGGTGAAGATTTCCAGGGCTCCCTTGTTAAAATGGCATCGCATTTTTATATGTGTAAGCATGTGAGTACAATCGAATCAATAACGGTGGACCCACATTGCAAAGCGAGTCGATGGGGTATCGGTCAGCCGGCGTGAAAGAGAGGCACGTTCCTTCCGCTATTTTCGAAGTGATCTAAGGTACCCACTTTTCAAATTGTACCCTTGCAAGACCGTTTCGATTCAGGTGATTCCGAGATGGGTGGGCCGGTCGGTATCAGGTACCTTTATCGAAGCTCGGGTTGAAATTACCGACAAAAATGTCCTTCTTCTAAATTTCTTTCAGGTGGAATCAGTGGCACCCCCCGAGATTGACTAGCTAGGGAGCTAGTATGACCAAGGAATAGACTTATTACCATGTCAGATTTTCCAGAGAAGTCCACGGTCGATCTTGATTCCTACATGCCACTACTCAAGTAAAGTCTCGAGCCTCGGCCATCTTTTTCATGGTTAATGGAGTGCATGAACTGACGGTCCCGAAGGCCCTCGAAAGAAAAGTTGTCCCGCTAGCCCTGAATTCTTTTAGCTTTGGAAAAGGCCAGGGGCACGCATACGAAATAAAACGTGGATGGCAGATGGATACACCTAAAGGCAATTCTCAAGAAGAATTTCCGGGAATTGGGACCGGCCGTCTTTGGTTTGCAGGCCCAACATTCCAACAGGAATATATGGAAGGAAGCTCTAGCTCGGGCCAGGGCGTAAGGTATGGGTTGAGTCTTGTATATTGCCCAGAGATGCCTTGGCATAGTTAAATGGCAAAATGCACGGACAGTACTGTAGCAGTTAACTCCTATGTAAGCTGAAGCTGAACATCGACTATAAGACAAAGCAAGCAAGCTATGTCTTATTGGGCCTGGCCAGGGTTTCAGCGGGGGCTTTTTTTTTTTCGATTTCGATTTCGATTTCGATTTCTCGCATTAGTCTTGCCAAATAGTTCGAAGCTCTCTAGTTCGCGAAGTTTATGCGATATATGCATAATGCAATATTTCCAGTTCATTATAGGTATGTTATCTCGTTTATTCAAACCTTAGACGGTTCTCAATGTCATCGTCGGAAAGAACCGTTAGTTAATGCCGTTTTGGCCGGATTCTAAATGCAACGTCAACACGGTTCATGACTGAAACTGCTTTGCTTTGCCGTATATGCGCGAAGTGGGCTGTAGCGTTGTACTCGCATTGATTTTGACAAGAGAGTCTGATATCTTGTTCTCGCGTTTCTATTGGGCTCCAAAACTTATTTTAATCTAATGTTCATGAATTCAACATAGGATGAGGATAGAAGGGTCAGAATATGTTCCCGACTTGATTAAGGATCTTAGCCGTTTCACCTGAAGATTTATTTATGGAATAATGGAATTTTAGCCTAAGTATGAAATTCCATGAGATAGTTTTGAAGAGGCCAACAAGAATAGTTGACGCGGTTGACGGTATACGGTATGTACCATACGCAGCGGCCGGCGCCGAAGACACAATTACTTTTTTGACGACATTAGTCCATTTTTTCCCAAGGTCACGTTGGATTTACTATTTACGGCCACGGATTAGCTATCTTTGGCTATTTTCACAGCTCGCTGCTCTAGAGGGGGTCTTAACAGGTTAGCCTTTAAAAAATAGAACATAAATTGCAAACAATCCGATGATTGTTGTACTGTGTATCTATAGTAATTCCAACTTCTGCCTATAGAAACTCTATCCAGAGCCCGGGGAACTAACTAATTGCTTCTGGATTACAAGCTGTGTTGGATTAGCTATTTTGGTATATTTTGAGATTGGTGGCCCGTTGTTTTTAAAGTTGCATACAAAGGCGGCGGGTTGTCGTAGAATCAAGCAGATTCTCGTCTATAGATCTAGATCTCTATAGACGTTACATACGTTTCCTAACATATGCCAGTGGTTATATTTTGTTTTATTTTATGTTTCTAAGCGCTAAGTGAGGCAAGTCAAAAAAAAATCTTGAAACGAACCTGAGGATGAGAAAAGTTCGTTGCTGAGGTTATACAGAGATATAAGCCACGGTGCATGCTTGTTGGATAGCATAGTGGCCGCTTGCACAATAGCCCACAGTGATGCAAACCAGCTCTGTGAATCATTAATTTCATTTAATTAACTCTGGCCTTCGACTATTGGAGCACCAACGATTGTCAATGATTATTCAGGAGGTTGTCCTCATGACTGGAATTCTATAGCCATGACCCATTTATTCATGCTATCGCCATTTAACTGGTTCCTGTTGTACACGTGCCCTGTTACTTACAGATTTACAACCGTGTTTCCTTGATTCATTGGAGGGTATGGTTTCAATTGTCATTTTCCGTAGGTATTTAGTCAAACGATATGCAAAACTGAAGGCGGTTAATGCAGAAGAAATATCATGATTAATTTCTTCCTTGGCTATAATCAGTGGCGTAAGTTGTAGTTATTGTTTATGGACAGGGAATAGACCAACTGCAGAGCAACTGCATATGCGGAAGCGGTCCAGCTGCTACTAGTAGACTACCATGAATTATGCATGGGCTTTTCGAGATGAAATGGGCCTTAGAGATAGTAATCACATCACTTCATACTACTGAGAAACTCAGCAATCCGCGAGCAGAGTACTGGGGAATCAAAATTTGTGATTTTGGTATGTACCTTTTCAAGTGGGTGAGATAATTACAGCTGTGAAATAGCGGGCTTTTTGGAACGTGTTCAAAATGGTTAGTGGGTTTTGGAGTACCCTGGTTTTGATTTGCTAAGTGGTAGAGAGGCAACAGGTCAGATGTGTGGACCCTGTTATGTGTGCACTTAACTTCACGGTGTGAGAGGTTTCAATGAATTCAGAAGCGGGGAATGAGTGAGACCTACATAAATCTTTTGCGGTCCTTTCTATATTTTATGCCTCGGACACGGCAGGATATCACTAGAATCCTTTTCTTTGTCTGACTGGCCTACCGCCTCCACCTGCCATTGTGTCATTTAACGGTTTGCCGTTGATGTTACCTTGGGAATTGTAGATGCATCATGTAAGTACAAATACGATTGCAGGTGCGATAGACGGTGATTGCCTTTCATTCCCTTTTCATTTTTCTTGGAAGAGATAGGGAGGGGAAGGGCAACGAATTGCGGGAAATTATCGGTTGATAGAGTTAAAACATCCCGCTATCGGAGTTGGATGCCTACGTACGTTTTACATGAAGATTATTGGTTCCTCTTCCCCTGCTTTCCTGTCATTGAATTCATGTCGGCAGAGGCACGCGTGTGAAGATTCTACCTTGTCTAAATTTCAAGGCAAGACAGGAAAACTGGGTACCCTGGTCTGGATGGGATACTGCATGCTGCAAGGCTTTTGAAGGTTACTAACATGGTATCCAATTGATCTGCTATCGAATGAAATGAATATTAGCTTGGAACTTTTTGGTGGATCGGTGAATTTACTGGTTTTGATTTAACTGTATGCATATGCATGCCGGGATTATACTCCTAACCGTAGAGGCTTCGAGATTCGAAACACTGCTACGAAGGGATCGACCCCTCTATCAATGTGAAAGACCTCGTCATAACGACCAACATTGCTTAATATCATTGCCGCATCTCACCGTAGGCAAAAAGCTAGAGCATTCTCGTATTAGAGACTAGGATTAGAAGATCGCTGAGGATTATCATGAATCATGAATCATATACTCAAGGGTCTTTGCCTATATGTATACTAGATAGCTAGTTTATGTTAGATGCTGATGTCCTAATCTTTAAAGTCGCCACTCCCTAAACTCGAATCTAATTATAATTAGGTACTTTTTTCGACGGTTCCCGACACAATTAAAGTGTGGCTTCGTAGTATGCACTTTATCAATTGGATTGGTCGATAGGGATCCGCATAACCCGGCCTACGTGCCTCGTCCTAGTTTTTGACCAAAGGATGTCGTTTAGTTTTCTTGCAATTGTCTAAGCTGCATATCCAGCTCCAGTCTCACGTGGGACGCATGCGTAGTAGGAGTCGACTCATGGTTCAACTAGCATACTATTGGAGTCATGAACATGACGATATGGGCGACCGGCCATCGAGCCGAACTAGCACCACTGGTAGACCGATAATTCTATATGTCAAGCGGAGTCGAGTGATATCATGACGGTAATTTTCTAGCATTGAGATCAGGAGATTAGGGCAGGGGGGATTTTCATTGATTGCATTATAAAGTAAATTTATGGTGTCAACGTACGTACAGAATGGGGCCTTTAATCCCGCATAAATGACGCGGGGCGATTGTGATTTCAGTATCGACGAAGTAGTCCGAATTAAAGGTACTGGTTTAGAGATGGTTTTAGGGTTATATTGCCGGAATCACGACAGCGATTTCTAGGTTTAGGATTTCGCTGCACAGGTAGGTCTACCAGGGGGCTACCATATATGCATACGGAATTGCCGAATCGATATACAATACAGGTGGACCTACAGGGCGAATGTGGGAGCCATTGTAAGCTAGGATGGCTAAGTACTAATACAAATGAACTAGGTATGCATGATGTAATTTGAAGGTCAGAATTTGAGCCCAAATACGCTTCTGTGCTTCAACTTTGTAAATGTAATACGTACCTGTGGGCTCTGAATCTTCTCAAGGTATCCCGAATGATTTCCGGGTACCGATGAGATCATTACTCAGCTGTATCAAGATATCTACCTAGGTAAGTAGATGTCAAACAAATATGTTCATGGACTGTAACGTTCCAGTTAGCAGCTTCTCTCCGCTCCTCCTAGGTAGACACGCCTAGCAACTTGATGACTAGGCCTCCCCTGCTTGCCACCCACTCTCGACATACCTTGCTAGTGTGCAATATACCACCACAAAGCAACCACCAACAATGGGCTCTTCTATCCATCCCAGATACCTTCCATCTCCAGTCATTCGACAAATAGAGGTCAATACGGACAAGGACGATCCGAATACCTCAATATCTAACCCGGATTTTCATTTTTTGCCGTCGAGGTCGGTCAGTATATTTGGTGGTCAGGTGGTTGCCCAGGCTATACTAGCTGCTCATGCCACCATCGACCCTGGTCTAGATATCCATTCGATTCATTGTAGTTTCATTGATAAGAGTATTTTTGTCCCTTCCCGTGGTCACATATGAATTTCGTAAGATTATAGGCAGCTAATATATTGGATATCATACAGCGGACCCGAAACAGGCCCTGATATATCGTGTTTCCAACGTCAGAACAGGGAATACGATTGCAAATCGTCTCGTCAATGTCTTCCAGCATACAAGGCTGGTCTTCATGGCGACGATGTCCTTCCATCTTTTTGAGAAAGAACCTGTACTCAAGCACAACCGCGGCTTGCCAAGCACTTTTCCTCCATTTGAAATCATGAATCCAGTCAAAAGATCGGATTACTATCAAATGATCTTCCAAGACGGTTTGAAGGAGAACGAGGAAGTTCTCTTGGCGGCTTTGGAGGTCAAGCATTTGATGCCTAACCCCACTGTCCTTCATATTGGTATGTCGATAGACTGATCGCTGGGGTGATCCTGAGAGAATATAAGACTGCTAGCTAACATATGACCGGCGCATAGAATTGGCAAAGTTGAAGGATTTCTTCAAAGAGACTCCTAACGTACCTCTTGCCGGTACAGGATTGAGTAAAACTTACCGTTTCTTCGAAGAGTCGCTCCGTTCTGGCAGTCTGGCTAAGGTAGTGGCCGAGGCCCCGTCGACAACTTCGAAGATCATTTATCAGTATATGAAAGTGAACGGTGAACTTCCAGAAAGCCGGGCCTACCATACTGCAGCATTTGCATTCGCGAGCGATGCTTTCTCAAGTCAGCTCCCCGCAGTTCTAGTCTCAAACAAGGATGTGAGTTGCTATAACTATTTCATGAACGGCCTGCAGGCTTTATCATGCTATATAAAAGATAGGTACTGATATATTGCTTGGTACAGTTGCTATGGATCACATCCTTAGACCATACAATCTACTTCCACAAACCTGTTAACCCATGTGATTGGCTCGCTGTTGAGAACATTGTTTCTGTCGCTGATGCAGGCAGAAGCCTTGTCGAGATGAGGTACTGGAATAAAGATGGCGAACTCGTCGCAACTGTTATGCAGGAGGTAAGCACTCATATCATCTATACTCACTACACGATGAATCCAGCTCAAAGACCAAATGATAGGGCCTCTTCCGCGGTAAGAAGAAGGCGAAACTTTGAGGTCGGCCTCTTCGATGACGTCATCACTCAGAAGCTTTATAGTTATAGACCTTGACGAGCACTCTTCAGCTTCCCTAGGTCATACGTTTCCTTTCTGGCGTTAGAAACTCACAATGCAATGCAATGCCTAACTTCGTTTGTCTTTACTTTAAACTTTTTTATAACGCCATCATTAAAGCATTTTGAATTGATTGAATTAGACCAGCTCTCGGTTATCTCGTAAACCAGAATTATATAATATCGACTTGGCAACCTTTCACCCTATTCAAATATAAGCCTGGTCTCGTTGGTAACAGCCAACACCATCATTAGTCTCGTTCCCAGAACCATCATGCACGTTACAACCCCAAAAATACCACATAATTGTGTGTTGTTTAGCGTGTGTTGCACGATACCGAGAATGACTACGTGTAACCTGCTCGGTCGCGGCTGGTCTCGTAAACCAGACAACACCACACGGAGTCCAGTCGCGGCTACTATTTATTTAGCACAGACGTATGCACACGTATGAAGGAAAGTCGCCAGAACAGTGCATATTGTATGACAATGTAGATTGTGAATGCGATAACTCCCAGACTTAGGATCTCCAAGATACTTGCGGATAAAGAAGGAAGATTCATCATCGCCTAGTAAAGCTTAATATAATCGTCAACACCTCCTACACAGCTACATGCGGTTTACGCTCCATAAAACGGGGTTTCCGAATTGACCCCTGCAAAAATCCGGGGTTCTCGGTATCAAGCTCTCGCCAATTTAGAAAGTCGGATCATTTAAAGACGTCATACTATTCTTAACCTGGATATTGGAGTGCCGTGATGGCTTGTAAAACTACTTGAAAAAGCTTGTTTCTACCCTCCTCGTACGACAGGTTAGTTTAGCTTCAGGCACACATCCACTACCACGAGTATCCTAATAAGGGGAATTACTTATCGGGTCTATTAAAGGAAGCTCTGGGGTTTGAAGTCTGAGAAGACGGGTGGTGACGAGTAGCTCTATTTGGAAGGATGTCGTAGGTGATTTACTGAGTGTCAAAGGTTCGGCAATATGTATAAGGGGATTGGCGAAGATGAGGGATAGTTCTGGATGCTGCTAAGTTTCGAGTTGGTGGCCGGATCTTCATTCAATAGTATAGTAGAGTATGAGTGAAATACCAGTGCGGGAGTTATTGGCATTCGGGAGAGTGGCTTCGTCCTGGAATATTTAAATCGCACAATCAGACGGGTTCCGAGCTAGAATATACATTCATGAAGAAACAAAATAGCCAGCCGAAGTTAAGATACCACCCCAATCAATCTCATGAGAATCTGGACCTCCAATAAGGAAATTCTTCAACAACTTATATAAAAGTTTTCACAAGATCTCAATCCACCAAAAACTATAGAATACAATGTACTTAACGAGCATTACCACCCTCTACCTCCTCGCAACCCTGGGAACAGCGTTCCCTCACTACCGCCGCCAGGATACCAGCAATAGTACCGTCGAGGCTCCCGCAATTAGAATATCCATGGGGTGTACTATTATGGCCAATGCCTGCAAGTTCTATATTCAGAGCCCACAGTGTACTCAAGAATGGGTGTTAGATGTTCATAGGTGAGGTTTACAACGCGAAGATCTATCTACGATATGTGTCGTTGGTGAAACTGTATTTTGAATATCGGGCTAAAGTTAATTCAATACTTTTAGGTGCATTCCGGAAGCCTGTATCAGTTTGAGGGAGATGGCTATGAGACCTTGTCAGGACGAACCTGAAGAGCCGGAGCTGGAGGGGGCGGAAGCTTAGTTATTCATTTTGATCAATTCAATTGATCAAATAGGCAAGGATGTCAGATATTTAGATTAGCTTGGTCTCGTTGGATAAGCCTAAATCATGTCCTTAGATAAATACTGCAACAAGGCTAGATTTTAAACATATATATGCAGATAGTGAAGTGCAAGTCGTGCATCATGGCTGACCTTGAGCTACCAGTTAAATTTTATTCCATCGATTTGAATACGAAACTACTCTATCATTACTCTACTAACTTTTTTCTGGTAGGTCTCATCAATAAGGTATATAAATTGCTTTCATTCCGTTAACTTGGGGGGAAGGAGGTGGTAAGTTGTGGGCACTCCTGCACCTTTAAGTCGTGTGTTGTCGATGTTGCAAATATTTCACCCAAAAAAGGAAAATTAGCAACCTTCAAATTCGATGCCAATTGAAACCTCATTCGTTCCCGTCCTTAGAACCTTCTTTATCCGCCTTCACCGCGTACGAAGCGTGAAAACCATCGCATCCTCCAATGTCGCTCCTTCGGCGGTAGCAATTATCATTCCGAGCTTACTGGTCTCCACGCCGTCAATTGGTACCGCCATGCGGATTTGCGGGCGACTATCAACGGTAATATGCACAGCACATATCTCATATTGCCCTGCTGGTTATACGGCCGCAAGATGTCAACGTTTCCTGTCGACTACCACGGATGAACCGCTTCCGGAAAGACCACCTAATGCTACGATAAGAATTAGGCTCATGAAATCTGGACCGTCCCTCCCAGAACCAGAAGATGGTTCGCCTCCGGAATCCAACAACGATGTTCGAAGGATGCTTAGGGAGAAGTTTCCCGGAATAATAAAAACACGGCATAGGGAAAGGAAAGTGGCACAACGGGAGAGACGCGCAAAGGCGAAACTAGGTCTTAACACGGACCCGACGGAAACCCCTATTGCGTCGGTCCACCCAACGGCACAAGAGCGGTCCGTCAATAGCACGGTAACACAACAAAGGAGCATGTCCGAAATATGGGAGAAGGAGAAAAAGAAAAAGAAAAAGAAAGGTGCTGCTTCGCTGGAACAGGGCTTGGCAATAAGTGCGAAGGATTCTATGGAGGAGACCTCAAACCAGCAGTCGACGTTTCCCGTTCCTACACACCTCGGCAATATCACAAATGCCAGCCTCGGAAACGCACAGTGGAAATACAACCGTGTCTCTTACGACGCTATGTTAGACGCAGTTCTCACTCTGTCGCCCGGTCTTGTTATACAAATCCTTCAATTGAAAGAGGTTAGGCGACTCCGTGACGCATATTTACATAGTCTCGTCAAAGAAGGACTACAAAAGGGTGACCTGATATACTACCGAACCAACGGAGCGATTCGTATCAAGAGGATGGAGTGGGCTGATAAACTTCATGCCTTGAGGGTCAAGCGGGATATTTTAACGTGCTATTCTGTGAATCTCGAGACAAAAGATATTATGTTCGACTACAAGCTAGCAGCAAAGATTTTTGGTGGACATGAATTTCCTACGGACACTCGAGTCCCGGGGATCCCGTGGGTCCTTAGCCGCAGGAGATCGCTGACACTGAAGCCAAAATCCAGTGATAAGCATGACAGAGACAAGGAAATTATGATGGAGGAAATTGCCCAGGCGGGTGGATCTACAGCGCCTACCGCACCGGAGACGCCTGGCGAAACACCTGGAGGTAGTAAAATTCTACAGACCTTTGATGGAGCTCCGGCCACAGGCTCTCTAGCTCTTAGGAAACGGGCAGTAACTGGAGAAATCGATCCTGTAGTTGGTACGGAGAACCGGGATGCTCCGCAAGCTGCTGGTACACTGGAATCCCGCTCTACGGTGTCGTTTGCCCCTCCGCTGGAGGCTCAACTCGACGGCGGTTATGAGTATCTTCGTCGAGGCCGATGAATTTACCATTAAGTTAAACTTAATACGGCAAAATTACCGACTATTAGGCATGCAATCGGCCTTGTATTATATCGTCATCACCGAATGACAACCGATTCAGTTGTATATATTTGACATCATTTGCCCGCTCGCTAGGAACGAGACGAGCTGTATATGAAACGGCACCTGGCTCATAAATTGAAAGAGCAAGACTTATCAACAAATTCAAGAATGAATTAAACAAAAAGTTAGATCATCACCACAGTCTACTAGTATAAAACTAAAGACCTTAGGCATGATGCTTAGCATCAAGGTCCTTTTCTGACAGAACTTCATCGCTATGATAAGCGCCATCACCATTTGGTATCAATCCAAGCTCGGCATATATAACCTCTAGTCTTTGTCTGTCTGTAGCAGACGTTCCTGCCTCGTCGCCGAACACTTCGTCCATCTCCTCGAGGGAGAGATTCTTTGTTTCAGGGACAAACCACCATACGAAACCGGCAGCGATAGTACAGATTATACCAAAGAAGATAAAGGTACCGTATTTTGTTGAGGCGACCATGTCTGGAGTAGCTTGTCCGATCTGGAGAATTCAAATATTTTAGTCTATCTTTCACTAAAACTCAGTGAGATCCGGTACTTACCGCAAAATTGTTTAGCCAGTTAGAAGAGCCTCCGATGGAAATACCCTTGGCTCTGACACCGAGAGGGAAAACTTCGGATACAAGAACCCAAGCGCCAGGACCTAATAATGTCATGATAATTAATTAGCACCAGGCTCAAGAACTCGCATAGAAGACTTTAGGGTTTGCCCACCCCATGAATATCCAAAATGGATCTCATATATCCATACAAAGACAACAGCAACCCATCCAGCGGCGCGATGATTTGGCCAGTCATTTCCGTAAGATCCGAAGAGGCCAGCGACAATAAAATGACTAATGGCCATCCCGATGGCCCCGGTTATAAGGACTGGTTTACGACCAAGCTGGTCGATCCAAAGTACAGCAGGGATAGTAGCCAAAAACATAGCAATACCACCAACACCAGATGCCAACAGAGAAGTGGTATTTCCGGTTAATCCCAGATCCTTGAAAATGAAAGACGCATAATAAAGAATGGCGTTGATGCCAGACCATTGCTGGAAGATCATAATCCAGATTGCGACATTCACTCGTTTGAACAAAGACTTGTTCCTAAAGAAGCTCATATATTCGTGGAAGCCTAACAAGAAGTTGTCTTTGAAGGTTCCGTGCTGGTACTGTGGGAAGTTTGCTTCGGACGTTCGAACTTCAAATAAATGTTGAGCTTTAACTTCGAGATATTCTATCCGGACAAGTTCGTCTGTTTCTGGCCGGCGACGAAGCTTTGCAAGAACTTCCAGGCATTGTTGGTCCATTCCTTTCTTCATGAGCCAACGAGGGGATTGCGGCATGAACATAATACCGATACCCAGCACGATGGCGGGAACAAGCTGGATACAGATTGGGATCAACCAAGCAGCATCAGATTGGCCTTCTTCAGTTCCACCAATAAAATTGGTTCCGTACCCAATCCAGTAACTTATCATGATGCCGAAAGTGATGGCGAGCTGCTGTAAACTGACAAGCGCACCTCGAAGTTCTGGAGGTGAAAGTTCGGCATTGTAAAGTGGCACCACCATAGATAGAGAACCAACGCCTAAACCGGTGATAAACCGACCGCTGAGGATATAGTCGACATTCTTTGCGCATGCTTGGACTATCACGCCGATACAAAAGACAATTGTAGCGAGTACGCAAGCACGTTTTCTGCCCAAGGCGTCTGCGAGATAGCCATTGAGGAGAACACCGACCCAGGCTCCGAGCTCAAGAATACTATTATATATAATTTTATGTAAATACGAAGACTATTCCTATGATTAAACACCTACTTGCGCAGTCATGAACCCTCTAGCGGTTGGATTCTTTATTTGTTCCGGGTGGACAGTATTCGCAAATGATGGCATGCTCAAGATTTGCCCGAACATACCCTGATTGTCTATTAGATAGCAACTTGTCAGCTTAAATCATTTTAGTGCTACCGCTGAAATACCTGCCAAAACTTACATCCATAGACCAGTCCCCCAAGCGACGCGAAAACTGAAATTGCAAATACATTTCCATTCTGGATCAGACCCTTGACACCGGGTGGCCCAGAGAATTGAGCTCTACGCTTTGAGAACGCCTCAAACTCTTTACCGCTGCCGCCCGCGACCATTTTGGTGAAAGTCAGGTTTATGATTTTATATCACCCAAGGTAGCCAATCTTCTGTGGAGATAGAAGCTCGATGCTGTTCAATGACGAAAGACTGCGGAAAAATCACCAGCGGCCATGGGTCAGTTTTATACCTTTTCACTCGAGGTGCAACGAACTCATCGCTTGCAAGCTACCCCGGATAACCGGCCGGGAAGAAACAATACATAATCCTGAATCCCAGAGTATGTCTTAATACGGCGCTTCTATAGCAGTGTACATACATTGCAATACTCATTATCACGCTCAGAGAAGGATGTACTGGCTGCCTAAATTTTCTATGACCATGCCCGGACGTTAAAAGGATCCATAAGCAATGGAATGCAACACTGTGTTGAAACTTCATGTCAACGTTTCTTATTGATTAGGCTAATATGTGGGTTTCCCCGCCATTGTATTCGAAGATCATAACTAATCGTAGGGAAACGGTGACAGTCAGTTGACGGAGTGGAGCATGGAGCAGTGGGAATAGTTGGAGAGCAGGTGGATCCATGAGGGTCAAGGGGACACGAACTAATGCATGGATTGGTTTAAATGGTGATTCGATGAGAGCACAAAAAAAAACAAGCTTATATAAGACTATGCTAAGAAAAACGCCTCTCTGTATTGGCGTAGTTCGGTTCCAAAGAAACGAGAGGGAAAATATTTAAGCCTTTTTGGCTAAAATGGATAAACTTGAAAATCCGCTTTTTGAGCGGGAGATTTTGATGTCGCACGAGCGGAGAGAACGTGGGGACTGCAACCTCGGAGAAAGCGGGCCACTTCTACACGAGGGACAGGCTTCTTCCTGGCTCTTGGTTTTTCTTTTCTTTTTCCTTTTTAAACATGCACTTATCTTTTTTTTTCCGGGAGGGCTTCGAATTAGCTAGTAGAGCGCTAGAGCTCTGAAATACATGCCGACATCTAACCCTTGCAATTGGACTCGCAGATACCTGCATATAATTGCAGCGACAAGACTATTGTACCAGTGGTTCTATAGGCTTCTTGCATAAAATTTTACTCTCATGTACATGTAAATACTTATCCTGAATCAAGGAACTATACGACGGGCGTACATTATTGCATATGTGCATAAATAGAGATAAACACATCCTTAAATTCGCGCGTCCCAATTTAAGCCAACCAGCCAGCCTCAGTATAAGGGTTCGGCTAAAATCTAGATTTCCAACGGCTTCTCAATAAATTCACACCGTCCGGGGGAATAATGTCGAGGACCCAGGGAACAGTTGATAGAGATACGCGGAGCTAGCAAATTCAGCTTGGCGCTTTGGTCTTCATATCCACTCTGTGACAGTCTGCCTTGGGGTATCGACCCCTTGACGATTTCGAACGGACCCGTCAATACCAATTGTAAGTAGTTTATCCGGTAGACATTCTTTGTAGTGCCAACTCTCGTTTCTTATGCTACCTTCCGAACAATGCCCGAAAGAACTGTGCCCATGCGTTTCAAGGGCCAGAGTCATCATCATAAGGCTACGGAATCATCAAAAGGTTATGGGAATTATCACACTATCTATCATGCATGCGAAATTGTGTGTGGCCCCAAATTCTCATTGCATTGCACCGATGCCCAAGTATAGTACCTACTGTGCCAGAAAGAGGGTTTATCGATACGGTATTAATACAGTTTTTTCGTTATAAGACGGTATTACGGTGTTCAATACGGATGAGAGCAGTATATATTAAGCAGTACTATAGTAGTTGGTTGCAGCTGACCACATAGTTTTGGGTAGAGGCCGGGTCCAGAAATTGGCCGGGAATACAATCTTCAAATACTCGGGGCCATTACATTTATTCGGGTAAAGCTTCGGCAAATTTCACAAATGCAGGTAGTGAATCGATATTGATAAATTATGAAATGGAGTTGTAACCTCCCTAACTACCGGATATCCACCCGAGCAGAACTTTGTGTTCCCAAAAGCGGGTTTGCCGATCACTAATTACCTAAACGAGTTGCTGAATTGTTGCATTTTCCGACCGCAACGCAGAGTTGAGATCAGCTGCACGTGAACTTTCTAGCAGTTCTCTAATTTATTCTCGGCCCCCCCTAGCTAACCTAATGGTATCAGATTCATAGTTTATAGAAGATCATAGCCCATAAGTTCATTGACGGTCGTAAATCGTAGCTACTATACATGTTCTTTTCGCTTAATATGCAGAAGTCCACGAGTCGCAGACCCGCCAAATTAGCCTCTTAGAGGAGGTCGGCTAGTACGTAATATTTGCACTAGGCATAATAGTCATCTTCAACAGCCTCAGTCTCGGCCTTATTCTCAGCATCTTTATTGGCATCCTTAACCCCTTCGACCAACTCGGTTCCTTTCCCTCCTGGAATCTTTTCTTCTTTCTTAATTTCCTCGATAGCTTCCTTGGGCACAGGTTCACCACCGACTGCCACCTCGATTTCTTCCTTCGTTGGAGGACGACCCTGGTAGACGGTGACTGTGGGAGCTTGTTGGATGACTGTAACTGTGGGTGGTGCGACTGTGATTTTAACAGCAGGGGGCTTCGGCGCCGCTGGTACAGGGAGGCCGACCTGCTGGAATGCGAGACATCCTCCAAATGGACCTAAATGAAAGAGTTTACGTTAGAGCCTGTCAAAAATTCGGGGAGGATTAGCCAGGGTGGCGTAGGGAATAATGAGAGTCTATAGGACTTTTAAGAACGTAGAGAGGATTAAACTGTTCCTTTCTCCATCTTCAACCTTCATCCAAGACTCACCACCTTGAGCCGCACGATCAAGAGCTTCTTTTTGAATTTAGGGCTAGTATTGGGGTTAACTCACCATTGACGGCTTGATTCTCACATCTGATGATACAAACATTTTTGTAAGGCCCTGCGGTTCCACCACATCGAATACCTGCCGGGATCGGGAGGTGGATCCAATTGTTTGGTTTATGGATAGTTCCAACGTTAAAGGAATATTTATTTCCTGGCATATTTTGGGTGGGCCAAAGCCATTGGCCGAAGCTGTTTGCTGTGCCCGTCTGATCAATCCTGCATCTATATGGACCAGCGCCGTCGATATTCACTTGATGAATTCTTATCTTCATCCATCCACCTGCCGTAGCCTGTGGCATTAATTTCTTAGACACGATGAGGTTCTTTTCATAGTTCATGTCTAACTGATAGCCTCTCTTTGATGTAAACAAGCTTTGCACTGCAGGAGCATACCAGGACTGGTGCACGAGATGCTTGTTGTCCCTGATATTGTTTCTCCAGATGATCTGGAGGGTAATACCACAGCCTGTGGCAAGGTATGTACGCGGTTTATTACAGCATGGAACGATAGGATCTTTGAAGACGGGCACGTCGACCTGGAACGGGTGTTGAGCAGTACCCCATCTGTTGCCATTGTATTGATCGATAAAACCGAGGCCACGGCCGCGAGCTTTGGCGTTGGCATTTCCATAGGCGTCGACGATGAGGCCGTGGCCATAGATTGAGCTGGCACAGCTCAAGAAAACGGCGGCCGTAGGGAGACTGACTGTGAAATGCATTTTCTGAGATACTTCAAAGCTGAGAAGCGCTGTTTTGAGAAGATTCTTAGGAGATCCTAGTAAGCTGGATCCGAAACAAGAATGGAGGGATGTGGTATAAAAGAGTGTAGTGCCTAAGCTTAAGGCTTTAAGGAGAGACGGTGCTGCTGAAGCTCTACAGTGAGGATTCGGTTACAACAAGACGATCCAGACGCCTTTATATAGTATATCTTCTCCATTCCCTTTGCTTTTCTTTCCTTCCTTCCATTCGTATCTTCTATTCGTCGCTAACTTGCTTTTGATTCCCTTTATTTTCTACCAGTACTTCCTGCTCAACCCAACCCACATTCTCATCTGTTTTCACAACATCCTCCACTTTTCTTTCTTCAAACACCCAAATCTAGTTCGGATATCTCGGCTGACTGCAAAAAGAAATGGTTCGAAATCGCAACCTGCAACATATTTCGCCCATTGCTCTCACTTTCCCCTGATCCCGGTTTATCTGACCTACCTGAAAGCTGTTTCCCATCCGGATTCTTCCTTTCCCCTCCAATTGGCATATACACACGCCTCGGTTTTTATCTCTTTCCTCTTAGATTATCCATTTTCGTGATACACCATCTGACCTCAACTCATAAAAGCCATGCTATATGGAATTTTCAAGGCGGCTCTAATATACTTCCCGCCGTAACGCACATCGAATCTGTGCAACTCGCATGCCCGGAAACGCCATTTATTTTTCCTTTCTTTTCTTCAAATCCATTTTCAGGCCTTCTTAAACTTTCAGGGATACATCGACGCGGATTGCCGCCGAGAACGCACGAAAGCGATAAGCAATTTTGCTGTACTACATATGGTATTTCGTTACGGGTAGCGATATTTAGACTAACTAGAGACGATAGGCTTTGGTGGGCTCGCGAAGATCACTTTTTGCTGTCTTTCCCAAATTATCAACGAAGTAAATATTAATATTAATATGAGTATTAATATCAAATTCCTTCATTTCAGTATCCTGACCATACGCTATGCATGTTTTCTAGGCTAAGCATTGACGACTAGGCTCTTAGAGCTCTGGTGTTGTGGCAAAGGACGCATATGCGGTATTGTATCGGGAATAGTTTCAACCCTTAGCGCTTCGAGAACCTGTTGTAGTTGTAGTATACGGCAATTCCACAAAACAATCCCTAGTTATATCAAAGGTTCCTATAGTTTGGTCATTCGCAAAACATATCGTTGGGGATCCTGGGATATCTTAGCAGGGAAGCACAAATTTTTTATGATTTAAACGCCACCAAATAAGCTAAGAGGTGATTGTGAACTGGATCTGATTAAAGCCATGGGGTTAGATGGTCTCGTCTGGGTACTGATGCCCTTGTGGCGACTGGGAACAAGACCAGGGCTCGATGATTACAGATAAACGTGTTGCGGGGCTACCTTCCAACATGGCCAAATATAAATCGACAAGGTCGCACGCTGGAGTCAACTGCATCACGCTAGAGCTTGAAAGCTAGTGATCCTAAATTTAGCCTCTTTTGCGGTAAAAAGACTAAAATGCAAATAAAAGGCATAAAAGATATGTTGCGAGGGGCCACAGTCGAAATCGAATCGACGTCTATCCGGCCAAAGATCGGATTGTGCTCCCAATTACACCATGCGGCCTTATAGAAACAGTTAGGAACTCAGGCTTCATTTCCCATATAAATACCAGGCTAAAAAAAAGCTCATATGGTGAAAGTTTTTGAGTTTTCCGCTCTAGGTTGGGTTAAGCCTGTTTCGAAGCTAAGTATCTCGATGGCTCGGATAGACTAAATTCCGTTACACAATTCGAAAACACTATCAATTATACCAACTCCGTCCGAATCAATACCATACAATCGACAATAAACACCCCCTAAGCTTAGACACGTGATGAAAAGAATGACTATGTATATATACCTCCATTAAATCCTTTCAATTGTATCACCCAGATGCTCCAACAACGGCGCCCCTTGACTTTTTTGGTTTTTCCGAAAAGCTAAAACTTCTTCATAACCACGTGTATATATAAAATGGTTTTTTTGGTCTTCAAAAATAAATGTTAGCCTAAGACTAGGGAATATCATTGAGTGGGCGAGTTAGTAGACGAGATGTGAACGCCGTTCATCCAATTCCGTACCCGCTGACCTTCACTTCTTCCGGCGCTACTTAGATTAGAAGCGTAGCCAGGCAAGTCGTCACCCGTTCCCCATTCACCGACATCACCTGCTACCATCCAAGGGATCTCGAGCCCTGGAGGTGGTGACGTTAAAATTTCTTGTGTACCATATGTTGCTGGGAAATACCGCTGTCCAAGAATGGGATTTGTAGTTGCTGTAGGTGGTGTCACGACGGGACTGTTCAGGTTTGACCCTATCGGTCCTACGGTGGGGGTTGTTGGACTGGCTGCCGCTGTTGTATATTCCATCATGTCGATAGGTGGATAAATGAGCCCAATGGCGGAATCGGGGTCAAGCGAAGTGGGTACTGCGGCGAGCAACCCTGTTGAATCAATATTTGTCGTGTCTTCGATGGGGGTAGTTGACATTGGCATCATAACCGTCTCATCAATAATTGGTGTGGGTGTGCTTTCGTTAGAGGGCGGTGATTCTGGAGACGGTCGTGTAGAACTTGGTATTTCCATTAATCTTTGGTCTCGCATCGGGTCTGGTGGTGATAGTATTGATGAGGTTTTCGTTAGGATGATTCTTAACAGTTGAGGGTTGGAAGATGTTCTGAAATGGAGAAGGTCAACGAGGCTTTTGAGGTAATCAACTGGAGTGGGTGCCCAGGATGTGAGGGCGGTAGTGGTGGGTTGGAGCGACTTGATATTTGGGACGCAAAGGATAACATCCGCTAGTGAATTTGTTATCTCAAAAAGTTTCGATTGCTAGCAAGGGACGTTAGTATTCAGCATCGTCTTGGGGCATTTTCGAAGGATATCACCTACCATTCCTGGGCCATGCGATTCAATGGCACCACGCGAAATATGTGATAACGTAGATAACAACTCTTCTGCAATTTTTAACGGAAAAGACAAAGTCATAGCTTCATCGTCCTTTCCGGTCGAACCGGCTAAGAACCCCTGCTGCATACTGACTTGCCACACCAACGTCCTCATCCAATGTTTTGTAACCAGCACATCTGCCTTCTGTACTTCATTTGTATGCGTTTTGTGGGGGTGAACACGTTTTAGGTTACTTTGAAGTTGGAGTAGCCGCTCTAACGTCGGTGCTTCATCTGTATCCCGAGATGTCCAAGCATCGATGACGGATTTGTCGAAGTTTGCGAATAGACTAGCTAAGTTCATGAAGCTTGCTAGGAGTGGCTCTTTGTCGATATCAGGTGAAGGCAGTTTAATTGTCTTATTCAATACGAAAGGAAGGTCGTGCACAATCGAATGCCCTCTAGTATATACTTCGTCAGCGGTCGGTGAGAATATACAAAGAAGGCGGCACAAACCTTTCCGTTACGAATAACAGCCAAAACAGCCTTCTTCGTAGCTCTGCATCCTCTGGCGATAGCAAGTGGTAGGCACTCTCCCTATCCAAGTTCATAATCTGCACAAAGGTGATTGCTTCTCGTAAAGACAACGACGATGCAGATACCTTCCCCAGGTTTTCGTAGTAAACATGAAAGAAAAGGCTGGTGAGAATGGCATAGATTCCCGAACGCTCCCTCCACTCAAACAGCCTCCTAGCCCGCAAGGCCTCTGCCGCAAAATGCTCACTGCTGATAATAATCGTCTTCGTCATCCGTGTTTCGGGATCCGAATACTGCTGTGTCCATTGTGGAAGCTGCAACTGGCCCATGACAGCTGATGCCAGGGCAGTTGCAAGTGCATATATCTCAGGGTCATCCGGCCGCGCTTCTAGTTCCACCAACAGCGGTTCCCATTTCAATATAGGCCAGACGGGATACAACCGATGATGATAGATTTCGAGGTAGATCGCTAGAACGGATGTAGGGTATTTCGTAACGCTCGAGAGTCCCTGTCCGAGGCCAATGCCATCTTGTTCCGCTTCAAGGTACGTAAAGCTTGGACCAAGACTTGGGATACTATTGATTCCACTTAGGTACCCTGCACCTATATTCTGAAATGAACGCAATGGTGATCCCAATGGTGTCTGCTCTGTAGATTCAGGTTCCGTTTCATCGTCCACCGGTCCAGCCACGGAAGGAGGATTTATTTGAAGGCCGTCGGGGGCGTCGAGATCCCTTGTATACTCCTCCTGCGTACGTTTTATAGCTTCGATCGTCCGGGCAGTCGGTTTTCGGGGACCGCCTTTTCTTAAGGCTTTAAGGAAGGTGCAGGGTAAACCAGCCTTGGAGCAAGCTCGGCATGGCTGCACGCCGTCGCATCGAATCTTTCGGATACTGCAGCCGTCGCATGCTCGTTTTGGCATCCTGGGGTCACGATCCGACGACGGGGGCCGTAGGCGTGGGAGGACTTAAAGAAGCTTTCAAGCCTGGGCGGCGACTTTCCGCGAGAACTATCGTATCGGGGAAAGCACATTTGTGATGTCAGCTGTGGAGTTTCGAGACATGCAGTCTTTCAAATTTTCACCGAGATGTCTCCCGAGGATTTTTTTTTAAAGCTGGTTTCGAACCACCAGAACGACCTAACTACTTGGCTAATGAGGGAGGGACGATCTGGGTTCTAGAAGGATGGGTTAAGTGGAGTAACAGCGGTAGCACGTACAAAGTCAGAACGCCAATAAGCTCTGCGTAGTCGTGGCTGCTGCTATCGGCCATCAAACTTGTCTGCCGTCTCGGTGCTCTGCCAATGTCGCAGCTGCTGGAGTCGAAGAATGATGATGAAGATGAAAATGATGAAAATGAAGATGATAGGTTTGCCTTCGGCCTCGTAACTAAGACGCAGCGAGGCATGGCCGGCTTGACTGGGACTGGACTGGGCTGAGGTTTTGCTTTGGTTTGGTTTTGGTACGTACTTTGACCGCTCAACGGCGCACTGACTTGAACTGTCTTAGCTTTGGGTGGTGGATCACGAAATGCAACAGCTTCAACGCATATTTCTTATTCTCCTCGATTTGCTCTGACACATTTGCATGCATGTCTAGCTATAGGCCTGATTAAGTACATAGATACCTAAATACCTAGGTAAGTAGGTAGGTAGGCATGATAAACTGTTTACAACCAGTCTTTGTTTCCGTTCTGGCTCAGAAACTTGCCGCCGTCCTTCACCGTCAACTTTCCAAGCGTCTCCAACATCAATCTCACACTCTCCTCGGGAGAAAGCGGTCCCTCATACGACGGCTTGGACTTTCGGAATATATTCGTAACTTTCTCATAAAATGCTGGAGCCCCTAGATGGTTTGGCCCACAGTTAGTGTATAGGGCTCTAGAGTACATAGTGTAAAAATTTAAAAGGGTATAGAAGTTCTGTTCAAACTTACAATCCTGTGTCTGAGTTCTCACCAACCCGGGGCTGAGAGCCACAATAGTAACTCCGTCCTCTACCAGCGCGTTTGAATACTGAGCCACAACCATATTAACCGCAGCCTTAGAGGCACCATATGGAACATTATCCTTCCATTGCCACTCGATTACTGCATCGGCATCTGCAAGGCCAGTACTGATCACCAGGATCTTCTTAATCTCACTCTTCTTGATCAAGGGGAGAAACGCATTCGTAGTGTGAACGACAGACAAAATATTTCCTTCAACACTGAGCTGTAAATCATTGCTGAAAATCTTGGTTTTCTCAGGGTCACCGACGAGGTCGGTTAGTGTGAAACTTGCAGCCTCGCCGATTAAAAAGGCAGCGTTTTCGACAAGGACGTCGAGAGTCCCCCCTGTGATTTGAGAGACGGCGGCTGCGGCGGCATCAAGCTCCTCGGGTGAAGTTACATCGGCTTTGAGGATGTGGACGTTTTTGTGGGAGGCAGCTAGGTCTGTGAGGGGTTGCGAAGAGTTGACGTTACGAACTAAGGCAAAAACGGTATTTGAGGGGTCTTGAGCGAGGTGTTTGATGAAGGCGAACTAGGAAAAAAAGGTGAGTATTAGATACTAATATATTGTGCGATGCAACAAGATGGTACTCACCCCAATTCCTCGAGAAGCACCGGTGATGGCGTAGGAGACCATTGTGGAATGTTTAAAGATGGTAGCAAGTAAATGATTAAGGCTAAAGTATGTATATGTATATGTGAATAGTAGATATCAAATGATGCTTACTAGAATGCTTGGGGTTACCCTTAATTGTATTGAGATGACTTTGATGAGAATTTTGATTTATATCTGGGTTACCAGCGCCCTTTATACTTGTGACCCCTCTATATCGAAAATATCTTGATAATATGATGCCGTTGCCATTACTAGTACGTGAATACCCCCTGGACCCTCGAGAAGATTACAAATTGGTTAATGAAAGCCATTCCGGGACGGTTTTCGCCCGATGCCGATAGTTTAATCTCAATAGTTACCTTTAAGCCTTTGGTCAATACAAGATACTAGAACTGCTCAGTATCTCTACAAAGTATTGGGAGCCTTAGTACGATTTCGCAACGGCTCGGACGCGAACTAAGAATATAAACCGCATTAAGGCTGATTACCAATGTACCCCATACTCAGCACTAGTACTATACTGTATCCTCTGATGATAAAATCAATATTTTTGATTATATCAATATGAGACCAGGCGGTGACGAATCGGGTTGGTCGTTTATCCGAAGATGTAGAGTTTATGGATTAGTCACCCTTAGGCTTACCGAATAGGTAGGGTTTGTCGGGATGTCACCTCTAAACCCAAGTGCCTCAGGCCCTGTTGGGCAGAACCTTTGGGCTGTGGCCTTACTTTCCTGCCCAACTTTCTGAGCGATGTATGCCCAGCGAGCTTTTTCTTGTCTCTTTGTCAGCAGAGGTTCCTGGGTAAGCGGGGGGGACGGAAGATGAACCAGCTCGGTAGACGGAGCCCTTTTTTATTCAAATCCCGGATGTATACTGCAGGTTCACAATACTTATGGCCGTTAGAAATGATTATTATATCAAGTGGACTCCATTAGAGAGGCTACTGTATGGCTTTTTCGCTTCATTACTTGATATTACACGATTTTCTGTTCTAGTTTGATGTGACAACGAAAGGTCTATCTCTTTTTCTTTCATGATTAAAAAACAAAACAAAAAAAACCCGAGACGGCGCGCTTTCAGCAAATTGTCGGAATAGTATAATCACAACTTTGCCAAAACCGCCTCAGCACCGCTAACAGTAACCTCGCCAGGCTTTTCCTCGTTCTCAGCGTAGACAATCTTTCCGTTCTCGATAATCAAGGCATATCGAGCAGTTCTCTCACCAAGGGTCCACCCAAGAAGCTTGCTGAATTTGGCTTCACCATCAGAAGCAAAGATGATGTCATCGTTCTTGACGTTGTTAGCTTTGGCCCAGGCGCTCATGACGAAAGCATCATTGTATGCAATGACAATGACAATATCGACACCCTTGGATTTGAGGTCTGAGAGCTTTTCGATGTAGCCGGGGAGGTGACGGGCAGAACAGCCAGGTGTGAAGGCACCGGGGACGGAAAAAAGAACGACCTTTTTGCCAGCAAATTCTAGCACACACTTAGTCATCCGTTGAATCACTAGCTCCCGTGTAACAAAGAGGAGGACATACCTTTGCTGGCATTGTAATTGATTGGAATACCACAGGAGGTGATATCCGACTTCTCTTCAGTGTATGGGATGTACCTGCGCAGCGGGGCTCATTAGCGTCGGCCGCAAAATGTGTTGCCGACGAGTTTTCAACCGAACTGAATAACCTACGAGAAGACGATATCCTCAGGGAATGAGTCCCCAACTTTGAGAGTGGATCCGCTCATTTTCGAAAAGGGTATCAATAGTGTATCAAGATTTATTTGTTTGGGAGCGGACGAGTTAGATTGAGTGCTAGTTGACTGGTGGGTATTGTGGGATGAGATGAGGTTGGTGAGTGTGAAGCCTGAAGGAAGAAGAGAAGCAAGATTTAATTAAGATGGAGCAGCAGCCGTTGAGCGCCGAGGGATATATGACGCCATGTCCGCTATAACAGACTCGGCGCCGATTCAGGGCCCAGATTGTCCTTTCCGTCCATCGATTCCCAACTAAGAAGCTGCCAACAGCTTAGTTTGTTGGAATACCACAACAACTCAAATATAACAGCATTGTGCAATGCGATACCGTCAATTCTCTTGGGTTAGGGTAATCTCTATTCGTTCAACATTCTATGACTTCAGATCGATTGATCCTTCTTGGATACAAACGAGGTTAGAGGTTGCGCTTTAAACGCTGGACATCGAATCGCGATGCGCCCGGCAGTTATAATAACAACCACCTCCCCTGCTCCATAATCATATAAATGATCTGATATAATATATAAGTAACACAAGCACAGCCTTAAGGGGCCGGCCAAACAAAAGTCAAGAAAACGTCCGATAACCTATAACGCTGATCACGGCGGGCAGCCTTGACCCCGTATGTGTACGCGTATACATAGTCTATATCTATGTACAGTGTATGCATCCGTATGATAATGTAGGAGCCACCCCATCCATTCCCAGAATAGTGACACTATAAAGCTAATTTAATATGTTCAAAACTGTACGACTTTATAGCCTATAGATACATACTACTTATCAATAATCGATCATCGATGATGCAGTATGTATAAGCGCTGGAAATAGTCAAGGAATACTATTTGAATTACCATTGGGATTCCGAATTCTCTCAGATACACCTTCGCTCATGGCGAAATGAGTGGGTTATTCGTGTACGGGTAATAAAGCGAACGTTTCAGCTGAGCTACAACTTCAGGTTGTGCCATGTGCGTTTAAATTAGGATTTAATTGGTCTAATTAACTATGCAGCATTCTAGAAAAACAATACCCCCCCCCCCCCCCCCGACTCTTTACAACATTATAAAATGGTGACAGTGAAATTGGGCCTTTAGGCTGGCCAATTGGAATACAGACGGTACCTTTTACAAGAACTCAATTTGTAAATATACGTGGAACATTCTGTGCTGATAATATCGGCGAAAATAGTGGGTGTCGCCTCAGCTATGGAAGAGTTCGACGAGCGTACAAGACTGCTTTCGATCATATTCTGACTATGCTCGGGCTTTTTTGAATCTTAAATTCTGTATGTCGGTTGACAGAATCTTGAACTCAAACATCTCCCCTTGTGCGACCTTGAGCTGGGTGAGGCGATAGTATGGATGCTGATTCAATTGACGACAGACTTGCGATTGAATCAACTGATGTCACGGGCTAGCGACAATAGATATCTTGTGTTAAAATGTGTGAAAGCTTGCAGTGCAATATTCGTTAGCATCATATCATTCACTTGCATACATTTTATAGAGGGTCTAAGGGGTAACGAACCTGTGAATTACACATAATTATGATATAAGACAGAAGCGATAGATTTCCAAAGCATTGAAAGTCGTGGAAATTTCGAAAATGGTTGGTGCTAAGACCTAGCTCGAGAGAAAAATATATCGGTATCGCTATTCCCGAGCGTATCGAACTGTCTTCCGTATTTGACGAATTTGATCGCCTTCAGCGGGGGCTGGGCGCTGTCGGCTGGATTTCGTTCAGAACGTGGAGAGATACACCCCACAACCCTTTCCCACCTTCCTCATCACTCACACAACCTCGGGCTCTCAGGTGGAGACTCTAACCCCCTCTGTCGTTCGTTCGCATCCTCATCGCTGGCATCGGTATCCACAAGATGCAGTGTTCCAGTTAACAAATAGGGTTCCAATTCTTCGTCGACCCATTGTTCATGTCTGTGTTGTGCTGTAAACTCCAACCATTCCTTCACCTTGGCTTTGTCGTCCTTCTTCTTTTGGTGTTGAGCTGCTCGCCTGCGATAGCTTTCTTGGACAGCAGAAAATGGGTTTGGAAATGTCATCTTGACAGTACAATACGGTGAATTGTTTGAGTAGAGGGTTTGGATGTTCAAATCCGAAAATCACAAGCTATGACATAAGTCTGGAAGGGCTTGATATTTAATATATATTCGCTCGTTGGAAAAAAAGCATATGGCTGGGAGAGGAAGGGAAAACGAGAAAAATTCCGTTTCGTATGCGCAACCCTCATTCTTTTTATCCATTTCATAGGTCACCACCATTGCACGGGCAGCCTAACTAGTCTTCTGTTATCGTCGTGTGCTGCATTCCACGAGACCAATTCTTTCTTTTCGCCGTTCCCTTTTGCCTTAATTTCTTTCAATCTTGCTTTCATGCACAAAGAAATGACCTACCCAACGGCATCCCCCAACGCTCTCCCCGGCCGCCACACCACCCCAGAGTTGGTTACGCCGAAGGGATGATGTGTGCCACGATAACTGTCGTATCAAAATGACGACAAGTTGTAAAGGTTAATCCAATCATCCGGTCTCATGGTCACACATGCCCTGTTAACGATTGCGGCTGAGCACCGTTTCGTGGCTGTTCATTCTCAGCTGAGGGGCGGTCCATCAAACGAGTATGAGCTCTGGGGTTGCTACTGTAGGAGTACCAAATGGACTTTTCTGCAATAAACTACCCCCATGATCATGGATGGCGCTTTGAGTTCGTTAAGCAAGCGAGATTAGGAAAAGGGATCAAAAACGTAGTTTTTCGCCTTGGTGGTAGCCCGCGAGATTTGGGACAGGGGGTTTGACATCAATGAGATCGTCAAATTTAAGAACGCTAAGGCTTAAGGGAATTAAGCATATGCACGATGATGCACGGTTTGCTCGTGGGGGAGAAGGAAAGAAGTTTGGAGCGTTCTGGGCGCATGAAACTTCGAGGTTGTTTGGTTGCTTAATTCCGGGGACAATTTATGAGATTCGAAGTGTGGTCAGATTTCTTACATTCTGATCAACATTTCGTTTGGTCAACAGCTCCTATACGATGGAATGGCAGCCAATTGACGGAGAATTTGTAAATTTTATTTAAAGTGGATGGGGTTATTTGATATGATGTAAGTATGTAAGAATATGTCTTGATACATATCAGCACCTCCAAAGGAGAATATACTACCGAGATACTGCATGTGAGTATGCAGCCGCCTGCAAGCCTCTAAAAAAGCTTGCGTTCTGTTGCATTGCATGCATGCTTTTGAGGTTGAGGCGAGCCCATATCAGCTATGCGATAAACCTGCAGAAAAATTCATAATGCTCAAAAACACTTCAAATATTTTTAGCCTCGAGATCTTCGAGGCGAGCAAAGAAAAGGTTCGGGATGCCAGGCCATCGCCAATGTCGTACAAATTCCGAGTGACTGTTCGATGTTACTAGGTATATAGTTACGAAATGAAAGGCAAGCATGGGTGGAGGTTGGTTGGCATCAATTGGCCATATTTCCCCGCTTACTTTTTCCCAACTGTCAACTTTGTGAGTAGATACGGCCCTTGCTATCGTGAAAAAACCAAGGCGCTAAGATATGGTCAAACCTGAATACGATCGTAGAAATCCCACTGATCATGCGTGCCTAGACTCTTGACGCTGCCATTCGACGGGGTGTATGTCTCCGATAAACTAAGTTAACAAAGCACAATCGATCACGGGGCGATTTCCCACCTTCGAAAAACCCCGCGTATTGAAAGGTCCCAAAATGACACAAGTCAACACCTCATATAATATGTTTGATTCAGTTACAGTCAATAAGGTTGCATTTTGTTCTCAGAACAGTGTTTATTCTAATCAACGTGCGAATTTTGGTTCAGAATCCTATTTTACGACGATCGTATACACAAGTTTCATGTTTCCATTGGAGGTAGTCCTTGGCTTAATTTGCGAACCCATATGATATGAACTGCATACGCATGTTCTGCTGTAAAGCAAATATTCAATTACAGGCCTATTTTGACCTACAACGAATTTTGAGTAAGTCAGAAAGGGGGCGGAAACCGAAGAATATTCTGTAAATGGGCAAGTTTTGATATTATCGTTCGTGTTTCAAATACGCGATATAGTGTGGAATTACTACCTGGCACCGCGGAATTCCAATGTAAGATTAGTGACGTTATGGGATACCTACATGAACTCTAGACTTAATATTTTAGAGGGCATAGTAGCCAGCGAGACAATCTGGCCAGACTTATAGTAAGACAGATGGTGTAAGAGTAAGATCAATAGAGGAATGCTAGGATGTTAGGCAACTAAAGACTGTACTGACGATACACAGGCTAATTCGTACTCCGTGGCTCGGGGAAGTCACTGGCATAATATCCTTCACCGGGTTCTCTATATCAAACAAATTGCCGTGGGAAATGGGTTTTTGTGATAACTAAGTAGCAGATTCGAAGACGTGACGCGGGGGGAGGTGAAGCTTTATATATGAGAGCGTCACTCAGCCACTCTCCGGCTTGTGGCCAAATTTATAGATCAGAATAGGCCAACGAGCCCGAAAAATGGGTTCAATAGGGCTATTAGTCGTGTAGAGCATCCTACTATCGGAATGTCGTCAATCGAGCCCGTTTCTCGCTCTACCGGGGTGTATGTAAGCACTAAACTTGATCATAATATATTATAATATATGTGCATATTCAACCTCAATCTTAGTATTATCCGAAATATACGTTTTCTAGGATCTAGTAAAATGAGTGGCTTCGAGCTCCTACTTACAAGTTTTACGTATATTGATGACATATCAATGCCTATGATAATTGGCGACTTGAAAGATGCACTATCCGTTTAGTCTTCTAAGACCATGTCTCAAGGCTAATAGAACTAAACGTAGCAATCACAATGGGATGTATGCCACTGCGTAAGACATTCCGTAGATCAGACCTTAAGCTCACCTCAGCTTAACTTTTAAGCTAGCCTTCGGGATATTTGGCCCAGCATACTCAATATCCAAACTTGATAGCAGATACGGAGCAGTACTTGTCTCTTTATATTAGGAGGCGTAAATTTGTTGAATGGGTTAGTTGTGGTTTCGAGTCAGCGGCGAGGAGTTCATTGCATAGCTAGTCCACATTGGCGTTGGGAGTGTATTTTAAAATTTATAACCATAATCATCGAAGTCAAGAACAATAATCTAGGCGAAACTTTGCTAGTTCTAGGTCGCGGGTAATAGTTATCGGAGAAATGGTGGAGTAGCTATGTATTCAGAACTCTACCGTACACCGTACGAGTACAAGCTGGAGGGGCTGTTCATGCACTAGGTTTAATATGGAGCATCATCATATTAACACGTAATAGGATGCAGCATGTTTCGTAAAAAAAGATGCCTCTCAACTAACCAGCTAGGGCCGCCAAATATATTGTCAGTCAGAAGCCGGTACTTGGAACGTTCGAACAACAAAGCAAAGTTAAAACACAGGGCATTATAATAAGAAGGGAGTGCTCTTGCAGGCAAGATAATGAGTGTACTCTAGCTAAGTGGTTTCATACCCACCGTAATCATCTCGAGTCTTACGCCTTGTATCGAGAACTTCTCTGATAGTCTGCGTTATAAGCACCCTTTGTTCCCTGTCCTCTTTGATCTCCCCAGCTGGCTTTAGTTTAGCTTTTTGCGAAAAAGGATTTATTTTCTCTTCTCTAATCCTCGCTTCCTGTTCATTTGTGGCTCTTCGTGGCTCTTCCTTAGCCCTCGGTTTCCCTCTTTCGTGATTCTTTCCCCTTGATCTCTCTTTCCTTAACTAAAACACCATGTAGGTATTGCTTGAGAAATCAGTTAGATGAATGCAACAAATTATATATTATAGGGGTAACATCGAACTATGGTTTTACATCTGTATTCTTTAGTCCTGCTCTTCAGCGCTTATGCTTCATGCGATAGGGGGCGAAAAATAAACGTTATTTATAATTTTCATACACTTACTATCGTCTCCAGGAATTTTCCGGCATTTTCTATTTCCGGCATTCCGAATGCCTGGGGGATTGTTAAGCTACCTGTTCAGTAGGCAAAAAAATTGTGAAGGCGCCACGGGTTCATAGTACTTTTGTTTGAGGGCATAGGAGCAGTTCTCTGGGTGACGATTCATGGTGGTAAGATTCCAGTCCATCGTCATAAGTGCCGCGCATACTGCAGTCCAAAGCGCTAGCATTGTTATCAGTGACCGGCTTTCGCGGTGTCCTTCTCCTTGGCTAATGATATTTTTCTTCTTCTTCTTCAGTATTCTGTGATATTTATTGCTTTAAGGTGGAACTCTTCGGCTAATCCGCCTAGTTTGAATTTGAGAACTTTGAAGTCGAACTTTTTGCCTGGAAAGTACACACAAGCTAATGTCAATACTAGGAGCTTTGGGGCGGGCTCGGCTGTGAATTTTTCTCTCAAATAGTGAGAAACAGACACTGATGGCGTATGAGGCCTATTATAAACAGTACATGTAGACGAACCAGATATCCAGGTACCTATTCTGGAGAACATTGTTCAACAGAGCCACGCTCGGGAGCCAGATCTCGGGGAGAGATCAATGTACTAGTAAATAGTCTGCGAGAGAAGCGAAGATATGTTGCTGACCCTAGCTGGTGGTTCGTGGGTATGAGCTAGAAGAGGTGTAACAGGTCGAGGTGGTTCAGATCCTGCAGTCATGTATAGATTTACGATTATTTCCATATCCTTTTATGGTCAGCGTACTAGTCAGGTTTCTCAGCAGCGTGCTCCACGGGTTGGTTGAGTTGGCGCATACGTTGTAATCGGACCGATGATCCTATAGTCTATATACGATATATTAGCGCCAGAATCTTGTACGTCTCAAACCAGACTTCGCAATTTCTATTCCTCCGTAGATGTGGATCGTAGGTTAGAAAACACACGTTGTCGCAATATATCTTATCCATTGTCTGGGCATTAGTAGAATCGACATAACATTAATATTCCATAAAACAAAAATATGTTTGCCAGTACACTCAATAAGAGGCCGACTGTCGTCACTGCATTCTAATTTCCTATGTTATATCGCACTCTGGTTATGTTTGCGCTATCTGATCGAATGCCTGAATGCATTCGCGGAAGGAAGGTTCGAAGCATATCATATGGAGAGTATTTGGCCAATGGACTTTAGGATATCTGCTATTTTCCAACTTTTATCGATTCTATTTTGTCAGATTCGCCTACGCCACACCATCCACAATATCCAAAAATTATATTGGTTCAGGCTAAGGAGTCTTATACATAAGGTATAGGATGTTTGATTCCCAATGCTGCGGCGGGCTTGATACCCGCAATCTTTTCGCACACAGTAAATAGAATTAATAGAATCATAAAGACGCGTGTATATAACTCTATCAATGTTTAGGGATGTAGCTCGTATACAAGCACCCTAACAACCAAAGTTCATTTCTCACGGTGGCGCAGCTTTCAACAAGAAGAAAGCGTGGATTTCGGCTCAAGAAGATCTTAAAGCTCGAATCCCGGACCAAACCTCGCTCATATGGTATCAGCCGGAGAAGCCAGGTCGCTACAATTTGCCAACCCACACTCTGCTCTTATGTGGAGATTGCGATCAACAGCTGTGCTATAACGTTATTAATCTGCAAGTTTCTTTACCGCTACTATGAAGACGATCGAGGAGATGAAGAAGGTAAGAGAGAGAGAGAAAACGCTTGCGGAATCAAAACGTATGACTATCCGCGTTCGTGGGAGAGTGAGCGAAGACTCCCAGTATTTGGCCCGGGACGAAACAACTACTATTCTGATGGAACTGGGAGCGGAACGTATTGCAGTCCTTGTAGCTTTTGTCCCTGGGGGTCTAGGTATGAGTGTGAGCTAGAAAAGGCAGGATTAGAAGTCATCATGAAAGCAAATTGATGCAGTATTAAAAGTCAGCAGTGATAAGCGTCCTAAAAGGAAGTACCTGAAGCTGTTGGCCGGCTTAATGGGTGCATCTTGATGAAATGGCATTCTTGCAGGCGTTTATTCAAAACGAGCATTCTGGCTGACGGCTATATATGTGATCGCGGGCGATCTGAAGGAGTGCCAGAATCGAATGTCCCCCCAAAATTGATGAACAAGCGATTCGATCGTCACATTTAGATTCCCGGATGTTTATCGATTATTTAACAACGAAGGCTCTACTTCAATTGGATTTAGGGGCAATCCTCGTACACCAACCATAGGGTTCAAAGACATACAGAAGAAAAATTCAAGATTAACAATTTAATCTCTAAGGCTCTACCTCAGCGGTGTTATCAAAAGGAGTGACCGGCACGCATACATCATATTAGGCACGACTTTCATGAAATGCAGTAACTGAGCTAAACTGGTTTAGTGTCGAGACTGGACGTGAAGCATCACAAAATATGAACACTGGAAAGGGTAGATCTATAGAACTTTAAGGCATAATTTTGGATGGGGTTCTCTTTCTTTCTTCCGCCCTCTATCCTTCTTTATCTTTTTTATTTTGGCGTTAGGCATTTTCTCCTCATATCGTTTATCTTCACGGAGTGGCACTACGGCCTGAGTTACCTTATAATCAAGTCGAACGGGATCTCCCGTAGTTGTTCTGGGATTCTGAGCTGCATAGGCTCGTGCAATGAGACTGGGCCGACCGGGGTCCGAAGCCATATACGATGACTCAAGCCTCGTAAATGAAGATTACTTATATATGGCTAATGGTAGAATTGACTGTGTGGTGTGCTAAATCCGCTTCCTGTAAGGGTGTGTTAGTTTCTTAGGATTCTCTCGAATCTCGTTTCTTAGGGCGTATGCAGTGTTGGATGATTTTCTCCCTGCTAGCCCAATGCGTCCCCGGAATAAAACAGGTGGACTGGACTATAACCACGGTATGCTACCTTCCCTTATCAGCTCAGCTCTATAGATCTACCGTATTAATGGTCCGCCCGAGATACCTTCCATCGTCGCAGCGGAATAACTCCCCAGACAAAGTTTGAGTCGGATGACGTAAAGTATGGAATATCAAAACGTGTTGTTCACGTTGTCACGGATGTGCAGCCGACTGGGCATCATGACAATATGGATTAATACCGCTGTTTTTAAATGATTTTTATGACCAGCAATTGTATCATTCAAATCGCTCAAGGGAAACGGCCTGTCGATGAGTGCAATACAATATTATGCTTGCGAGTCGTTGCCACTGAAAGCGGCTCACTTGCATTCCATCAGATCGGTCTGCTCGCATTCCCTTGATATCTTCCCATCTTAATTGGCTAGCCTATAGAAGTCAATATTCCCGTAGAGTATATAATCTTCTCTTTTAAGACTGCTTGACGGTAAGATTTTAATTCAAGAAATCATACCTCAAAATCAATTAATCGGACAATATTAACGCATTTTCAAGTTGACGGGTTCGAATATTCTGATATCGATCAGGATAAATTACCACTTTCCCTAAGCTTACAGCATTCCATACAATGCCAAAAGCCATTCATTTCGGGGCCGGCAATATCGGCCGTGGATTCATCGGTCCATTGCTCGTTGACTCCGGATACCATGTCACATTCGCAGATGTCAACGAGTCTCTTATCGATTCTTTGAACGCCCATGATCACTATACAGTCCATATCCTCTCCCAAAGGTCATCAACCACTGAAGTAACAGATTTCTCTGGTGTCGTATCGACTTCTCCGGATCTCCTAGACGAATTTCCGACGGTAGACCTCATTACTACATCCGTTGGCGCCCAGATTTTACCCAAAATTGCGCCTACTATCGCTAAAGGATTGAAGAGACTCTACCAGGCGCGCCCAGATGCGCTTGTTGATATCATCGCATGCGAAAACGGCGTCGGTGCGTCCGAGATCCTTAGAAAGGAGGTTGGAAAGCACTTCAAGAAAGACGCTTCACCTGCCGAGATTGAGTTTTTCGACAAGCGTGTCGGGTTCGCGAACTGTTCAGTCGATCGTATCGTACCCCCCTTTGATCCTACTAAAGCTGTCAACGGCAATGGCGAGAAGAGAAGAGAGTCCAAAGGCCACGAATTGGATGTTGGGGTCGAGGACTTTTATGAATGGGTTGTTGACCAGGATGCACTCAAGACAGACCATAACATTCACGGAATGAAACTTGCGAGAGACCTGCTGGCTTACGTCGAGCGGAAACTGTTTACCTTGAACACTGCCCATGCAACGATTGCATACCTGGGCTGGTTGAAGGGGTATGAAACAGTGAATGAGGCTATTGAGGATAAACAGATCTACGACATCGCCAAGGGGGCGGTAGCAGAGTCAGGCAGGGCACTTCTCAAGAAACATACGATATTCTCAAAGGACGAACATGAGAGATATATCAATACTATCTTGGATCACCGTTTGAAAAACCCTAGTGTACAGGATGACATTAAGAGGGTATGCCGGGCGCCGAAGAGAAAGCTCGGTCGGAATGACCGGTTGGTCGGGCCTGCCATGATGGATTATGAGTATGGAGTTGGGAAGCCTACGAATCTTGCAAAATCGATTGCCGCCGCAATCTGGTACAGCGACAAGGATGACGAAGACGCCGTGGCGATCAGAGATATGGTCGGTGAGGGAGGGGTTGAAAAGGTACTTCGAGAAGTTAGCGGATTAAAGAAGGGAACCAAAAAGGCCGATCAGCTAGTGGACCATGTCGTGAAAGCGTATGGAGATTTGAGGTCTGAGCTGCACGCCTCCACTAAGTTAAATGGGCATGTGAATGGATATTTGAATTGATGGGTGTTAAAGGGCTTCTTTGGTTTGCGAGTTCAGTTTGGAACTGGCGTTCCCAAGTTTCATCCTTTTGCTGAATTTGTTACCGGCGCAAACGGGGTTGCATCGTGTTTTCTTTCATTTTCCTGCCTTCCATGGCATCCATTCTCTTGTCTCAATTTGGAGCAGGAATCCGCTTTGTTCGTTCGGCTGTCTGCTTTATGAGATGCATGTAATTCTCAGCAAAAGAGTCTCTGTCCCAATTACAAGGCTAGCATTATATTAGTTAACTAATAAGACGGAGTGTCTCTTTGTGAAGCGTACGCGTGTCGCTGCGGCTGTAGGCGCTCGAGCCTACAATATAGATAAGATTAGGAGATAATGCCACTGTCACACCTTCGAAATCCGGATGCAATATGTGACCCGAATAAGATTTTAGGCCGAAGGCAGGTTCCGAAGTGCGTGATGGTGAAAGTGAATCCAATCGAGAGGTTCGCGAGCCAGGCCAAAACCTGTAGCCTGACCCATGAGCTCTGACAGGTTGCATCGTGAGATTAATCAGCGAGCTGCACAATCCGGATCGCACAACGTTGGAATGCATCTGCAGATCCGGGACGAGTCAGCCTCTATAGTGTAGCCGTGGTGCTGAGTAAAACCTGATATGAATACTGTGTACATGTGGTTCTACGATGTGGTTTTCAGATGCCCGGAGCTATAAATGGAGGATTTCTCACACCACACTTTTTAGTTTACGTAAAGCAATTGTCCACTTTATTCCTTCCTTAAACTCCTACGAAAGGCTGTCCAGTAAAGTTATTCAAAAAACGACACTCATAATGTCAGGAGAACTTCCAATCACTATCCCCAAGCTGAAAGTCTTTTTGACGGGCGGAACCGGATACATGTAGGTTCCATGCTGTGACATCACACTTGCGGTTGTGACGTCAACACCCCTGCCTCCACTCGATTAACACATGATCCTGTTAGTGGCGGCGCAATTCTGACCGCACTTCTTCGGTCGCCGGATCTCGAGGTCACAACCCTTGTTCGTTCTGAATCTGCAATCGAAACACTCACATCCCTGCTACGAATCCTAAATTCTTTACGGGATCTACGCCGAAATGCGTGTTAGGGTCATTATCAGATACGGATTTGCTCCGAAAATTGGCGTCAGAGTCTGATATCGTAGTCAACTGCGCTTCAGCGAATGATCTTCCCGCTGCGGAGGCTCTTATTAATGGGCTAAGTGAAAGTGGAGAGGGAGGAAAGAGGATCTTCGTACATACTTCGGGAACGAGTGCTTTTGCGACTTATAATGACGGGGATGAAGCTGGGAGGGCGTTTGATGACACTGAGGATTTGGTGGGGGTTCTGAAGGAGTGGGATGAGAGGGAGCAGTATGGCCATCGAACTGTTACCCTGAAAGTGGTGGAGCTTGGGACGGAGAAAGGTGTTTCGACATATACCATCGTGCCTCCGATGATTTGTTGGTTTTCCCAGATGATTTGTGGTACCATTCATGAATTCAGAGTTTATAACCTTCTAACGTTGTTTATATGGAGTAGGCGGTCAGACTGCCGCAATTATTCCACGTTTGTCGGTCCAGCTTCCGCCGCTTATTCGAACTGCTATCGAAACGAAGAAAGCACATTTCATAGGCTCTGGGAATGCCATCTGGTCGAACGTACATATCACAGATCTTGCAAATTTATATGAACTAATTCTTCGATGTGCTCTCAGTGGCGTTGCGAAGTCTGGGTATGACGGTATATATTTCGCTTCCAATGGAGAAAAGAGCTGGAAAGACATTGCGTATGGTGTCAAGGAAGCTGTTGAGGCTTTGGAAAGATGGGATGGAGGCAAAGTCGGGTTGGAGAGTTGGACCGTCGAGGATGCAGCGGGTATTGAAGGCGTCAACGGAGTTAGGGATGCAAAGCTGGCTTTCGGGTCGAAGTGGGAACCCTCCCTTCAGCCTCTTTAGAGATTGGGATGCTAATGGGAGAATAGTGTCATTACGGTGCCGAATAAAGCGCTCAAATTAGGCTGGAAACCGGCATTTGGAGGGGAAGCTGTGGTGGATAGTATGAAGAAGGATGCTGTTATTCTGTGGAAGCAGCTCAAGAATGAGTAACTGGAAGATACACTATCATGTTCATCCTCAGACCCGGCCTCGCCTAATGCATGGATATAGCCCCCCAGGGCAAATTTGGGTTCGAACATTAGCCTTATTAGCAAGACAATCTTTTTCTCTGCGAGAAATTCGGGCCGATACGCGATGTTTATTTCTCGTTTGTTCTCGTGGTAGTATGGAATACTAATCTTTGGATGTCTGGAATTGATGTAAGCGGACTATATTGATAGTAGCCAAGAAGAAACGAAACCTTTCTCTACGCAAAGGCTTTGCATTGAGGAATCTACATGTTGTATATACGTAGCTAATAATTCCCGTATCAGAATTCGACTCCATATCTTATTTTTTCGTACGCTATTTTATTATTTTATTTTATTAGCCTAACAGAACACGCAAGATCCGAAACTAAGGTATACATACGTATGGAGGCCACGGACTCATCATTCGGTCTTGCAGCAAGGTTTCACAAAGGGCTAGAAGGGGTATATTTCCCAAATAGGAACCAGGTCTGGTTACACCAACACAGCAGCTTGCAAAATCCAACATGTACCACATAGACCTTCATCAAAAAGTGGTGGACTTCGAAAAGAGAAGACTAGAGCAGTCACAGAGGACCTGGCTATCCAATGCCATGGGTTATGCTTCTATGTAAAGATGGGTTTGAGGAGTGATTGGAGCTTTAGGTTCTAGCGAAATAGCCCGTAGAGGTCAAGGCGTTGCTCAACACCCTCTGACGATACCGTAGCTTGTCATCACTCCCACCACCACAGCATCAAAAGAAGATTTTGACGCGTCTTCCTACTCTGCCCTTCAACTAATCCATTGTCAAAATCTTTGTTCAAGCGGTATTCTTCTCGCCTGATCTCCTCCCCCCTCGATTAATCAACCGGGCGTCTATAGCTCAGTCTTCTGAAGTTTTTGTCTTCATTTGACCAGGATATCATATCTGCTGGAACCTTCCTGAGCCTCTTAATCGTCATTGAAAATCCAATCTATCCACCGTCCGATACGTGATGGGCACTTCTCTCACTCTTCTAGCTATCTCACGTCAGGCATCTCTTATCCACACTTCATAGAACTCCCGTCTTGAAGAAATTAGTTGCATTACGGCTGTGAGACTGTCTACGTCAGTAGATATCTCTGGTTAACTCCCCCTCAACTTCTCCGATATCCACCCTTCACTGCTCTTGATAAAAACCCTTTCATCTCTTCCCCTCAATCCACTCGTTGGTCAATCCAAACCCACCTTAATCATAATAATGAATTGGGAGCATAGGGACATCCTGGGTCATACAGATCCCGATACCATCAATGGCAATGACTACCAAGACTCCCTCAAACAACCAAAGTTAACTTCTTTCCCAAATCAACAACCACTTACTTCCTGTCGCCTTGAGGTCACAGATGATTCCTTCCAGAAAGCAATTGATGTTCTCAAGATAACGTTTCCTCGAATGCGTGTAATTGATTTCAAAATCGAACATGCTGAGTGGCCGCAGCATCCACCAACCTTCGGGTCCAGATGGCAATTGGCGAAGATTTTTGTCAGCAAGTTTACCATAATCAATCCAGGGGCCGGAGAACATCTTAAGAAGCGTTCCATTAAAGCTTATGGTTACACATTCTTTGAGAACAATCAGAGACTTCGAGAAATTGGAACACACCTTCTTGCTTCGATTGTTTCCCTTGCTATCATGAAAAGAACTGAGGATTTCAGTGCTGCTGTCATGGCTGTAAGACCTCACTCTCCTACCTATGTTCTTTAATTTATTTTTGGCACTTTTAAATTTTACTAACCAGTAATTAGGCGGCCATGAACAAATTTCGAAGCAAAGACGTCTTGTCTGCTCTCGCGTATGTCTACGGGCTCGACCAGTTCCTCCTAACCGGAACAACTTCAACAGGCGAACCACGACAGTTGGATCGCAACATGCTCGCTGACTGTTTTCTCGCCCTTGTGGCCGCAATCTATCAGGACAATGGATGGGAGATCATGAATGAATGGCTTGAGGATTTGATCCTCCCTGTCTTGTCGCTCGTTTTAGAGTGTCAAGACGTCAAGCACACGTATGACAGTAAGTATTCTCAAGAGTAACATGACAAATACCAACTACGGTTTTGGTTATTGGGGTAACTTATAGTTGACCAATCACAAATCATGATTAGAGCACCAAGGATACGCTATGGCAGCAGCAGCCAAGAATTTGGACACGTCCGCAGTCCCACCCTCTCCCCAGCCCCCTATCCCGCCCTCACCCAATGCTGAGGCCCCGCCGAAGACGCCAAAGACCCAACCCCACACACCGGGGAAGGGAAAACAAACTCCAGTTCTGGATGCCTGGATGGAGCTTTACCTTCCAGGCCAAAAAGTCATCTCCGTTTCTGAGATAAAGAACCATGTAGAGATCTGGGCCGGGGAGGCGTTATTAACCACGGCTTCGGGGAAATCGAAGGCCGAGGCCGAAAAGAATGCCATTGAAGTGGCGTTAAAGAAGCTAGAAGCGGCAGAGAGTTCAACGACAGAAGTGGAGGAGGAATGTGAGGGGGAGAATGACAAAGAAGAGGAGAAGAAAGATGATGATGATGACAATGTAGAGGTTCCAATCGACCTCTCACAGTATACTTACCTAGAGGACGGGGAGGGGGGGGAGCCGGAAGAAGGGGATATATTTGAAGGGGGGAGCAAGTTCACTAGGATGGAGGAGTGGGAGCACGATAAGAAGGAAGGGAGGAAAAATAAGAGGAAGACGAAGGAGCCGAAGCGGTGGGGATCTGTATCCCCAAAATTCCATAAGGGAGAGGAGGAGGAGGAGGAAGGGAAGAAAGAAAAGAGAAAGGCTGCTGAGGCTGCAACTGAAGAGAAGGCCCCCAAAAAAAAGAAGACAGGAAAGGGCCCGAAGAACCCGAAGGGACAAAATGGAGGGAAGGGGGGGTAAGGGGGTAAGATGTGAAAAGGAGGGTATGTGCAACCAGCTACTATTATGTAGCCCAGTCGAGGGTCTCTTTGGTGGTGGGGTGGTTTACAAACGTAAATTACAACAGGCGAAAGTGCCTCTGAACTAAACTTCACGTCGCATAGCTATCAAGCACTAACTAGAAAGTGTACCGAAGCCGTATTTCGTATGTAATTCCGTGAGACTATGTAAGATACGATTAAACTCTAAGGTAGCCACACTAAATGAAAGCCGCCGACATATAGTGAGCACGTCATTTATCCGTACCTATCAAGCTAGATCCCAAGGCTGTGAAGCTAAGCGTATGAAAACCAATGTTGCCCGCTCTTCGGACAGACCTTTACACTATGAACTCCAAATCTTCCCTTTAATCTACTATTCACCATAACCTCGAATTGATTGTCAAATAAAATAAAATGTTCTGGTGCTGGCGATGTTGAATTAGCTATTTGAACCTGTGTGCCTGGACGCAAACTAAGTGGAAGAGGGAGGCAGTCCTTGGAGCACGCTTCTGAATAGAACCCTGGCTTGTAAAACGGTAGAGAGAAGATGAAAGGTAATGGGTGATGCGAGTAAATTGGTGGGTAGGAATGGTTGGCGTCGGAGTTAAAGGGAGGAAAGGGGGCTGCCGGATGGTAGCTTAGCTTTGGTAAGTTGGGGTGTATGGTATCGAAAGCTGGGTAGACCAGTGCCCAATCGTCAACCTGACTAGTACTTTCGGGGGTATGTACTGCCCCACAGCTAAAGTCCTCTCTACTAGGAAGACGTCGTGATCCACTGAGGGGCTTTAAAATATGGTTCACATCTACTCGGAATTCAGAGTGGGGCGGTATTTCCTCCCTCGCATTTGGTTGAGACTGCCGGCCGCGGCCTCTATTATTGATGGCCGGGGAATTCGAAGGTTGGGGTCTAGTGGCTGAGCCCTCATGGAGGAGGGCACAATCTTTAGGTTCGCGCGATGAGGTCTGGTGATCGTCAATATGAGGAGTCGTATTTTGCATATCGATATACCCGGCGCTAGCGTACGGGTCTGGTCACTCGGGTTTGAGCTTTTTTCAACCCTAGATGAGACCGATGATAGATTTTTATTGGCTTAGTTTATAGGCAAGTCAAAATCCGTGGGTTAAAACGCTTACTTTGAGATCGAGACGAAGTTCGCCAGGTCAGACTATTCGGCCGGATCTGTGAAGGGAATCCGTTAAAACCAATCGAAGCTACCCAGTTAGCTAGTCAGGTTCGCAGTTAGTCTTCAATAACCCGTTCTCTAAAGGACTCCTAGTGGCTCACCGTTTCCTTGGAGTCAAATAATATCTATGTGCGTAGTAGAAGATTTCACATCTAGCTTCTCCCTGGGTGCTCACCTAGTAGAATTCGGCGTATGTATGCTTTCGAGATCAGAGGAGTCGTGATTGTTCAACTATTATTCTAGTGCAGAAGAACGACCCAAAGAAAAAGATATACCTGATTCAATGCCGCAGACTTATAAATGTTGGTGCCTGGACCTCGGTATCACAATTATCGTTTCATGTATTTTGGAAGAAAAATGATCGCATGCGTGTATCATCTGTTGCAATAATAGGCTGGGGAGCTCCAGAAGTTGTCTCGTCGCCAGATCTGCGGAGTCTTCAACTGTGCTCCAGAAGCTATGTGCCTTAGATTTCAAGATTGGGAGCGCTAGCAATATTTTAACAAAGGCTCAGAACCAAAACCCCTCTCGATGCTCAGCCTCTGGACCAGTTCCAACCGACATTAAAGAAGCTTTTATTTCATTGTACTCTTGCGATTCTCTATAGTGGGGCATAATCTGTAGCTCTGTTCCACGTTAACCTGTAGGTAGATTAGACCTCACGAAAGTGAAATACCCAACGACGTATACAGCTGCTAGGGTATCGAGTTAAAGCGCACAAAAGAAGGATCCAAACAGCTAATCTTAAACCCGACATTCGGTATACAAAGAGACCACCCACATTTTCTAAAGAAACGCTATAACGCTAATGAAACATGAAACAAAAGGAAACAACAGCATTAGATAAATGCTAAAAGCGCAGATACCAAGATCGCTGAAACCATTATTTTCATGTCTAGAACAAGGACGGATGAAATACTCATATTCGCACCGCGGGTCCTCATAACTACGCCGTTCACAGTTGAATCTGCAGCCTTGGAACCGCTTTTTGTTGGATGCTTATTCGATAGTACGTCGCTGTAATGTTGGACTAGGACGGCTTCTGAGGCTAGAAGGTCGAATTCCACATTTCCATTGTCCTTAACCGTAATTATAGTGTCCACGAGATTGTTTGTCACAGATCCATCCTTTTCTGAAAAAGTGAAGCTTGAAACGTTAACCTGAGATTTGGAGTTTGAGCCCGGGGCCTGTAGTCTTATTAAAGATAGTTCTTGGCCTGGCTCCCAAGGTGTCGCTACGGTGACTCGAGTTGATGGTCGGGGCCCAGAAGAGGAATAGACTTCAGTATCTGGAGTAGCGGGGTTTGTACCACCTGTGGAACTATTGTGAGATTGAAGGTTTATAAATACAATCTTGCGGAGCTTGTTTGTTTCGTCCCAGACGGAGTAGGAACTGTAATCCGTGTCATTGCCACCTTCGATTTGCATAATTAGAAGAGTGTCGTTAAATGAGAGGACTTCCGAGATGAAGTATGCGCCGTAAGAGAGCGGAAGTACACCAGTAGAATAGTTTCCGGAATCGAGAGAGTAGTTTATTGGTATTACGGGACTGTAGGAGCCCGTTGTTGTGGCGTGGAAATAGACTCTACGTATTCCTATTGTAGCGGCGAAGAGAACATAGTCGACTAGCCACAGCGCTGCAGCGAATGTATCAGAGATTCCGGGCCGGCCGACACATGATACGGTATTTGTTTCACCAATGGCAAATTGAGCACCAACGGATTCGGCAGCTGCAACTTGGGGGATGTAGTTACTGAGGATATCGGAGAGTGTATTGTGCTCGAGGAGTGGGGCGATAGTGACGGCACCGCTGCATCCCGATTGTGGGTAGAGGTGCATGGAATACCATGGGATCCTCGATGACTGATAACCAGCGGCAATAATACCTGGGATATCGAAGTCCTTAGTGACTATGTATGCTGGATTTGCGAAGCCACCGGCCATGAACCTAACGGTTTTGTTTGGCGAGTTTTTTTGGATTTCATCTGCTATATAGTTCCATTCTGGAAGCATCATGGAGGCATCCCATTCTGAATCCCGAAATCCCTTCGAGCCGTAAAAGTCGGCTTCATTCCCAATTTCAAATAAATCAAGCTCATCGCCTAGGTATTCAAGAACACCTGCAGCAGTTGATATTGCAGCATCAAATTTGTTAGTTGTGTTGATTAAGTTAAGGCACCAGATGTATCTCGTATCTGGGGCATATTTTTCCTTGAATGAGGCGAAGTAGTTTGGACCTAAAGTGACATTCCCTTGAGCCTGAGCCCCATAGTAGCCTGATCGGTACTTATCCGCAGTGATTGTGATATCGGAGCCATAAGTTGTTTTGTCCGACTCACCACCACCGAGTCGGACGGATTGACCGATTCCAATGTTTGTGGCTAAAGCTTTGAAGAGATTCTCCAGTAATTTTGATCTAGTGAACATGGGAAGGTCTCGGTTTTGGATAGACCAGGAAACGAGATTTCGGTCGAGAGAGCGCAAGAGGGCGTCTTTAGCAGGGACAGGGATTTCAATATTAACGGTTGACGGGATAGCAGTGACACGCAGCGAACCGGATAGAAGTAGCAGCAACAGGCTGCCCGGAAGCGGTTGGAACTGGCATTGTGAGAAAATTTTCATTCTGGATCGAAACTAGGCGGGTAGTACGAGCGCGCCCGTGAGGCTGTTTTCAACCACGTAACTAACGGTCGGCGAGGAATATAAATGGTCAGTGGTGGGGAATTTTGGAAAAGAGGGCGAGGATCCGGGAGGGACGATTGCAGTCGAGATAGAAAACCACAACCACAATACCACCAGGTGGTGAGCGACTTGCCATGTATTTAAAATCTTATCATCCATCTTCATCGAAAAATTAAAAGCCAAGTTGGAAGGAGACTTGGCTCCCCGTGGGTCCCTCTGCATTTTTCCGTGACGCAAATATGCCCGCATTTCAAACCAGCAGGTCGGCGCCACACAAAGTTGATGCTATTGCTTCGCACGGGATGTCATGCAGGCTTAGGTTCGGCCTTCGGCAGCTACTTAGCTAGCCTCTTCGTCCAAACTCTTGGGTCTGGGTGTTTTTTCTTCGGTTGGAAGATCCGATTGGGGTAATCGTTGGGATGATGCAATGCAGGTACCTTTCGTATCAGAAAGCTGTCCACCACATGCTATGTCGCTAGTATTGGTATGAGAGGTATTTGTATAATTTCTGCGGTGTAGACATCGCGAGATGTTGCGCCCGTGACGTCAAGCTGCCGGGTTAATGCAGCTTAAGCTGCGCAAGTGCGCAAAATGTATCGATATGGAAGATGAACCGATATCGATCCTGTGTTGTATAGGCATACGTACTCCGACGTACATAGTAGTGGCTAATGCAATCCATCAGGTGGGGGACAAGGGCGGTGGCAGAATTCCAGCCGTCGAAACGTCTACTTTAAGTACTTGTCGTTTTCTTAGGGTTGGGTTAAGAGCCTTGGATTTCGGGTATAGTTCAAACCAAGATCTTAGTATCGTCGTTTCTTCAGTTAGTAGGTAAAATCTATGACGTTGACACTTTCTAGTCAAGATACAGTCATGATCATGATCTTGTCTACGGATAACTCGGAACCGAAATTTAATTGAAGGCTAAAGCGATTCGGCTATTTGGATATTTAAATTTGGAAGAAACCAAAATGAGATGCAAAAGTCTAAAGGGTATAATATGTATGTACAGCACGTCTGACACCAGCCAAACCATCAAAACGTCGTTCATATGGCTTGAAATGCGTGTCATCGAAATTATTTTACATGAAAATGAAGTTTTGTGCGTTGGCTCCGAAAGATCTCGAGGTAAGTGGCGCTAGTTCGAATACCCACATGCCTGGTATGTACTTACGTGCTCGTAACGCTTTGGCTACCATAAATAACGTATTGGCGTAACTTCATAGAACCTTACCGGTTATAGCTCTGAGGACCATATACGTATCTCTGTGGCTGCTGCTGCTGCTGCTGTCCTTGGGCAACTGGAGCTGGGAGCTGCGTACTCCAGCTCATATCACCAGGCATTTCTATTGCGGTATTATTCTGAGGCATAGAGTGAAGCTCCACCGGCTCTTGATGCATTTGGGTCGGCATTTCATTCATAGTAGTAGCATTTGGGCGGGGCATATGGGTCGTTGGCGGTGGTGGAGGAGGAGGAGGAGGAGGAGGAGGGTGTGCAAATCCCTTATATTCGTTATTGAGATGATTGACACTCGTTGTGCTCGGGGCGTTCATTTGTTGATACGGCCATTGCTGATTAGGGTTACCGCTATCAGGTTGGTAACCGGGTGGTTGATTGTTTGGATTTGAAGCATTCGGTCTGTCTGATCCGTGGCTAGCACGAGATTGTGCCATACTCCTTCTCATGAACCAAATGATGCCAACTATCGCAAGTGTTCCAGCTATGGAGCCGCCGATTGCACCACCAAGGACAGTCCCAGAGATACCATTAGACGGTGCTGAATCCGGACTTTCGGTTGGAGAAGGATCTGATGTTTCCGAAGACGATGTTGACATCGATGTCGTGGCCTCGGAATCAGACGATGTCGTGGATGGTTCGGACTCGCTAGTAGTAGTAGTTGAAGGTCGCGATGTACTAGTTGCAAAGGATGTCGTTGAACTAGCTGTTCTACCACCGCCCCAGATGCCAAAGTTTGGAGATTTCAGGGTTTTCATGCCGTAGTCCATGATGATGAATATTTGATATTTGTTGGACTCTGGCCATGTGTCCCGAGCAGTAAACGTCGTGTCATGTTCCCCCCAGCCGGGATATGCGACTAATTATAAGCAAAAGCATTATATGTTAGCCTCTGATGTTTATTTTATTTGACGACTAATGTTCAGCGGATATCATCATATGCATACCAGCTTGGCTCAGGCTTAAACCTATATCTCCGTCAAGCGCGATAGTAATATTAAACGATTGTGCGAGGTTTTCGTTTATTTTGGTTTGTGCGATGTACCAAGAAACGCTTATAGGAACCCCTACTTGATATCTTGCATTCGCCGTTGGCTTTATGAACGTGTCTGTTGTATATGTCGGTGTCGGTCGCTGTCTCTGAACTAATGTAGCTGCTGTTGCGAGGTGCAGTGACAATAGTGACAATATGAATGTCGAAATCGAGATCGAGATATATCTTGACATGGCTGTTAACTTGTTGCCCCGGTTGTATTGTAAACAAGTCCTCAACTTTGATTTCGACGGGGTATTAATTCTAAACTCCTAGATCAAAACAATCGATACTAATATAATCGCCCGCGAGGAAAAGAAATTTAAGATCCAACCAGAGCGGGAAACACCAAAGCTTTAAACCTCTAGCTGGCCGGAAATATGCTGTGCTTTTACCCTTCAATCTCTAGGGGAAATTTTAAAAAAAAGCCATTATGTGTCACGACCTGCTCCGAACAGGCAGAAAACAGAAAACCTCCAGCTCGACGCTAAAAAAGCAGCTGCATGTCCTTTGTCATTTCAATTTCGCTTGGTGTTTTTAGCGATCCCAAGCAGGCAAACTAGTTATGGAGTTCAGCGGGACCGTTGAGGGAACACTGCTACGGCAGCCAAACGCTCATTCGAACGATGGGCTAGTTAGGGTTTCCTGGCTTTGTTCTAAAACACCGGCGACTTTGTTCCCGTTCACGGCAAGATCCATCGTGAAGTGTTTGGAAGACATGGTTGGCCGAGGAAGCGAAGATCTTTGCGCTTTTGGCGATACCAGTGCACCAGCTCTGCCCCTGGCACGCTTGGGTGTTCTGCGAAGTGGCTTTTCTCCGCTGCCTTGCATCGTGAAGATTGTGGAAGGAGCCTCAGGGTCAACCTGCCGAAACCCCTGCCGTTAAGCCGCGTTCTAAACGTTGTAACGCCAACAACGAGATCATGTGCGCTCTGGTAAAGGACTCATACTTACCTACATTATGAGTATTTTACCCTCGTTACATTGCATTGATATTGATCATGGGTATATCGAATCAAAATATATTTTCTCCTCCGGCCTCTGTTAGAGTCGTCGAGACCTGATCGATCGATCGATCAACGCGACTTGTAACGAAACCAAGCACAGGCAGCAGCGGCTTCCACTTCTTTCACTATGCAGCTAAGGGACTATTACGTTGCGCCAACTCTTTTCGGGCCCCGGCAGGCTCCACTTCTGTATACTACACAGACTCCGTACAGAATAGAGAGTTTGTAATTTTCCCGCCAGTTCAGAGATGGTAACGTTATTTTCGAGGATCAACACCAAGGGCTCATGCGCTCAAAGGAAGCGATTCGCCTCGCTCTTTCGAATGCTTCAAACACACAAAGTAGTGACCAAGAAACCATTGTTCAGAATATGCGATAGATCTTAGCTTAGGCTGACGTCTCAGAATACATGGTATATTCATAAACTGTCAGGGCGACTCCAAGTTTAGATCGCGAACTAAATTCTACGATCGTACGATTGACTGAAAAAACTGTCAGCGGGAAGCTTATTAGCTACTAACTTAACAGCCATACAACAAACATTTTGCAGCACTCGTACACTATATATATGTACAGACACCCACTCATAGATCGATTTAGTATTCGAATAAACTAAGGGGTCGATCTAGATATTCACAAAACTAAGGAAGTTAAGTTAGCAGCGAACATGTGGTTACGTTGAATTCTACTTTGCCTGTCGCTGTCCAGATGTGGGCCAGAAGTGGTATAAAATTTGTGATCGAACCCACATTTTTCCGGTAAGTAGGATACAATGCTATGAAGAGTATCGCCCCGATTTGTGCCTGAAACATGAGAATATAGGAAACAGGAAAACTATTTCGCAGCCGGGTAGAGCCATTGGTTCTCGTCGATCAAAATGGTGGACCGACCCGACGACCGTCGTATGAAGTTTTATTTGTAATACAGCCCAAAGGTCCATACAACCAACAAAATGACAAGGTGATCCCTAAATAGTCGCCGAAGCATCACTATTTGCAGAGCCGCATTTCCTTTTCGCTAGATCTGTTGTCCAACTATACGACTAGACATACCTATGCGTGATCCTCCACGCACTCGCCATGTTTCCGATGACAACCCAGCGGACATTGAGCATTTGGATGGAACTGCCAGTTAAATAAACTGTCTGTCTCGTTTGCTGCTATATCTGGAATCACAATTGTGACAGGAGCACCGTCACCAAACCCCGGCTGTGACCTTGCTTTGTCGGCTAGTGATTGCATTCTTACGCTTACTAGGTATTTGGTCCAGCCCATCTGATTGTTGATCAATATGCAATGTTAGTAGACTTGTTTGAGATGAAGACGGATGGAGGAGTTCGCACGCTGTAAAGGCCGGGACTAGATGTGGCGTAGATCACTCTTTGGAAACCGGCTTGAAGATTCCAATTTTCAGCTGTTAGTAGAGCTATATCCCTGGATGCATGAAGTTTGTTCGCCTTCGTTACCATGTAATATTGTTGCGCCGCACATAGCGCATCTACAAATCATTAATTACTAGACAATTAGGTTCTTGAGTAAACGGATTTTTGAGGACTTACGGTTCAGCAGTAGTGTATATCCAAGCATTCTTCCAGATGGCATCGATCTCATCCACGCTGTATCCTTCATCCTTGAATTTCTTCACACAATTCCGAATGGCGTCGACTTCTCCATGCTCCGTAGGGTCTATCTCGTTCAATATCAATTTGGTGTTCTTTTTGATGTCAATAGATTCCGGTTTTGGTCATGCGGTTAAATTTAACTTACCGGCCGATGAATCCTCTTTGTTAAATCCCGTGCAGAGAAGTTCTTTGCTTGTGGCGTTCACAATGACTGATCCAAAGGCTTGTCTGTAGCAGGGACTGGGAAGGGCCGATATAGATGCTCGCATGAATTTCCAATCCAGGTCGGTAATGGAAGGCGTGGAGGTTCTTGAGGTTCCTGTCGCGGTGGATTGCAGGGACAGTAGCCCTGTTAGGTAGCCGAGGACTGTGAGGCGGTGCAAGTAAAGATTAGTTAGCTTTGAACATAGTTATGACGTAGAGCTTGGCATGCCTACTTTTCTGCATAGTCGACGGCAACGTGGACTGTTTCCTTACGCCAATGAGTGAAGTTTTGTAGTCCAAGTAGGCAGTTAAATTTCTGATTGAAGATACAAAATTCCGGTAGGAGTCGCATTGGATATTGAGTTTGGGAAGCTACAGCGCTAGTACGTACTACCGAACTAGCGGGCGGGAGGTTGGGACGGAGCTGGCCGACACAACACGCCAGGCCTGGCCTGGGAGAGCTAGAACACAGAGTCTCCGCGCTACGATATCTATGCAGTCGTGATACATATGACACCAGGATTTAATTCATGATAAGAGTAGGTAAGTACTTAAGTATTTATACACTTGAAAATGCGGGGGTGGATCCAGGAGCTAGCTTGATAAACATATTTATTATTGATTCTTCATTGAATCATTCCAGGTCTATAACAATTCGCTGCGAACTAAAAATAACGATAAGCATCCAACGACGGTTCGGGCTAACTGAAGCTCAAAGGAATGTAATGACATCATGCAGCCTGCATCGCAATCAGCTGCAGTTGCAACAGTCCAAGACAGGAAATCATAACGCTGCGCTCAAACTCCGTGGAAGCGTCGATATATTCGCCACTCATAATGAACTTCCCGAGCTTTTTCAGGGAGTGTTTACACCAAACGAACATCCCGACAACCTGGTCGTTCTCGTCCACCAACTTCCACCCTTGCTGCCATTTACTCTTTTTGCTGCTATCTTCGATATCCACTCTCGTGGTGTTCTTCCAGATAAACTTCTTGCCGGAGATCGGATCGGTCCAATTATACCACCAAGTCAACTTTGATTCGTGAAATTGTTCGATGAGTTGGTCCTGTGGAGTGCGCTCCTTCTCGAGTTCTTGGCCATCAGCTCGGAAGTGGAATTTAGTCATCATCATGTTGCTGCCCATCTGTGCGACCAACGGGGCGTTCTTGCTGTCTCCAGCATAGAGAGAGACATAGCGTTGTCTGATGCTGCTGGGGCGGGAGTAGTGGAACTCGGCAAAGTATGCAGGAGTTTTGTCGTCATATCTAACAATCTTCGAGATAGACTTCCAGCCGTTGTCATAGTAGACGTGGAAGTTTTTAGGGGAAGGAAGGTCGGTGAATTTGGAATCGACTGAGTAGACTGATTCGTTTTCCGAGTCGGCCTTTTTGTCTGATTTACGATCGAAGAGGCCCATGGTTAAGCTAGGTATATCGATATGTATGTATACTTGTATACAGAAGTGACGTAGATTTCGGTTTATATGTGGAGACGAATTGATCCCCAGGTGGCTCCTGACAACTGACAGTTTTCAGTTACTTCAAACGAATAAGTACTGAGGTATAAAAGTATATAAGTAATATATGTTTGTGTGAGTGTGAGTGTGAGTGTGTTTATGTGGGGATGAGTATGAGAAAGTCGAAGGCTAGATGCTGGATGATAGACGTTTTTATAGACACCCGCAAGGGAGTATATTCGACTCGAGCAAGGTACAGGTCAATCTTGAGCATCTGCGCCGCTTCTCAGTTATGATCAAAGTTTAACTAGGCATCCCAAATCTTTCGCCGTTGATATATGATATGGCCTGGGAACCTAGCGAAGGCTTGTTTATGCATATGATAAACGGTCAAGGCTGACCTCATAATATGTTCATCAGTGCCCCCGTCAAATCAATACTCGTATGTATTTTACACATCGTACGGGTAACGTTGTAAGTTTCCCGTCAATCACAGACAGTTTCCCGGCGGCAGTTTCGTCCGGAATTCGAATGCATTGGTATTATATTACCTAGGTACTTCGTATATACTTAAGTAATGCTAGGCAATTACGCGCAAGGGTTACCTGGAGTTGGGACCGGCTGCGGCTCCAGCTAAGGTCGACTGCGGACCGTGTTGAGGCGGGGCGAGAGTGTTGTCCTTCCTGTTTGATCCTAGGAATATCCTGATATGGACATTGGTATGCAGATCACGGCCTTTGGCGATGAGGTCGGGGTTACCGGGGTTAGTGTCGGTTTACAATTGGGTATGCTTACCTCAGGTGCATGTCTAGCTGAACTTAAGTTTAACATAATTGTAATGACGCCTTCTACTCGCTCTGATAAGGTTGACTTTATAACTGTACGACAGCGCGATAGTTTCTCGTCGACATTCATTACATGTTCACCACCCAAGATGACATCGTTGTGCGCCTTGCTCGATCTGCCACACGAACTACTTCACCAGATACTGCTCAACGTTGACCCCGCAGACCTTGCCCGGGTTCGCCTAACGTGCACCTTCCTAGACCAGTACCTTAAGGAGAATGAACTGCTGTTGAAGGAACTTTATCTTCAGTTATGGGTATGTTACTAGTAGATAACTTTCAGAAATAAAGTCATTGTCGGCTTGCAAGCTTGCAATATATTAACATACGGACTTGGTGTAATTTTTAGGACGAGCCAGTGGGTACAGCCGCGGTCAGTATCGGGTCAACTTGGGCGAAACGGCTTCAGAACGTGGTTTGGCTGCGGAAAGTCCTGGAGTCTGATCATGTCGATTCGAAGGTAGATAGCATCAACGTTCCGCAAATACCCTCGGTTATCGCTGTTCGCACATTGCTAATATATATATCTGAGAATCCAGTTGAACGATTATCAACAAGTCGTTAAATTCACCGCTGCTCTTCTTCAAGTCAAAGATGCTACAAAATCTAAGAACTTGGACTTTTTTGATGAAGTTTTTGACAAAGTCAACCTTGACACGCTACTATGTCGCTCCTCTTTATTTGAACAGGCCGGGGCTACACACGTTCCGGCGCAAACAGAATTTGAACGTCAGCTCTCTGCGAAACTCCACTGTTATTACGGTATCCCAATAGATCCAAGAAGTAGGAAGTCTAAACCGACACACCCATGGGCCCGCTCGCTAGTTTATGACCTGCGAAATTATGATACAAATACTATGTGGGGCCCGTTTAGAGCTGATGGGTCAGGAAGGGTAGACTGGGAAAAACTCGAGGCGATAATGGTTGTTCTCGGGTTTAATTTGAAAGTGTTGGTGGAAGAATCTGATATGCCCATTGGCAATCTGTGGGGTGTAAAGTTTCGGGGAGCCATACCATATTCGGCTCCTCATCTAAAGCCAAATCTAGACAATGGACTGGAGCTACCATTAGAGTTACGGGATCCTTATGGAGTTACGGGAACTTGGTTGAGAGTATGTGGACCGGGCTCTTTTAGGATTACTTATCAGGGCGGGGGACTTGCTAACAAATTTAATAGGTGGTTTGCTTTCTAGGTATCATTCGTATATTAAACTTCTGGGCGTCGACCTTGGGACTAAATAATCGGAATTGTAGACTACCATGACTTTTACGCCTTCAACTTCGGGTCCATAGCCCCGGCCGATGGGCCCCGCCCACCGATCGATATTAGAGAGGCGATTAGGTTTATAAAACTAGGAATAACTGTGACAAGAATAGAACCCCCAGGACCGGGTGACGGCCAAGCACTTCCTGTTGTCCATTTCAAAGGTGCGTCGCGCCTGATGCACGCCTTTTGGGATCCTAATGCGAACTCCGAACTTACCGGTGAGCCCCTCTTCCAAAATAGGTCTTATTGGGAACTCGAAAGATTTGGAACCGGACGTGCCTTATGACTTTCGGTATATAGGAACGGTTCGCCTGACAACAGAAGGAGAAATTCGGTGGATAAGTTTTTCGATATTTCAAGGGTACGTCGAGGGTCAACCGCTCAATACTGTTGAATTTGACGTCCGGCTTAAGCTTATAGTTAAATTATAGAGAGGAACGGTGGAGAAGTGAAGGTATTCAAATAGGAGGGCTTTGTACTGCCCGTGGAGTATTGGGCACGTGGTTTGATAAGTACGTTGTTGAACCCTAGCGACACCCCAGAGGGATTCATCGATACATGTACCGTTCTCTAGGGTAGCATCATGACGAAAGCGCTGACGACGTATTAAACTATTATAGGGACTTCGATCCACATGGACCTGCTGGCCCAACCGCTTTTTGGAAGACGAGCAATGAGGTGGATCCAAACATTGTTGAACCTGGTGAAGAGGATAGTCTTTAAAAGTGTTTGTTACAAAAATTCGTGGTGGCATGCGATTTCATATCAGTAATAGAACTAGCTGTATTTTGAAAAAAAAATCATACCGGACTAATATAATGGATGTCATTCAATCATCCTTCGCCTGCGCCTGATTACGTAGTCGTGGTACGCATATCCATAAAGCGGGGAGTTGTCGCAACTCATAAATTCCAACAATTACCAGCTATTAATCCTAACAAGGAGGGCTATTTAATCTTGAGGTGGCATCCTCGAACCGAGGGGTGGAATACCGCTGATAAAAGTGTGCATTACAGTTCTGAATAGTCACAAAGGGGCGATACGCGGCTCTTATCACGGAGAACGGAACAATGGAAGAGCACTTCGATATCGTCGTTGTCGGGGCGGGTCTGGCTGGCATAAGCGCAGCGTATCGAGTTCAAACTATGCTACCGAACAGACAATTTGTGATTCTCGAGGCACGAGAGCGTATCGGAGGAACTTGGGATATCTTCAAATACCCGGGGATCAGGTCAGATTCCGACCTTACGACGTATGGATTCCCGTTCGCACCTTGGTCAAAAGAGCGGCAAATTGCGAACGGTTCAGAAATTGCGGATTACATCCAGGAAACTGTTAAAAGTTGTGGATTAGAAAATAAAATACGACTTAGCCATCGAGTCCTGACTGCAGATTGGTGCTCGCGGGAGAAGAGGTGGAAGTTGACTGTTTCGGAGAATGGGACCGAGGTCGTTATCTACACGGAATTCGTCATGTGGGGGTCAGGATATTATGACCAGTGGGAGGGTCTCAATCCCATTATTCCTGGTATCGAAAGGTTCGAAGGAATAGTTGCTCATCCGCAGTTCTGGCCAGAGGATTTAGATTACTCTAGTAAACGGGTAGTGGTGATTGGTAGTGGAGCTACGGCTATCACGTTGCTTCCGGCGATGTCCAAAACTGCTGCGCATGTTACAATGCTACAGCGGAGTCCTAGCTACATTCTTCCCATACCTATGATTGCAGCTGAAGACCGAATTTTGAGAGCCTACCTGCCGAAATGGATATCATCCCGACTTGTCCGGTGGAAGTATCTTCTTCTACCCCGGCTGACGATGGAGTTGTGTAGATACTTCCCGGGGATCATTCGTGCAGGAATGAGGAGACTAACTAAGGCTCTACTTCCTGTGCACATCCCCCAAGATCCACATTTCGAACCTAAGTATAAAATGGGCGAACAAAGAATCTGTCTTGCTCCTGATGGAGACTTCTTTAAATGTCTGCATACACCTAACGCGAGTATCTTAACCGACACTATCGAAACGATTACCTCAACTGGACTGGAATTGGGATCTGGCAATAGAATTTCAGCAGACATCATCGTAACCGCTACAGGTCTTAAGATCCAGCTATTTGGAGGAGCGCACGTTAAAGTCGATGGTCAGATTGTTAATATCAGCGAGAAATATGCATGGAATGGAACTATGCTACAGGATATACCCAACGCGGCTATGATGATTGGGTACACTAGTACAGCTTGGACTCTTGGAGCTGATATCATGGCCCAACTGGTGATTAAGGTTATGGTGGCTATGGAAAAGAGAGGAGCGAAGGTTGTAGTACCTAGATTGGATCTAGGGATGGGGGTCAATCCTGCACCGCTCTTAGATATTAATGCTACGTATGTCAAAGTTGCGGTTGGGAGCGTGCCGATGGCGGGAGATAGGGGGCCGTGGAGGCGGAGGACTGGATATTATGAGGATTGTTGGAAAGTGAGGTTCGGAGATGTGACGCAAGAATTGGTGTTTGAATCATGATACTTTGGCGGTTATACTCTATAGCTATGAAAGCAAATATCAAATTTCCATCCGGGTACCTTTGTACATGTGACATCTAGGCAGATCTAGATGTGCGTGCAGTGCAAAACCGCTGAATAGTTGTCTTATTAGGGCTGAACGTTTGTGGTGGCATTCGAAATGTTGTGTAATGTTGTGATGCGTAAGGCTTATGCATTTGTTTCACCGGCGGCTGAGTCCGGCGTCCGTGGTATCCGATCATTGGTAATGTTTAGTAATGATGTTTGATAGTCTTCCATTCTGGGATCTAAGTTATAAATCGAACTTTGTAGATGATGTTGCCTTGGCCTTGAAGCCTGCGAGGGGATAACTTAACGGTTTATAGGTAGTAGTTCCTGAGTAAATTATTATAGCGAATGAGTGCTCAACGAGGTGAATTAGACTTGGGGCTTTATTTAACACCACGCGCGTATTGCCCTGCCTTTATGCATTGTATATAATTTATCAGCGAACCTTGAATGGCGGATGTTGTTAAGCTAGTATAATTGCAAGCAGAGACGGGTTCCGTTGGTTTGACTATACATTATTCAAGCTCTTGATATTATAATGATCATATGAGATAACGTTACAGCCGGTGGTTGTTTTATCTCTAAATCGATACGGTTTCCGTTGTATCCTAGTTGTGAGGATGTTGGCCCTCTTGGCCACGCCCTGATAACTCATCAACTGGCTTTGAACGAAATTGATTCGAAGCGAAATAGCCTAAAACCCGAGATTTTGGATCAAAAGTAGAGATGAGGCATATACATGTACATACATGTGTGCATATGCATGTGCTGCGACAATGCAAATGTCTGAGCTTCGGTCTTAGATTGTTTCCACCGACCAAGTTAATGCCAAGCCCTGCAAGGACCTCGACTCTTGATATCCTTGTATCGTCTGAGGTAAGGCTAAAACCTGGAGTATGGCATGGTTGCTTTGAGCCCCTGCGTCATTCGAATAATATACTCAGGGGATAGCAAAGAAGCCTCTGCTCTTATCGAACAATAAGAATCAGGTATTGTGACCTCTCGAGCTCGAGCCTGCGTTTAAACGTTTGAGGTATTGCGAGATCAGAGTACTAGTGTTGCATGTTGTTGGCATACTATTAACCTCTTAGGCGAGAATCGGCAGGTGCATTTTTTAGATTTGTTTGAGTAGCTCGAATCTAGAATTCCAGTTCATCAAAATTTGGACTGCTTTTGTCCTAGAGTGAAGCGGATAATATGCAGGTCGGAAATTGTTATCGGCTTCTCGTTATTTTCGATATTAACATGCTTGCGAGGGACCGTGGGTCGGGCTAGGCGAGGAAGCCAAAACTCGCCAGGAGGGAGGCTTTCCGGTCCGCCATTAGAGTGGTGGCCGCGCACAGCTGTTGCATTTGCAAAATAGCATTTAGTCTCTTGAACGTGGCTACACGGCGCGGTGTCACATCATATCAGCTTACCCCGGATTGATTTGCTGTAAACGGTACCGGATATTTTCCATGGCTTACGTAGAGTAGAGTACGGTCGTGGGTTTCATGGTCGGGATTTGATGTTGACAGCGAAGTCTTTGAAATTTGGTAACGTTAAGCTTGGAGTTAGGCTGATATGGGATTGTCCTTCGACGGATGTATAAAAGGGTCTTTCACTGTCAGTTCTCATCTTACAGTCGTTCATCCTCTATCGAAGGAAGAAAATAATTACTTAGGATTGAATCTCATTTCAAAAATTTAGTTCACATACCTGCACTGCAACGAAATCTTTTGCATATCCATATATATATATATATATATATCGTCATCATGAAGGCCGCCGTCTTTATCATTGCTCTCGCAGGCATCATCTCTGCAACACCGCAAGCAACCACTACGGAAATTGGTCGCTGGTGTAGCGCTAGGGTTTGTTAAATCCGCTTATCAACCGTTTAGCTAAGGTATATATAGAAATTTCGTAATACTAACATCTTCAAATCTTTTTCATCCATAGCCACATCTCTGTAGAAGAGAAGCCGAAGCTGCTACCGCCACCCTTAAGCCAGTTCTGCCAACATACCAAGCGTGCGGTGGCCACGTCGTCAATCCCAAAACCTGCCCAAAAGGTTACATTTGCGTCGATAACCCACGTACATGTAGTCAAGCTGTTGACTGTCCTGGAATATGTGTTATCCCGCAGGCTTGTGGAGGATTTGCAGGTTTTCCTTGTCCAGCTGGGAAGAAGTGCTATGATGATCCAAGGGATGATTGTGATCCTAACAATGGAGGTGCTGATTGTATTGGTATCTGTATATAAATGGGATCATATATATAGTCGTCATGCACGTACATATACTAAGATCTGAGGGACGAAAGAATATATGCTGTAGCTCCACAGCTGTCATACGCCCGCATGCGGACTAGAAGACGATCTAATGTCGGTGTAACACAATACGCTTGCAAGAACATTTGTGTAGCTGGCACTTCAAATCTGGTGCAATGAAGGGTTAAGAACTTCAAGTTTTGTGCCTGCATGAATTTGGCTATGTCTCTAAATTGGTTTTTGTGTTAGAGTTTAAAATTTCAATTAGCATTCGTGTTTGGTACAGAAATAGGAGTTATAGAAGCTGCCGCCAACTTGTTTGTGACTATCAAAGTCTCCTGGTGATAATATGATTAGTATATGTGTGTATATGTAGATAGATTTGAAATGATGTTAATCATGTATATCTGGATGTTTGGTCCGCATTATTCTGTGTATTTTGGTGATGAGTTCATCGGCGGTTTTATTTGGTGGGTGATATGGTGAAGAAATAAACGATTCTGTGGTATTATTCGTAGCGAAATTGGTAGATAATAGTTCAGACTGGTCAGAGTCTTGAGATTGTGGTGAGATGATGGCATGAGGCAGTGGTGGAGTGTAATATATTCCTGATGGCATATATATCATGTATTATATATAAGTAAGTATATATATATATAATTTAGGTGGCCTTGGGATAGGCCACAGTTGAACCAATGATCCCGACAGACCGTAGTTCCCTTCATATTTATCGGCTAGAACTCTTCTAGTCTGTTGGGTACCCGGGTGGAGAAGGAGAAGGAGACGAAGAGGGAATAGCGAAGCTGTGAAGATGTGGTGGTCGGTTGGCTTGAATACTGTTTAAGTCGTTAAATGTTTGGATCGGATAACTGCCTGGCCGAGGAGCAACTTCGTAACCAAGCTCGTATATATATCGCCCCCCGATTACTCGAAGCATTGCAATTTGGTAATTTTTCACATCCTATCGTGCGAGGGAATGTCGGTTGGCGATGAGTTTGTTGTATCCGTATCGATTGGCGCCATGGCGAAGCTCTCAAGCAGATAAAAGTGTCTGATTCTGGTACGCTCACCGGAAGCTATTCCATTCACACTACATGTATACAATCAAGATCCCGTATACCTGCTACAGATCTAGCCTTTGCCACTAGCTCTTAGTTATATTCTCTGACTCCTTCCCGAAAAGCATATTTTCTGATGATTTGCTTCGCGAATTCGTTGCTTCATCTGTACCGCTTTAACGGGAGTCAGACCTCGCCCTCCTTCCTGGCAGTGCCACCCCAATACAAAAGGCCATAAAGATTCTATTGGAGACATACGAAAAACCAACCTATTCCTTCGAGAGAAAGAGATAAGAAATTAAAAAATTTTCTAAAATGCTTTGGAGGCCCATCGTCTGCCTTAAATTACCAAATCGACGGCATGTCGATGACCAAGAGCTTATACGAGAGGCATCACAAGCATTACTACTAAAACATCTAGGATAAAAATTTTATATTCGAAGGAAGCAACAACGATATAATTGAAGTTACGTACAATCAAAAGATGTGCGTGTGTGTTTTTTGTAGTCCGGTTCAAGCGGGGATATCGTATTTTCAATTGCCAACCCACTAGACCCACCTGTTTGGTGGATGCGTAGTATCTCTCCGTAGAAGACGAGACAATAGATAAATCAGATGGTCTTGAAACAATGTGGTTGAACTAATTCCGCCAACATCGGGCACTGACGTTGACGGCGAACCGAGGTTGGGTGACCCCGATCACCTATTTCCCACATTGTTGTGTTGATTTTGTGTTAATTTGAGTGGGCTACTTGACCGAAGACTGCCATCAAGACTTTTGGAACGATAATGGAGCCGATGTCGTCACTAAATACGATAAACCTATTGGTTCGGATAAACCAGCGGATGAGGTCAACTTCCTAGGTTCTGTCTATGTAGAGGGCGGCTATTCGAAGCCGCTGAACTATGGGTTTCCAGCTTGCCCTGCGGTCTGGAATGTAAGTGTTTTTCTTTTTGCATTTATATTTTGACCCTCCAACGGTCTTGAATATTTCTTCTGAAATTGTGTGTAGTCATCCGCTTTAGCGAATAACGCGCTGGATCTCCAAGTTGGCGAAAATTTTACCACCATCCCGAAATCTTTAGTGACAGCAATGCAGAACTGAAGCCACACGGCCTCGATTGTCGATATCACCTCATTTGGCTCCTTTGGGTATACGTTTCTACAACCCGCGCTGTCCAAATCTTGGTGTTGAGTTCCTTGACTCTACTTTCATCACTTATCACGGTCCAACTGGCCACAAGATCGTAAATGTGCCATTTAATAGGCGGACGGCTTCTTCTCCTCCAATAACGAAACTAGGCACTGTTGACTTTATATGGACGGACTCGAACATCGGCCTTTCAAACTGCAAGAGCGAGATTAACTTCGGCCTAGAGACTATAGAATGTCTAAGGTATATAAATAGTCCACGACTATTTCCGGGTCCATACACTATTGATATATTAAACTAGTTTCGAGGATCTACCTGACAGAATATTGGTGCATGGTCCCGTGGGTTTGGATTTTGACAACGACGGAAGAATGTATTTCACATCTGATCAGAATGGAGAAATTTTTGTAGCTACTAAGGATAACATTGGATCGTGAGCGTATATTCACCACCTTTCAGGGTGCGTTTTGAAAAATTTCTAAATTTCGCAACGAATATTAATAAGCATGCATTTGTATACCTTGTGCATACGGCCTTTCTTAGAACAGGAGAAAAGACAAATCCGCCGCGGTGACCTTGTAAACTAAAAGCCGCGAGCGTGCGTGAAATAAATAAAGTGTTAACATCGGTATATTCACCCTACCCGGTGATCAATGTTCAAGGTGGCCCTTCAAGTCTACGAAAGCGGATAATTCAAGAGCAGAAACAACTGTTAGATCATGCAAACATTCGTTGGGACCGTTTGCTACTTTTCGTGGGCGTTGCAGACCCCGTACTATCGTCTCCATCATCGACAGTGGGGCAATAGTCGCTCACATCGACACTATAGTCAGTGCTATAGTCAGTATTATAACCCGATGCCACACCGGAAGCAGTTCCACTAAAGGCGGAATCGTAATCCAATTCTCTACCGGAGTAAGACTTCTTTGCTCCCTTTGCTACTTTTTTAACCTTCTTTGATTTGCTTTCATGCCTGGATTTCTCTGCGATCGGTATTAGACTTATCCATCTTGCTCGAGAAAGAGGAGGAGAATTACTTATCCCAGCTGTTGAACTCAACTTTTCGCGCTTTTCATATTTTGGCTTCGTGTTTGTGACCTGGTACCCCGAGGCACCCTCTCGGGAGCCACGGTAACGTAGCTGAAGTTTTTCATAGCCCACTGGTTCTAGTACCAGCGGGGTTCGTTACCGATTGGGCGTTAGGGTCATACAATCCAGCACCGTGATAGCTAGGACCGCTTCACAGGTCCAGATCCTGCATGTTAGTAAGAATTATTGTAGAGAACGGTCTGGGGAAAACTTCATACGGGACTGGAGCTTTAGTCGACGGAACAACTTCGGCATTTTCGTTCGATGTAGCAATCTGGAAGCTCTTCATCCCTTCGGCTACTTCTTGAAGCTTTTTGGCCAAGAGCTCAGCTTGTATCTGTTGAGTGGCTTGCATGGCTTTAGCAGGACCATTGCAGCCGAGGAGGTCACGTTGTCGTTCGCTATCCTGTCCAGCCAAATTTGACGGTGCAGCTTCAATCGTCGTTGAAAATAGAGGGCTACTTCGATCGGCCCACGTTTCTCCTAGTTCACTTTATTTTAGAAGAATTCGAGCCAGGCAGTTATATGGGGAAGTCTTACTGTAGCTGCAGTCACGATGAGCAGCGATACATGAGCCACAACGTCTTTCGGAGTAATGCACTCTACAAAGAACCTCAAGTCCCTGACAGGACTCACACTGGGCTACTTGAATGCCATAACGTTCGATGAGGAGGTATCTTCTGATCTCTTGTTTTTGTTTGTCGCTGAGTTTACAGACCTGAAGGAACCTGTTTTTGAATTCTTCATCGTCATCGGGTATGAGAAGCTGTAGACGTTGTTCGTAGGCATCAGAAGCTTCTTCATAGAATCTTCCGATATGCACATTATTGCCGTGCTAGATTGGGCTTTTAGCGAGGGAAACCTTCTTAGAGGATTGCATGATGGAAATAAGATCCGTCTTCACAGGAAGGTACTGTCGATGGAAGAGGTGTTCGAGAAAGCTGTTGATATCGATATACTGCCTTGTTGGGATTACGATCGAAGAGTAATGGATGGTAAAATTAGCTTTGAGAGAGGAATAGGGATTCTTTGTATATATCATCAAGTCACGGCGAGGGCTCTGAGGGTTGTTTGTAATTGACCTGCATCCGTCAAGGTTCGTGCGGCGCATTGCACGCTCTCGAGTATTGCTCGAACATTCTGTTCGTTGCCATTAGGTTAGGGTTAACACTATGGCGTCAGATCGATCAGCTAGAGCCCCTTGTAGTTTTGTAATGCAATACCGTAGATGCAAAGCTACCGTGGAGATATCAAAGGCTAAGAAGATAAAGATAACAAGCGGGCTTGATATCTATCAGATTTTCCGGCGAAACGGAACCAAATTGAGTCCAAAATTAAAATTAACTGATTTGTCACGATATTCTCGAAATCATATATGATAAAAATGACAATATATATGCGTACAGCACAAGGCATGCAGTAGAGAGAAATTCGAAGTCGAGGCGGAGGCTTTTCTTTGGAAGTCTGTAGCGGTCCTGATGCACAAGTATATAGACAGGCCGAATTATAGTGGTCTCGGTTGATACTTAATTGAAACTATGACATAAGCTAGAAGTCGAACAAACAAGTATATATCCTTGGCTGCTGCTGGAGCTCGCCCGTTCACCCGTTCGAAATAGAAATAGCTCTACTAGTACGATAATAGCGGATGGATCCGAGAAGCAATGGCGGTACTTGAGGTTTCGTCCCGTATATGTGGTTCGTCAGGCGGCGAGATTTAGGAGCTAGCTGGGGCTCGGAGACTTTGATTTAGGGTCTACTTTAAACGTTTACTATACATGCTTGTCGAGAGATTGTCTACTATACTTCGACTGAAGCGAGAGAAATTAATTAATGGTTTAATAATGTAACTATGTATACTACAGGTTGCAAGTCTGGCTATATACATCTTTGCAATGAGTTCAACATGTCACAACTCCTACAAGGGGTACTTGATCATGCATGATCATATGCCGACAAGCTGCTTAGACACTGATAACACCGGTACCGGCAGAGGAAGCAATGAGATCACAGACACGGCATGCTGGGGAAGCACTATATTGGAAGTTAAAAGGTTAGTTCCAAAGTTCTATTATCAATAATGGTAATCAGCTATATTGCTGAAGATTTTGAGCTTACGTATAGGAATAAGGCGGAGAGCTGAACGATCCAACTTGTGTAATTCTAATATTTGAGCTATCAAAGATGTTGTTGCGGTGGACAGCATATCCGTCGTAGTCGGAATCGAGGTTGGTTACTATTGCAAGCTGGGTGTTACGGAAATGGTTCTGTTCAACCAGAACCTGAGCACCCATTCGAGAATTGATTCCGGAGGTTGGGATGTTGGAATAACAGTTACTAAAAATGTGAGCGGTTCCAAAGCGAACAGATGGTAGACGAGAGTTAACGTTAGTGAAAGAGTTGTGATGATATGTTACGTGAAGCTTTCCGGTGTCTTCGCTGGCATTGTTATCTGAGTGGCCGACGAGGGATCCTTTCCACTATAGCAAATAGGTGAGTTAGAATAAGTTCTTGTAGGATTTCTATCGGTATATCCGAAGACCCTTCAGAGAAACTAGCTACGTTTCGGAGCGCTAAATCTTGAAGGTATGGGTAGTATCCGCTTACATGGTCGCGGAACTTGTTCCATGAGATAGTGACAAAGTCGGATCCATGGTTGACGTCAAGGAGTCCATCAAAATCATCTTTCCCGCCAACAAGTCCTAAGCTGTAGAACTCACAATGGTCTACCCAGACACGAGCAGAGCCATCAATGTTGACTGCGTCACCTTTAGCCGGGGGGCTCAACTTAAGGTTGCGGATAATGACATTGGAAACACGGCGAACGTAGAGACCGCCGTTTACCATGCCGGAGTTTGAGCCAACGCCCACAATAGTGGTATCAGATGGGACTCGGTATGTTCCACAACCGTTGAGAAGGCCACTGATACGGATCACACCGCCCGTAGTACCACTGAGCGCAGCCTCGAGCGCTGAACAGGATGTAACAGTGGTACCAGATCCAGAACCACCTCCAGTTGTCCCCGTACCATAACCCTGGAGCTGGTTCACCGCTGCGCTACTTCCACTACAGGTACCGCTGCCAGAAGAGGTAGTTGGATTTGCGCCTGAGCTTGTTGTGGTGCGTGTAGTCGTGGCGGGAGTAGTAGTTTTCGCGGAAGTGATTGTAGTCCGAACGGTTGTGGTGGTAGTCGCACCGCCTCCGCAGCTACCTTGGATGCACTGGCTGTACCACTCATTTGATGCCTGACAACACCATCCAGAGACGCAACTGGTGGGGCCTGTCCAGCCGTTACTTTACGGTGGGAGAATATTAGAATTGATCATTGTGAGGAAAATACTGAAGCTTACACACCCTCCGCATTGTCCCCACGGTTGTGCCTGCGCAAGTACCTGCGTGGCGAATGCGAGAATCAGAGATATTTGAACTTGTGAGCGCATAGTGTCGACAGGCGTTAATTAATGCCGTAGGAGTTGTTCAAATATTAACAGTACCTCTACTCAATAGAGTTAGAGATTCGGTCTCGGATATTGATTTTTATATTGAGCCATAGCTGTGGGATCCGCAAGCAGATATTTATACTACTTTCCCTTTAGTGCAGCCAGTTATAAACCTAGGCAGAGGGGGTTCCGCAAGATTTACAAGTAAACCGTCCGTGGAACCTACCTCTCCAGAATTACTGTAGTACCGAACGTTTCTTTCAATTAAGCTTTCCAATTCAAACAGTCATCAAGCTCGCTGGTTCTCGCACGCCCAGGCGGACAATAATTTTTCCAGCGGAAATGAACCCCAGAGGGTATAGGAGATCTCGGAGAATATATATTACTATGAGGGTATGAAATCAAGAGGTTTCCCATTTTTATGTGGATCGCCCAGAACGCAAACCATGGTACGCCAGCCGCCGTCGGGAACGTTGTAGTTTGGAGCCGATGCGTTGGTTGGCATCAACTTGGCAGCCTGTGTCGTGCCCTCGGTTCCACAAGCCAAGTGCTGCTACGGCGACCAGTCAAGAACCTTGGGACTCAACCCTAAACAGTCAAGCCGGCCGTTATACCCTACAAGCCGTCTGTGTTACGTTACGATGATTCAAGATGTACAATAGCTATAGCTTGGATCGACGTCAACCAGTTGTCCTCGAATCTTGGAGAAACAAAATCTCAAGCTTATGGCCTTTCTCCTGCTTAGGACGAAATATTCCGTCTATAATGGTGCAGAATTGACAACATTACACAAGTATGTATTTGCTGTTCGGGCGCAGCTGTCCTCGAACTGCTATAAGGATCCTGAAATACATTTGGTTCTCAATACATTGCTTTCTAAGCCACACTCTCAAACTTTCGAGGGCGCTAGTTCGTGTAACTCAATTCGAGGTTTCCAACCGAGCTTTCTGCATATCAGAGCACTAGCACTTGCCATGGGCCCTAAGGATACAGTCTCCTCGCGTTTGAATTGAGCGATGAACCGGCCCTTTGTGTCGAAGCTGTTGCAAAATCAAGACCAAATCTCCGTCTCCCTCAAAGGCGTTGCCCAGTGATATTTAAATTTTGATCCAGATATATGAAAAGGAAGTGGTGGATCGTTAGAAACCAGATAGGCTATGACAGTTTGTCGAATATATAATATATCGCAATGTCAGATCATATCAGTTCCGATATGACCATAAATCTCGATGTATTTAAGAGCTCTCCTAATCATATCCAGGCGCGGCACGGCTATGTTTACTCGAATCATGAGATTTTTTGTCCGGGCACTAACCCTATCCTTAAGTTGTCCATTTTCACTTTTATTACGTTCTGATGGAAGCGGTTTCTCCTTGAAATTTTGATTATATCATCGAAGGCGTTGAGGATATCAGCCCGGTACTTACTACGTATACTATGTGGTCATTGTAAGCTCAAGGATATATAATTTCTTCGGGCGGTTATTGGATCAAATAATACTGGTGAGGTATATAACCCCTGTATTGTCGGTGAAATGCGACCAGTCTCGGCACTTGGACCGGGTACTCAACAAAATATCACAACCACAACACTTGATTAGATGATCGAAGGTAAGATCTTGAATTTAGCCTTTGGGGGCATGAAAAAACGGCACCGAGCCGAAGCCATTTCCCTCGCCGATTGCCGTCTTCCCGATTTCCGATTAGTGATGTACAGAATTTGGCAATAGCCAAGCCTACATCAAGCCGCTACTCAGTTATAATGTAGATGCAGACGTGTGTTCGGTATGGATATAACGAACGCGAACCATCCGGCGGCGTTATGGCCATCATTATGGCGATTTTCCAGGCTTCAATATAGCCGGAATCTTGAATAGTGCCTACCAATTACTCCCAGGCGCAGAGAGCAGAAGTAATCTTCTTGTGAGCGGCGCCAGTGAGCGGCGCCAGTGAGCGTTTGTGGCGTTATAGGCACAATCATGACACTACTGACCCAATATGAGCTATAGAGATTGAAGCCAGGAATTTGAAAATATGGACCTCGTGATAGAGAGCAATATTTAAAATGTCGTATATATTGAGAGCCATACGTGCCGGTTATTTATTGAAAGAATGTCGCGAGAGTTTCCTGTCTAACGTTCCTCACATAGCTCCCGTGTACGGCACCTTCCCATAGCTAAAAGATCAGCATTATACCCGAGATAGGAATCTAATATAGTCTTATACATAAAGCTTCCTTCTCTGTTGGCGCCATCAAAATGTTCTGAGATTTTGAATAAATGATTAAGTAATCGCTGACTTTTCATACAGGGTTGCTATTCTTGGCGCAGCGTATGACCCAAGCTCTCACAGCTTGGCGGCAATGGTCTAATCACATACAACCATTATCATGTTACTTACCATACTCCATGCAAATTGCGGAATACAAAATTACTGCTCAAATGCAGTCAGCAATTGTGTGGAGCCTAGTTTATCGGCTTCACGATACGTCTGCTCATAGAGTTCTAGGTTCTCACAATAACCTTAGCGCTGGATAAATCCCGAGTAGGCATATATGAGTTCAATGTCACTTCGATGTAATCATGGCGGGTGGGCTTCGGTGAAATTGCGGCCCTCCTCAGGCTCATTTGAATCTAGAAAGATAATCTAACCATCTCAGCTCCGACGTCTATAAAAGGGGAGCCTTTTCTCCAAACTTTGCAACTTCTATCCATAGACTCAGAGCCCTCAATCCCATATCCAGCTTCATTTAGCACCGTACTCGCAAACATTCTTCCAAAGACTTTTCTCATATCCTCTCTTTAAAACTCCTCCAAAATGATGATAACTCAGCTTACAGGGCTTTCTTTGCTCTTCGCAAAAGCTTTGGCCGTACCCGCTCTTACAGGCTACAGTGTCACTTGGTACGACGAATTCGATGGGCCGAAAGGCTCCTTCCCTACCGGCGGGTGGAATGTAAAAATAACAACCCCCGCAGAAAACTCCAATGACGAACAACAATTCTACACCAACTATGCCAGCAACGGCCAGCTTTGGGGTGATGGCCAACTTTTCATTACTCCAGAAAAGCGCGGCTCCAATCCTCAGTATTGGACCTCAGCACGCCTCGAGAGCCAAGGGGCGTGGTCCTGTCCTCCCGGAAAGGCTATGATATTCCAAGCTGATCTCCGTGGGCCCGACTTTACCGGTAACCCAAGCAACCTCGAAGGTATCTGGCCTGCTTTCTGGGCCTTAGGCAACGCTTGCCGTAACGGTGGCTCATGGCCTGACTGTGGCGAGTGGGATATTTTCGAAACCATCAACAATCTGGGTGACAAAAACCAAGGCGTTGTGCATTATAAGAAAACCGACGGCCAACATGGGAGCCTTAGTGGTCAAGTACAATATACTGGTGGCCAATATCACACGTGGGCTATCAAAGTGGACAGGAGGAACACTGACTGGACTCAGCAGAAGCTTATCTGGTACAAGGATGGCGCAGAATATCTTACCGTTACTGGGGCAAACATTGGGAACTTTCAAATATGGGAGAAACTGGCATATAAATCTTTCTTCATGATCCTCAACGTGGCAGTCGGTGGAGCTGGGAGTTATGGAGGGCCATGGACATCAGCGACCATTGGCGGTACCGCAGCCGCCTTGAGAGTTAAATATGTTGCTGTGTACCACTCAACCTAGAGCAACCAATTGGTATATACTATACAAGCAGAAGGATCTTGGCTAGCCAGAAGAGTCTATTTCTTATCATGTAGTTAGGTATTAGTCTATAAGTTTAGGTGTATAAAGTTTGTTGTTGTTTAGGTTAGGATTGTTTAGACCTACGTCAATATGTCATGTGCCTGTCTATTCCAAATTTGATCCGTCACAGAATATGCCCATAGAACACATGATACTTCATATCGAGCAACTTCTTTCTTTAAAACCCGACTGATTTTTACCCTCTACTCAAAAGTTTGTGAATTATCATGAATTCTGAGAACCCATATAGTGGGTATATATCTGGATAGACGAGTGATCAACAACACAGTTTGCGATATGTAGTGTGGTATTCCTCACATGCACAGCCAATTTGATGGGTTATATACGTTATCACCGATTCGAATTAACAATACCTTTGCCTCCCAGGCTCCCCGCCAGGCCTAAACATTGATGTTTTCCTCGCGTTAAATTCGAAAAATCTTTTGCGGGTATCTCCCTTTTAATCGAGTCTATTACAATAGCCGCCGTGACTTAAATTTACAATTGGATCCTTCTATGTGACAAATTTATACAGTGCATTGAGATATATGTATACCATGAATAGACCTAGTCAGATCTAAAAGGGGATGATGTTCTCTGTGATTTAAAGCTAATGTAGGTCGATTCCCATCCTAAGATTTCAATCTGGGGCTTAACAGCATTTAACTGGATCGTCTTCGTGGAATTTGAGACCGATATCTTATTGTTTCACCAACTCACCCTGAAGAGGCTCATACAAGAAAGTCATCTTCCCGTTCAGTTTCTTAATGACGAATAAATCAACCCCCCACCCGGTCTTTGTTGTAACTCTGCCCAACAAGGATTCAGTCAATACACTCAGTAAGGGAGACAAAAAAAACATTAATCTTACATATCAAAGTTATCCCAGGCACAGACATTCAGCGCCGCACCCCTGAAGTTTCCTAGGTATCCAGTTCCGGTCAATTTTATGCCACCCTCAAAAACTTTAAATTGCGGACCACCCAGCGCCCAGAGTAAATGATCTGCCTTTAGTAGCATATCGACGCCTTTAATCTTTAATTCTTTAATGACTAACAAGTCATTCTCCCAGACGATGCGTGCAATATCAATACCGTCTTTTGATGTATAGGTCCCCACATAGTCGGAAATCAAAATAGAGTTATAGGCTTTCCAGATTGCCGGAGCCAAGGTATTATGTATGTCAAACGACATAGCCAGTGGGTCTGCTTTTGCAGCACCCTTCGTAAGTTCTTCATCGGTTGAGCCCACGCTAACCAAAGCTACGACCCCATATCCAAATTCAGGGAAAACAGATATTTGATTTTGGTGAGCCGGATGGCTACCCAGTTTGAAATGAATATTGTACGTCCCGTAGTCTGGCATCATAGCACGGTATGATTCCCAAGGAATGCCAACGGAGGTCATGCCATCAGTATTCTGATGAATGGATTTTAACCAAGTGTGGCGTTGCGAATTACTGATCAGAAGAGGATTCGAAGACAGCAAAACTTTGTGAAGTAGCTTTGAGAGATCGTTGGAGGTCGAGAACATTCCAGCAGCTCTACAAGATGCACTCGTTAGATCGCCATTCAGTCTTAGTACCAAATATTCTTGGCCCTATATCCGTCTGATTATTCTCATCTTATGAAAAAGCTGATGAGCATACACAGACTACCTGTGATATCAAAAAGACGGCTGAGTACCTACGGGTCTGTGACGTGCGGAAGAACTAGGTCTACCATATTACTAGCGTTTGGGGTGATGATATCCTTTCGTAAATGTTCTGGAATTGGGCCTGCGAAAGTGTGATCCATCCCGAGAGGATTGAAAATGTCATCTTTCATCATCTCATCCCATCTTTTGCGCTCTTTCGTTAGCCTTTGGCGGTATCTTTCTGTGGCCAAACCCAGTAGATTAAACCCAGTATTGGAATCTATTATGTCCAATTTAGTCAGGGACATATTTTTGGGCATACTGCGGGACACATACAGCTAGGGGTCTCTCCAACCTGCCATACTAAATCTCTTTTAGATATCATTTTGAGATATTCTTGAATCGAGGTGTCGTTTCTGATCTGTCCGTGGCCAAGAACGTTTCGACCGGGTATCGGCGGCCACGTCACGTCGTTGAAACTGGTTAAGATCATCTTCCCAACTTCTCTTGAAAGACCAGATCGATGACCACCTAGCTCTCCAAGAGTGATATCCCCTGCATCTTTAAAGGTGCTTCCAAGGCTGAATTCTGGAAGAACATCTTGAAGTCTTGACTCGAGCGTTAGCTCTGGCAAGAAGCGCTTAACCTGTGCCTGTCGACCTAGAACAAGTGCTTCGAGGACCGTAAATAGCTTTGTCACAGATAATACTCTATGAATTGAGTCGCCATTGATGATTTCTAAAGGTCCAGATTCGTTCAACCGCTTTCTCCCTTTGTGGAACTCGTACCCTTTGCCCTTAGCAGAGTGCACAATACTCAGAGATACAGCGTCCTTAGTCGCATTTAAGGTCGATTTCAATATTGAGTCGATATGGGCCAGAGCCTGCTTGACTGCATCATGATCCATAATACGGGGATCTTCAAGAAGAAACTGTGGCGGTGGGGGGGCGCATTTCCGCTTTGGGTTTGCGGCAGAAGGGTTTCCCGATGCTAGGATGGTTTTGCCCTCATAGTTCTCTGATACCTGGCGCTTTAAAAAGGTGGATTCTGAAAAGAGGGCACCTAAATACAACGGTTTACATCAAAATTTCAAAGCATAAATACCGATACGTAAAACATATCGACGGTAGGGGGGTTACCTACTAGTTTTAGTGGTATAGACAGTGATCAGAACTCCTACCGAGAAGCCAACGATCGTACAACACGCATTAAATATCAAGTTACTCTTCATTCTCTTTCGTCCCTCGATCTTTGGGCTCCTCTTTGCCGCGAACTCGACGACCAAAGATCGTGATTCCATCGTTGTTATTTTTCTTAAATCCGCATTGAAGATTTTCGATATCTTTGTTTGCATCGAGGTGATGGGCCATCGTTAAATATACATCTTGACCAGGCAGGCATCGCGGGAAAATAAAGCAGCGTTCTGTGAATCTAGAATATAAATGAAAGCTGCACTTTCCACTTGCGGATCAGCCGGTTTAGGTATGAGAATATTGAGGCCCCCATACTGGGCTGTTGAAAGCCGCCCGAGAATTCCTGGAACTTTTGTTTAGATGCTTATTGGTGACGATCCACTTTCTTTTTGGCTTTATGATAGAAAGTAGAAGGTCAGGCATCTTTGAAGCATGCCTTTTCCACCCGAAAACTGAACCCTCCTAACTAGTGTTTTAGGGGATGCGTTGGGACTTGCTGTAACATCTCAGGGACAGTAAAGTCTTAGGAAGGGTTTTAAACGGCAAAACAGGTATGTAGTATGGAATAAGCGAATGCCTAAGAGAGTCGTAGAAGGTGTGAAGCTGCCCCTCTAACGCTGAGCCTGAAGGAAGTGGACATGTTGAACAATCTAAATTTAAACCGCGGGTAGGTCGAAGACTGGTAAAGGGTATTGCATTTTGTCTTAAAACCAAAACAAAAAGGCTTGAGCGGATGACCAAATGGGTAGAAGTAGCTGTAGGCGCGTCTGTTTGAACCATTAACACTGATATCGACGCCACTTGTAACGCCGGATCAGGGACTTTGGAAGATTCCCACGAATGTGTTGCGTTACAATCTCCAATGAATGACTAATCGCCGGATCATTCGGCAAGCGGACTCGACAAATTTTTTGGAGGATCTACTTTCAAGAGAACATCAACGGCATCTTTTAGAAGCGGGCGCGGTAGGCAATTGACCGAAATCCTTTTATCCGATTAGTACTCTACTAGCGCCATATCGCCCGAAGTCGCCATATATCTCGGCATGTTCACATATATATATAAAGATGGCCATCGATGGTGGTGTGATTTCAATCGCTTGGTCTGGCGTTGCGGAAATCTTCACTATTTGATCTTTGGAGTATCCATATGTCGCAATGGAAATCTCGATTGTGCAGCCAACCGGCATTCCGTCAAAAGATCTTGCAGTTCAAACCCAGGATAAAAAGGAAAGGACTTTACCGGAGCCTGAAATAAACGACAGAACCGCAACGGGATCACAGGCATGGAGTTTGACCAAACAAATTGTTCAATGGATACTCGACAAATGGCTAGTAATAGGTATTGCTATAGCTTGTATCGTGGGATACTTTGCGCCTAACGTGGCAAAGCCTCATGGCTATATACACTCGGAGTGGTCTATCATATACGGCGCAGTTGCTTTGATCTTTTTCGTATCAGGCCTGTCAATTCAGACTGAGAAGCTTCTGGTTCATTTTTCGAACTGGCGACTGCACTTCACGGTTCAAGGCCTATCATTTTTGTTAATCCCAACGGTTTTCTTCTGCATCGTCCTTATAGTGGCAAAGTTTGGAGATAAGGCTGTTTTCGACCGCCAAATTCTTACAGGAATGATTGTAACAGGGTGCATCCCGACGACGTTAAGTAGCAACATCATAATGACCAGGCTCTCGGGCGGAGACGAAGCTGCAGCTTTGGTATCTGTGACCGTCGGCAATCTCCTGGGGCCGTTTATAACCCCGATCCTTATAACGAACGTATTCTGGCCAACGATGGACCGATCTTTTGATGCCGTCCGCCCAGCAAGCGATCTTCAGCAGCTTCGAGCTTTGTATGGAGATGTGTTTAAGCAAATCGGGCTGACAGTTCTCTTACCACTTACGATGGGCCAACTGATCCAGGGTTACCTTGGGTTTGAGATAACATCAAAATGGGTGAAAAAACTTTTTCTGAACAGAATATCAACTTTTTGTTTAACGCTGTTGGTCTGGTAAGTCGATGGTCCTGCAAAATTACTTATCCCTCCGTATTAGGGCCTAATCTTCTGAACTGGAATAAGGACGGCATTCTCCTCTTGTTTCGCGACGGGCTCTCTCCAAAAGATGCCAAAGGAATTCCTAGTCTTGGTGATATTTGTGAACATCGGACTTTATATTTCATTTACATCGCTCTGTGTTCTTCTATCAAAAGTCCGAATTCCATACCCATCCTTCAAATGGCAGGAGCGAAGGCTTCATATGAGTCGGTCTCAGATACTCGACCGGGGCGTTTTTATTGCAATATGCTTTTGTGCTCCAGCCAAGACCACAGGGTTAGGATTGCCAATCGTGACCGCCATGTGGACGAGATACCCTGAGGAAATGAAAGCGAAGATACAAATTCCAGTTGTTCTGTATACTATAGAGCAAATTTTTATCGCACAAATGTTGGTTTGGTGGTTCAGCAGGCTTAAGAAGGATCAGGAAGAAGCGGAGCGGGAAGTTGCGGCGGATGCAGGGCGAACCCAATAAGAATCATTGCTACTCCGTACTATCTAGAAATTCAATCACGATTTAAATTTTAGAGTGTTGCGAAGAACACAAGGCTTCGTTTGGCTGCCGGATATCGAATCTCGTACGAGATGGCCGACCAAGCTACTGTGTAGTTAGGGGTAGGTTTTGTATCCCGATTAAATAGCACGAACGCGTCGTCAACCACTCCTGATCAGAAGCATCGAACAAGCCTCAGGCAACCCAGCATCCCTACAATCCTCAAAATCTCAGCGGCTCTTTGCTCACCAAGCCCAAAATGTCCCTAAATCCGAATTCTGCAACACGCAGAGAGTTTTCGGAGCACTTCATCGCCGCGCGGCCACCAAGCGGTGCAGATGCCGAATATATAGCTGTCTTCCAAGCCACACAGCATCTCCTCTCACTTTTGATCAACCACGCGGGCATGGTAGAGACCGAAAACGCCCAACAACCATTTATGGAGCCAGCGAAGTCGAAGAACCGCGTTTATGCCATGTGGGACTTTGTTGGCCGCACTATGGGAATATTGCTCAATAACGTGAGGTCATATTCCAACCCTGGCAGATCTCAAGATGAGGCGTGGAGAGACGCGGTTGGAAGGAGTCAACTGGCAGACATGCTTCTTCAGGACGAGTCCCGCGGTGATAGTATGCATCGAATGACATGGGGCTCGGGTTTCGATGCACGGTTCCCATTCGGCGATGAGATCAAGCAGGCATCAACAGCTGTTGTCAATGCTATTGCTTGATTATTGTGCGTTTTGTATCTTCAGAAAAGCGAACATCTACTTGCTACTTTCCTTGTGAAAACAAAGAAGGTACCGAAATTCGGAAAGGTAAAGGGCAGGGAGGAAAACGCAAAACCTTGCCAGCGAGCTCTTGATATAGTCACCATCAACCATCCAAGAGCCCAAGAGGCACATTTTTTTGATACAGTTAGAAGAAAAGAGGGTGTGATATCTGACACCTAGAATGCTGAATTCTTATATAACCACAACTGGCACTAGAAAAAAAGCATGTGTGTGATAATATTTCCTCCTGACGTAGGACGGAGGCCCTAAGGCACACTACGTTGTGATCGAATGTCTACCCATGTAAGTCCAGAGGCTGTGGCCTAGCCAGGCCGTGATAAAAGCTAATGTATTATTAGTAACGAGCGCGACGCCGTCGAAGCCTTTATGGATGAGAATTATGAGACCGATGGTTTCTCGTATGGAAATTCGAAAGGCACCCGGAGATTGCAATGCTTATACCCTAGGGAGATTAGGTAATCATCACGTCGTTCACGCATACATGCCAGGTATGGGCAAAGCCAGTTCTGCAGCGGTGGTATCTAGTATTCGCACTAGTTTCGAAGGGATCAAACTAGGAAGCTAGCAACTGCCGATGGAACCCGAATTTTCCTGGGGATGCCATCATTAGCGAAACTGTGATGTAGTTCAACTTCGGTCGATAGTATCTAGGTGGGTTTTAGAGGAGGGACACGATCCAAGGCAACCTCAGCCGAACAAATCTGGAGATTCGCGCTTTTCTAGGGGAGGCATCAGGCCTGAAAGCCCGCCAAAGATTAGCGAATACGGCCGTGTACTCTCACTAATAGGATCAGTTGAAAGAGTTTCGGTCTCTCGGTCCAGAGGACGATAAACTGTATCCGGCTAGCTATCGGCACAAGCATCGATATTCAAGTTCCTGTCTTGAATTTCAAGGCCCGGAAGAGGCCTGCGAAATTGCTTTGGTATTTTCCTGTGCGAAACTAGGTTGTGGAGATAGTTTGTTGATACGCCGCAACTGGGCCGGAAAGGTTGAAGCACACGGCTCGATGGCGGATCGAGTCCAAGAAGTACGAAAACTTTCAATATTGCAATCCACTTCGGCTGTATCGCATCCGGTGATGGTGTTATGAAAAGCGGTCAACATTGTGATGAACTTGTAACTAGAGAGAAGGTGATTGCGTTTAAGATAAAGGACGCCAGCGTCTGGGAATTCTTTTTACAATTGTTATTAAGAGTATATGTAATTATGTGGACAGTTATAAAAAACAAAGAGTGGTGGGGATATGTGGCCATTATTGCAGCGGCCTGTACGAGGGTACTTATAGAGGAATGGAGGAGTTCGAACAAGCGCTCGAAGCCGTCGACCTCAAACAGCACAACCGTATTTTTGAATATACTACTGGTGTGTCTGTATATAATATTTGGCTGATATGTCTCATCTTTAGCCTCCGCTGAACAAGCTAAAATACTACAGCATGAGATTAATTCTAATCTCGGGCATTCGTCCAGTTCAAATGCTCTCGGGCTTAGGGATTGATAGTCCGGTTACGATTCAACTGGTCAGTGCTAGTGAAAGAACGAAAATAATGAAAGAAACTGGTTGGATTCATATGTATATGAGAATTTGCTGAATCAAAGTTTCTCTGCCTGCTTCAGCTAATCAATACACGATCTCTGAACCGGATGCAGCCTCAGGCCCGGCTATGGCGTCCAAGGGTGATATAGCGACGGTAAGGGAATAGTATTTGATAAATTAACGACGTATCTTCGGTAGTCAGGTACAATTCGAATCAATCCGATTTCGAGAACATCGAAAAAAGAAAACACGTCACCGGCACCTTGCAAAGCTCTAACCAGAGTCCAATCCCTCTATTTTCAGTGGTACTTCTTCAGCATTTCCAACACGGTCTTTAAAATTTGCGAGTTTTGCACCCTTTTAGCCTCACCCTGCGGCTGCTCTACTACTTTATCAACCAGGTCTGCATTTTCGTTTATCATGAGCGTCTGGGTAAGAATGACTTTCGGAAGCTCTCGTAAAACGCCATTCTCGATGACCAAAGAGTTGACAGAACCCACGAATGCCATCATGCTCATCTATCGAGGTCACAAATGCTAGTCATTAATCGAGCCACGATTCAAAAAAGGTTTTGCTAAATGGAATGTTATTGGGCAAGGTTGTTATCACCTCATAGTATGCATCCACGAACTCAATGACACGCGCCGCTGTGATGTTCTCCAGCTCAACTAGTACAAGACCAAAGGTAGCCTTCGATCCAGACGGTTGCGATCCTGAGTATTTCGTCAGAGATTGCGTGTTTCTCGGGTTTCGTGCGTGGTTCCGAATTTTGTTCAACGTTAAGTCGATCAACTGCCACCTCGGCCTTCAAATCAGCCAAACGCTGTGCGAGGTCTAGAATGAACGAAACTATTATAAAAGCCTGTCCTGCCCGGCCATGGCAATCGAGGAGGTCCTTGAGAGTTTGGTGGGATATCCTTTCCAGCTCTTCTAGTTTTGGTGTGACGTCACCAAGTGCCGAGTATGCTTTGGAAAACATTTTTGTCCTCGTAACAAGTTGCAGTTAGTCCCAGCTTTACCAACTTTTCTACTGACTCCCATAAGGCGCACAGGTGGTTTTATGCAATCCACTGCCAGTTCTTTGACTGGTACCCCATGAGGTATGAATACACGACTTCGCTCGCCTCCCTTTGAGATGGCCCCGCCATACTGGAATCTGTTCTGCCAACCATTTTTCAAAAGTTTTTTTTCATCCATCAAGGCCACTCTATAGTGTGTGTAGTAGGTTCGCATGATATCTGGAGTCGGAGACCGCTGATGCGGCTCATTACCAGAGGGCTCTTGGTCTGATGGGTCCGTCCGGTGAGTTGACAGTTAAGATTTAGTAATATTCGCGGAACGGATAATCACTTTCGTCTTCCCAAACTCGGGCGTAGCAAAGGCGAAAAAAGTCTTATTCATAAATCTCACATCAGCAAGAAGATTCCTGTCCATACATCTCCGAAAAAAACCGAAGAAACGATTGCAGGCCGAACAATCTTCCTCGACCTTGTGCAACTCCTTGCAATTCTCGTCTCTATAGGTTCCTTGACAAGCCTCTTTCGTCCAGGTTTCGAATTTCTTAGCAATATCGTGAAGGTATTTCCGGCGGCCTAGCGGGCTGGATCTTCTGTTATCCACAATACTACTTTTTTCATCTTTATCTGAACCCGTGACATAAGGGCTAGAAGCTCGGCTTGTGTGTGCGTCCAGAACATTTCCTTGAGAGTCGCGTTCAGTGCTTGGATACCCCTCTGACTTTCCGGAACCACGTTCCGATCAGAGTGCAAGAAAAAGTGCTTTTCCTTTTATCCATCTGCTCGAGAGTTTCATCAATCGCTCTCTCGTTCTGACCCTGGTTCCTGACAACGTGCCAAGGCTGCGTCAACTTGAAGTCAGCGAGTTTACCATTCAGCAGATCTAGGCTCTCCGAGCGAGAGGAAGGGTCGTCTGGCTGGGTAATTACTCCACCACCCGACCCACGAGGCCGGGGTCTTCTAATAAAAGACTTTTGATTATTTCAACTCTAGTTACATTTACAAACGGCACCCGAGCATTAACAACGAGGACAATAAGGTTGATTTTACGCTGTGCATGCGCATGCTCCTTGGCCATCTCTTGAACTTTATGCATGCTCGTTTTGCTCTGTCCCTGGATAGTGTTTGTGAAGACGCCTGGTAAATCTACTAGGTTAACGAGCAGCAAGAGTGGTTCGTAAATACGAACCACCAAGATATATACCGGTATCGTCGGCGAATTCATCTTACTTGAAATCCGATGTTAGTAGGTAGCCCTTTATTAGATACTCCAAGTTCTACTGCGATACTTTTCAGATGTTTTCCGAACTCATTTGTGTTTGACAGAGATCTTGTGAACTGCTGTAGTTTGTTCCGATTGACAAATCAATTCGCGCCTTAGCTTAGCTTAGGAGATCGCCTGATAATATAACGAGTTTAGTCGGGAACCTAGTAATAATACGTAATATGTTTATTTAAAATTAATGTACATTACCAACACGGCCTTGTAGAGATGGTTGCACAAGCACGTGACGAGCCTATCATGACGGCACTGCGTTGCGAACTAGAGTACTTATGACTGTTGTGTGTATATTGTATGTACACAAGGAGGGTCCTTCGGACCGCGTAAACCCGACGGTCGAGGCCATACCACTGCTCGCCCACCCACGCCAGGAATGGCCTCGCCTGAAAAGAGCCTTGCTACGGAACTGTTTATACGCGTTGTGTTGTCACTGTTGTAAAACGAATATATTAAATACCACGAATTAATTCGAATTCAGCTGCCGAAAAGTTGGCCGTATCTCAAATCCCTCGCGGAGAGAAGTTAAATCCCTCCTTTTAGTCGGGCATAGTATCCATGGCGCCATGTATATAAGCACCATGTTTGTGCGAATCTAGTTTGATATCATCCTGTATACGTAATTTGTGTTTGCGGGGATTTATGTTTTGCTATATTTTCACGTTTTCGCAATATACTCTTTGTTATATCTATATTATTATATTATGAATATAAATTGCCTTTGACTTTGATGGTGTTATTGATTATTTGTTTTGAATGATGATTTATAAGGTGAATGAATGAATATTCGAATTTTTTTTTTTTAGAAAAAAAAACATATTTTTCTTATTGCTGCTGCGGAATCAATATTATGTTCGTCTAGTGAAGGCGGTCGGAGGCAGCCATCGAGTTCGCTCTTACTTGTATATATATATTAACGCAACTGTTCCATCTCGCCATCACCACTTTCATCTCCACCATCACCCCGATCTCGCCTCCACCTACATTTCCATATCTTGTTCTTCCTTTTCAGTCCTCTCTTCTCTCGGTAATTCATCCATCCCTCGTTTGTTCTATGCATCTGCACCTGCGAAATATCACCACCACTAGCCCTGTGTCCCCAAACCTAGCACCATCGAAACCATCTCATTGTTCGTCTCTCTTGCCCCTTCGACTCCTTCAATTCCTATTTCGTTTTGAGAGTATCGAAAATGCATAGGTCCACTAAACTCGATATAACGAAAGATAGTCAGGGCGTCAAAGGTACCCTTCTTCTGAAAACAAGAAACAAAATCCTTACGATTGGGTTTAAGCTAACTATTTCTGTAGGAGATGGTCCCTCGGGGCTGAGTCGCGAACCTCTTCAATCAAAAATCCAGCCGGGCGTTCCTATGAAAATGCGAAACAGAATAAATAGTCCATACTACAAATTTTTTAAAAGTTATCATTCTACGGAAGCTTAAGCCGTGGCCATAGTACGATGCTTACACAATGCGTTATCCTTCCACCAGCTGAAAAATATGAGGGCATGGTATCGAAAGAGAAATGATGGAGATCCGAAGTTTGTACATCGAATGGATGATTACCTATGGAGCACTGTGAGAAAAGTCCAAAGGGAGTGTGGTTACAAATTCAAACTGATCCCGTTGAATGTATCAAGAAGATCAAAAATCGAACCCTTTTCATAAAGATATTGGAATTGATTAATGACCCCAGTGACGATGTTTCCATCTTAGAGTATTGCATGCTAACATATCTAGCAAGAATAGAGTTCAACCGGGACCCCCAGCTGGGTAACGATGTTAAAGAGGCGCACTGGCTATTAAACATTTCTTTATCCGGGCAAAATATATCAGTATTACAAGGATACATCAAAGGGTTCTTATTATTAGGCAAAAGATGGCACGAAATGGTTTTACACGAAACCCACCTTAAGGCTCGCGGAGGAATGATGATGAAGCACGCGTGGGGGTGGGGGTGGGGTTTTTGTGCCCTTTCCCATTCAAGTGCAAAACTGAACCCGGGGATATGAGCTTTATAGTTTTAAGTAGGTATGTCTCTCCACCTTCTGGTCTCATATTCTCTCGCCAACGTCCCGGCTGACAGTCATGATTAGTTTCAAAGATCTACACAGTAGCAACAGAATCAACGTTGTTTGTAACGAAATGAACAAAATTCCTAAAATGCCTAGAATTTTGTCCAAATTAAAAGATATAACATTATCCCTACTAAAATTTAATATATTAAAAGCAAACACAGACTACAATTTTTTTCGTATGTTAAATGAAGAATTCATTAAACTGCAGGATCGAGAGATCAATTTCAAATGGCTTTTCACTTAAATTGATGGTTAAGGTGGTTCTATTGGATGAATGTTAGTCCTGCAGAGGTTTTCTTTTCGTCTAAGTCCTCCTACGACGACATACGATATCCACCCAAGGATAGGGTTTTGATATGGTTGGTCTCGTGCTTACTTAAAGATCGTCCCATATCCTCAGCACAGTTGAGGAGTCTGGCGACGAGACAAGTCCCATACAAGGCTAGTAATGTATTTTAGTGTGGGGAGAACCAATATGTAGCCTCGTTCCACAGTCTCAAAAATTTGATTTCGGGGGGTGTCATGACCAGACTTTTTGTGTGAGCAGTCTCCCCCTCCCTTTTTTGGTATTGCGCTCCTAGATCATATACTCTAATTCGGACAACTCCAGGTATTGCAATTTCACACGCTTGTTGTGGTGTGAAATCGCAAAAGCAAGAACATATATCTACAGCTTCAAAGTATGATAATACTCAAAGATGAAGTTGGGTTTAAAACTATAAATATAATCGTATTAACATCTACGAATCGATGAAGCCCAGTGGCGCTAACATACGCTTTGGTGTAGATACCAGTAACGGGAAACTAAAGGCATTCTTCGATGTCATAATCACTAAGTACTACTACCCAGAATGGAACATTCATCTATGCCTATGTTTTCTTTCCCCCAGGTATGTATTCTTCAAGAATAGAGGACTAATTGTAGGAACCAACGACAAGCATTAGTAAACTATCATACCGCGGAAGCCATTCCCTCAGAATTCAGATACCCTACTTCCAAACCTCTCACGAATGGGACCTAGCCAACGTTGCAACTAACAGCTCGTTTTTTCAAAGAGTCCGCGTTCGTAAGTCAATACGTAGACTTTTTTCCCACAAGGAGTGTAAGCGACCCCTATTGTTTAAAACTCCAGACGTGCTAGGCTGCACCCCGAAATATCGATATCGAATATTCTAAGCGAGGCAGTACGGGAACCCACATCAAAAAAGTAAAAGTCCCCATTTTACCACAAAACTTTTATTTCTTCTTTATTTCCAGACCTTAAGATTCTCTCTAGGAATTAGAATACAACAAAAATAACGCAGAATGTTGAGCGGCAAAGCATGCTGCATATATAGACAATTCCAAGTCTCCTAAATGTGAGATATGATCACCCCGGTTTATATTTCAACTTCATTATAACATGCTTCCGAGGGCGGATGAAGTTGAGTATAACAGAAAACGTTTTCAAAAAAATGGAATCTTACAGTCCTTCAACAATATTAACTTAGCGACTACGACCTTAGCAGAAATTGGCATCTCCAAGACCGCGTCTTTGAACAGGCACGGGTCTGCGATATATATGTATAAAAGAACCCTTGGCTGCGGCGATGATTTGCGAATTTGG